ACAAGGAGCGCGAGGAGGAGGAGAAGCAGCGCGCCGAGGCGGTCCGCAAGCAGCGCGAGGAGGCCCAGAAAAAGAAGGAGGAGCTCCACAAGCAGCGCGAGGAGGAGATCAAGCGCCGCAAGGCTGAGGTGGAGGCCGAGAAGCAGAAACTGAAGAAGCTGCAGGAGGAGCACGAAAAAGAAGAGGAAGAGGCCCGCCAACGCCGCGTTGCCGAGGAGAAGGAAGCGAAGACGAGGGCGGAGAAGAAAGCGGAGGAGATGGAGGCCGAGCTCACCGCCACTCGCCGTGCGAAACAGGAGGAGATGGACGCACTCAAGAAGCAACGTGAGGAGGAGGAGAAGCAGCGCGCCGAGGCGGTCCGCAAGCAGCGCGAGGAGGCTCAAAAGAAGAAGGAGGAGCTGAAGCAGAGGGGGAGCAAGGACGCCGAGGGGGTAAAACGCCGGAGTAAGGAGGCACAGGAGGAGCTGAAGCAGAAACGGGAGAAGGAGCAGGAAGAGCGTCGAAAGAAGATAGAGGCGCGCCGCGAGGAAGGCAAGCAGGAGGCCAAGAAGAAAGAGCAGCTGCTGGAGGAGAAGCGCAAGGCCGCCGCGGAGGAGCGTGAGCGTCTGGAGGAGCAGCGTCGCCAGCAGAAGGAAGCGGAGGAGAAGGAGCTGGAGGAGAAGCGCAAGAAGGTCCTGGAGCAGCTGGAGAAGAACTACGACATTGTGGACGAGGACGAGTACACGAAGGATCGCAAGGAGCGAGAGGAGATGGCGCGCAAGGAGAAGGAAGAACAGGACAAGGCCACTGCCGAGGCTCTGGAGCGCCAGCAGCAGCTGAACGGGAAGCATCTCGCGGCGAGCCAGAATGGGACACCGAAGCCCAGCCCACCACCGGAGGGCGGGAAGGCGAGCGAGCATCCCAAGGCGGAATAGACCCTGGTAGGGACACGGCACGCTCTTTACAGTGTTTTGTGTTCTTCCCGACACAACCGCAACGAAGGCGAAGAAGATCCAAGGGAAAGGAAAAACTAACGGCTTCTGGGAAAGGAAGAGGGAAAGAGTAGACAGCATTGTCCGCTTCTTCCTTGTTGTATATTGATTCGCTTTCTTGGTTCGACGTCGTCGGGTGCGGATTTTGTGTTCTCCTTCCATCATTTATGCTCTGTCTTTCGTGGCGGTTTTTTTTTCCTTGGCGTCTATCACGTGGCTTTCTCCGTTTCTGTTCTCTCCTGAATGTCGATATCTTTTTGTATTGACGTTTTATCTGTATCTCTAGCGTTTCTTTTTTTTTTTGAACCTTCTGTTCTACCATTGATACACCGTTCGCTTTCTTGTCTACGCGGTGCGAATCTCTTTTTTTTTTTTGGCAGTAGGCTTACGTTTTCCCACTGTAGGCTCTGGCGAGAACCCTTTCTTTTTTTTTTCCTCTTCTCTTTCGCCTCTTTTGTCTTCTCCCCACATATGAGCTATATGTGACCCCTATTTCCTGTATTGTTTTTTCTCTCTCAAGCTTGTACTTATTTCTGGTAGCTTTGTCATTTCGAAAACCGGTTTCTGTTTTTTTCCCTTTTTTGTAGCTTTCCTCAAGCCGTGTACTTCCCGTAGTGGGACACGCGAAGTTGATAGAGACGTTGTTATCCCTGCGACTAAGAGAGGGCGTTGACAAGAGAAAATAAATGAAAGAGAGAAAACACCCAAATGTGTTTCTACTACCGACGACGGTGGACTGGGCCAAAAGGATCGTAACTGCCCGTGCGGTGCGACGCGTGCTGCCCTTTTCCTGCGCCTCTTCGTGCCGTACTCCGTTGTGGTCTTTCGCATGTCGACGGGTTTTCCTCCGTCGGACTTTTGTTTTGTGTGTGTGGCTCCTCGTCACCTCGCGCCGCCGTGTGTTGGCTTTTTCTTGGGTTTTTGTTGTTTTCTAGCATCTCGGGCGAATGTCTTTCCGATGTCTTTTGTTTTCGCTTTGCACCGATTTCATCGTTATGCTCGATTTTTATTTTTCGTTGTTTCCCTGTTTGACCCTCTCACTCAACTATCCTGAAGGAATAGGAAAGAAGGCCGTTTTCAGACTGCGCAACTGAGCGCCTTCAGCAAGATGACGGTTTCCGAGCCGTCGTGAATGAGGTGACCTGAATGCGCGGAGAGTCTGTTTCTAAAACAGAAGCGGTGCATGCGCTCGCAACTTTGTGGCTCTCCTTCCCTCCCTTATCGGCGTTTTGTGGTTGAGAGGGCCGCCTCAGGAAATGCTGGGGGGTCTGTCGCCGCTTATCCCTGCGCGGATCGATGCTCTCTGCGGAGCGTCCAGTTCGACAATGTCACATCGCGCGCCGTTGATCGGCAAAGTGATCATTATTGTGAAGCAGCAAACTGTGGTGGCATAAAAAGGTGGCCTACTTGGTGATGTAGTCTTTTTCTGTTGAGCAAATTGTTTGTGCTCTGGAAACTCGTTATCTCCAAAGCCCTTACTTCCCCATTTTGTCTCGTTCACGTTGTTTTCGTTTTCAGTGCGTGCTCCTCTCTCTTTCTCTCTCTGCATTTACCACCCTGTTCTGTGATCACACGGCACAGCATTTTCCACCAAGAGCTGCGTGTCTGTGTGCGTGTCTGTGTCTGTGAGTGTGAGAAGAGAACGTGCGTCACCTGCGAAGCCACTCCATCCTCCTCGCCTCGCCTCGAGAGCGTTCTGCTCCACGTATCGTTGTCGTGGGCCCTTCTTTGTTGACATCATATTTATATATTTCCACTGAACGTTTGCCGTGCCCACCCATGAGCTCGTTGCCGACTCTCGTGTTCGTGTACGGTACGCTGCTGCGCGGCGAGAACAACTACCCGTACTGGCTCGCAGAAGCGGCCGAGGCGGTCTTCATTGCGCGTGCCCGTACGGTGCATCGCTACCCTCTCTTCGTGAATTTTCTGCCAGAGCAGATTGACTGCTCTCCGTGTGTGCTGGATCTTCCGGACTGCAACGTGACGGGCTGTGCGCAGGTGGAAGGCGAACTCTTCGCGGTGTCGGACAAAATGAAGGCGTGGCTCGACGTCCTGGAGGATATCTCCGGTGGCACCTACGTGTCGGTAGCGACCGCGATTGAGGTCTGCGAGGCCCCCAGTGCGTCCTACCGTCAACGCGCCGGCAGCATTCCCCACGCCATCCCGTGCCCAACGACGGCGTCCGCGGAGCTGGCGGTGGTCACCGCCGCGCTGTACTTCCGTGCAAAAAATTATCCGTCGGACTGGGCCGCACCGTCGCCGAAGAGCAGCTCCAAGTTGCTGGTCAAGTTTTCCGCTGCGGAGATGCTACGGACGTACGGGAAGCGCTTCAACGGCGGTCTGCCGGCGCACCTCCGCGACGGCCCCAGCGGTACTACGGCTGTGGCGATGCAGAAGGAGCTGAATGCGTTGCCGGAGGCGTATTGGCCGCCGTCGACGCGGGCCTACCACACCATGGCTGCGCGCCACCCCGACGTGCCGACGCCCTCGCACGGCGCCCCCCTTTTCCCGAAGCCGATGGTGCTCTTCATCATTGACGGCATCGGCGACAACACCTACAGTGAGCTAGGCCGCCGGACGCCGCTGGAGGTGGTAGCCGGCGTTCCCGCCGTTGCCCCGCTCGCCGCGTCGAGCGCAGGACCCGTTTTCTCGGTAGTGGAGGAGGTGCTGCCCGTAGCGGAGGTAGAGCCGTGCAATACAGCAGCTGCTGCTGCGCTGCGGGCGACGGTGAATACGCACGTGACGCCGGGCATCAACATCGTCGCGCGACACGGTGTAAACGGCGTGATGGACCCCTACATGGCCGGAAAGAGCTGCGGCAGCGACACCGCCCATCTCAGCCTGTTCGGCTACCCGCCAACGATGTACTACCGCGGCCGTGGTGCCTACGAGGCGCTCGGGGCAGGGTTGGAGCTGGAGGACGAGGACGTTGCCTTCAAGAGCAATTTCTCCACCTTTGCCGATCCCGCAGAGGAGTTGTGCGGCGACGAGGACCCAGCGTTGGAGGCGAAGGCTATTGCCACCACAGCGCCGACCGATCAATACGTCACGCACCGCCGCTGCGACCGCGACTTCACCCAGGAAGGCCCGCTGCTGTGTCAGGACCTGAACGGCATGACGGTGCCGTGCGATCTCCACGGCGTCCCCTTTGACTACCCGCACACCATCAAAATGCAATACGCGACGGAGCACCGCTGCGGGGTGGCGCTGAGCGGGGCCCGCCGCGTTCTTCACGCTGACGGCACCTCCGCGCAGGTGCTGGGCATGCTGTCGGACAAAATCACCGGCACCGACCCCTTGAAGGACGGCCGTCTACTGCTGCACTGCACGCCAACGGTGGCGGAGGACCACCCCGAGTACGCGGCGGCGCTCTACACGTGTCGGCTGGTCGAGGCCGCGTCGGCGGCGCTGACGAAGCGGCTGAGGTCGCACCCGGTCAACGACGCCCGTCGCCAGCACAACCGCAACGCAGCTGCAGCGCATGCAAGTAATGCAGACTCCACAGGCAGCCCTGCTGCTGCGCGGAAAAACATCGCCAACCTCATTTTGTTTCGTGGCGCGGCCAAGAAAGGGTGGGTGCCGACCTTTGCGGTGCGCCACGGCCTCTGCGGACTGATTTTGGCCCCCACCTGCATCATTAAAGGGCTCGGCATCTGCTGCGGACTGCGCGGCGAGGTCTGTGCGGCTTGCGACCCGTCCGGGCAGGCGTCCCTGCGCGGGGCTACTGGTGACTACCATTCCGACTTGATGGTGAAGGTGCGCGCGGCATTGCACGCCCTGCGTATCGAGTGCCCAAAGGCGCATGAAGGCGCCGTGACCCATTCCCTTTCCACTGCCACTGCCGCCGAAGAGGTCAGCCACATCGCGGATGTGCATTACAACTTCGTTGTTGTCCACGTGAAGGGCGTGGACGACGCGGGCCACGACAAGAGTCTTGCGCAGAAACTGGAGATGCTGCGCCGGTCTGGACTCGCGTTGGAGGCGCTGTGGGAGGCACTGCCCGCCGGCTCCACCGTGGCCGTGATCGCAGATCACTCCACCCCGCTCGCTGTGGGTGATCACTGCTGCGAGCCGGTGCCTGTGTCCGTCGCGGTGAAAGGTGCGGGGCCGACCGAAGGAGACGGCGCGGCGACGACGTCCGCGGCGGGTCCGTGCGACGCTGTGCAGCTCTACAGCGAGGTTTTGGCAGCGTCTGGGGCCTTGGGTCGCTTCCGCGGCGACGAGCTGATCCCGCTCATGAAGCACGTGCATCACCACTACCACTACACCTAAGGGGATAGTTTTGAAATATTTAGTTTGTTTACTTACTTATTATCCCCATCGTTTGCGAATGCTGCAGTACATCTGCACTGTGAAGAAATAGGTCTGGAGTGGTGCTCATTCGAGGGTTTTTGTGCCTCAACGCAGTGCTGCCAGCCACCAAAGGAAGCTTCTTCTCCTCCACTTACACAAGGAAGGGTTTCCTGGGTCGTTGAAGCATCGTCATTTCGGTCTCGCAGCTGAAACAACAAATACATTTGCGTGAGGGATACTCGCCCGCACACGCGCATACGTTTTTTTAAACATCAAACGAGGAAAGGGGAAAAAGGGCTAAGCATTTTTCTCTGATTCGCTAGTGAGTAACGTACGTGAGACTTGACAAACCCAAAACAATAGAAACAGAAAGCGACTTCAATATCGTAGCTCTGCTTTCATAACGGTGGCAGCCGATTCGTAGGATCTATCCTTTGCGAAGCTGCGACGAGTATGCAACAAGGAAAATGCAACCGGTCATTGAGAAGAAATGCTCCTTGCGGTATTTGTTCATCTCTGACAGCTAACCCGCAGCGTCACTGCTTGCTCTCTGTTTTCTCTTTCTGCTTCACATTCGACTTGACCTCTGCACCTTCTTTTGTTCTTGGGTTACGAAACGACTGAACGCTCTGGTTTGCGTTTTGCGTTTATCTGTTTTTTTTTTTTGGTGTTGGTCAGCAATTTCCCGTAAAGAAGCCGTGCAACCGTGTGTGCATCGACCTTTCCTTTTTCCACACCTTCGTTTTTCTTCTTCTACGTAGATAATCTACTCCCAAGTGGGTGTGTTTGCTGTGTTGACCAACAAAAAAGCAGAGAAAAGCGTCCTTTTTTGTTTGCTTCCTTGTTCAAATCACGGTCGTACACGTGATCTCTCGTTGCTTCACAGCGCTAAGAGTTGTTTTTTTCTTTTTCTTCTCTTGTTGTGCATTCCTTTATTGCTGTTACAATTTGAATCCCTGACGTAACCTTGTCAATTGTGACATATATAGAAAACTATTCTACTTCTCTGGCTTCAAAAGTGGCGTCACTTACATCCGCTCCTTCTCGTCCGCCTGACGCCCGCAGCTCCACTGCGGACGCACAAGACACAACTGTCAACAGCAATGTAAGCGTGTCGGCGGCCCTCACGGCGAACGTCAGCGGTGTCGTAAGCGCAGCTGAAGTTTCCTCCTCCCGGTTTTCCCTCAGCGCGCCGCCCGGTAGACATGGCGACGGCACAGGTGCGGAGCACTCGAAGTCCGCCTCAACCACCGCATGCGTCTCCCAACCCCCGGCACCCCCCTCGTTGCGCATCAGGACCTGCAAGCAAAATAATGGCAACGGCATGTCCAGCAAGGGCCTCCCTGCTGATGCTGCTGCAGCGGCGGCGGTGCGGCCGTACATCACGGCAAAGGCGCGCGGTGCAGAGCGGGCGGCCGTTTTCCTGAGCGGCATCACTCCCACCGACATCCGACCGCACCCGCTGTGGAGACCAGCCAACGCTGCGCGCTCGTCCAATACGGACAGCGAGGACGTAGAGGTGGAGACGGTGGAGGACACGGCGGTGCGGGAAGCCATGAGCGGCGTAATGAATTCCGTCGACGGCAACAGCGGTAATCTCTCCAGCCGCAGTGGCGCTGGAGCAAGCGAGTTTGTCGTGCACGTTCCTCCATCTGGGCTGACCGGACGCCCCCGCAACGGCGCAGACAGCGCGAGGACGTCGATGAAGGGGAGGTCTGGTGTTGTCGCGATGGAGACAACCACATCGCCGAACTTTGGCGCGGCACAGAAGACGCTTCTAGAAGAGAACTCCAACCTTGCGGTCGTCTCAGTAGCCACCATCTCCTCCACGCTTGCGCTGCTTCCCACCCATGAGTTACTACAGGAGGCTTCCTCGCCGCTCACTCCACAGCAAGTGCAACACCGTCGTCGGCAGCCGTTTGCCACGGACTTCTCGGTGCGCAATCACCGCCAGGAGACTTTCCTCAAATCCCTCACCACTACGATGAAACTCGGGAAGCGTCACAAGCGGCACAGCAACAAGAGCAGCCGTTCTGCCTCGTCTTCGTCGAGCTCGACCGCATCCGCCAATACGAAGAACAGCTCGTACCCAAGTCGCAACAGTGCCTCGGCTCTGGCAACCGCTACACAGCTAAACCCTGCTGCGGTCGGGAACACTTCGGGAACCGCGACAGTCAGTGGCGCTGGCAATAGCAGGCAAGACGGCGGTGGGTCTGGCGGAGCCGCTGCGGGGGCGGCCGGTGCTGATCCAGGGGCACCTGAAGGCTATGTAGGGTCCGATCCTGCACTGCCTCAGCAACAGCAACCGGTGCCGCCTCAAACAGCGAATCACCGTCCCCGAAATGCTGGCGAGAAGCCCCGTCTTCACGTTAGCCAAGTCGTCCGGAAGGAAGGTCAGCGGGTGCGCCTGAGGTGGGTGTACGGCGATACGCTGCAGCAACCGCGCCGCGGCGGGTCCAACGGGTCGTCATCGTCATCGTCGTCGTCTTCGTCTTCCAGCTCGACGTCCTCCTCGTCAAGGGGCTCCTCGGAGCAGTCCTCGTTGCGCCACCACAACTCCCTCGCCAGAAACCCGAACCACGCCAAGAGTGAGAACTCAGCCAACACTCAGATCAACACCATCAACGGCAACGCCGCTGCCCCACCGAAGCTGGCGGCGACGGCAGGGACGGAAACGGATTTTAGTGGGACGCCGCACAGCTTGTCCAGCACGGCGCACACTCGCACGCGCACCTCCTCGTCCTCCTCGTCGTCCTCGTCCTCCTCGTCGTCCTCGTCGTCCGCTTCGTCGCCTGCGAGAAGTTCCCGTCGCCGCCGGCGTCGCGAGCGGGAGCGCTGGCGGTTGTGGTGGGCTCAGTCGGCCGCCACACCGATGTCGCTCTGCACCATTCTGACCAAGTTCGAACCCCGCGTAGCCGCCCTGGGCAAGGAGGACCAGGTGGTTCGACCCTATGGTGGCGAGTCGAACGCAAGCAGCAGCTCGTCTTCGTCGACGGAGCGTTCCTCCTCTTCCTCGTCTTCGTCGTCGTTTTCGTCGTCGTCGAGTTCCACGTCTTCCACGGCCGTCAAGCACCACGACGCTGATGGTGAGTACCAGGACTTCGTCGTCAACAGCCACTACCTCGCCGGCAACTACGCGGACCGTCGTCACGTGGCGGAGATGACGAGCGTCGACGACAGCTCGTCCTCGTCCGACACCGACGGCGCCAAGCGTTCCTCCTCGCTCTCCACCTTCTCGTCGGAGATCGACTCGGCGGGCGACACGCACAGCAAGCGAGGCAGCAGCAGCCGCCTGCACAGCCGGTCCAGCTCCGCGTCGGGGGCCAGCCGTAGCTCTAGTCGGCGCAGCCGCGGCAGCAACAGCAGCAGCCGCAGCTCCCGGGGTAGTCGCAGCAGCTCACACAGCTCCCCCAACACTCACCGGCGCCACCATCACCGCAGTCGCAATAAGGGTGGCATCATTAGTGGAGAGGACAACATGCGCAGCTACCGCAAAATTCTCGCGCGCAAGCAGAGCCGCCACAACCCCTCCTTCTCCAACGCGTACTTCTTGGACACCGGCAACATCACCGGTGGCGAGCGACGACGCAAGATGATTTCGCTCCCGTCCTATCGCGTATCGATGATCTCGTTTGTGGACAAGAAGATCCTCAAGAAAGACTTGAACCACAACTTTTACGTCCAGCACCCCGAGCTGGAGGTGCGCGAGATTAAGCTGACCCACCTTCGCAAAATCAAGAACGAGCTGCTCGTCTACGCGCTCGAGGACAATTCGTTGCTGGACTTGATCACCATCGCCTACGCGTACTGGTACTTCGAGCGGCTGGTCGTGCAGGGCATGGTGGGCAAGCACAACCGAAAGGAGATCATGGCGGCCTGCGTGCTGTTGGCCATCAAGTTCCTCGAGACGGGCGATGTGACGAAGAAGATTGCGTACTTTAAAAACCGCTGGCGCCGCTTCCACAACGTGTCCGGCGTGCACGTGGGCAACGCAATGCTCGGCGGTGGGGCGAGCAAAGAGGCGGAGGAAGATGATGAGGAGGTAGGGCAGGTGGATTGGAAGAAGGTAGAGTTGCAGGAGTTCCCGGTGTACGTCGGTCTTGACTTCACGCTGCTCCCCGATGGCGATGGTCAGGTGATCAAGACGCACCTCGAGCGTCTGCTACAGCTCATCAACGTGACTTCGCAGGAGTACTACAGCAAGAAGTTTGTGGCACCTGCCTACCTAAACACCTACAACTGCTACAGCAACTTGTACTACTAAGACTTGCTGAACTGTGTTGTTTTCGTTTCTTCTTTTGAATGAAGTTTACGGAGTCGCGATTTGACTTTGCAGTCTTTGTGCACGCTGTGCAGCGTTGGAAAGTGGAATTGAGGAAAAGTCAGTTTTTTTTTTATTACTACCTTCTGATTCGCTGAGCTTTGACTTAGCCCGAAGTTGAGTTGCGTGCCTGTCGCTATATTGTTTTCCTTTCATCCTCTCTGTCTCTTATCATCTACGATATTGTTTTCCTTTGGCGCATTGCATGAGAAAAGTGTAGCCGTGCACTTCGCTTTGTCTGTATTTCTCATATTCCCCATTTTATTATTACTACTACTATTGCTGTTTTTCTTCAGGGACTTCTTTCATCGTTTTGCGCGCATTTCAGCTTTTGCTTTCTGTGCTCCGCAGGTGTGTCTGCTGCGTCGCAAGCGCCACGGGCGGAGGGTCCCAGCAAGTGCTGCACGTGTTGGTGTGACGTGGAAAAGAACCCGCGAAAAGAAAAGAAAATCCTCTAAAAAGCAAACATTGCCCCCAGAAGTCCTTCAGCTGTAGAACGTGACAGCAGTATTTTGAAGCAGCCGTTACTTTGACGTAAACTAGAAGAATCGGCGGCTGCAATAATCCCTTTCCTGCTGCGGTTTCAATGAGTCGCAACATCAAATCAAAAGCGGAGGGTGCCTTTAGAACGGTGTTTTGTGGAGCTCTCGCTATCACACAAACGTTGAAGAACACTCTCCCCCCTCCCTCCTGTTTTACTTCTACTGCCTTCCGCTGTGCCTAGCATTTTCACGCCAACAACACAGAAACACATTCCACGCGTGCTCGTGGGTCCCACGAAGTGTCAACTCACTTCCGGTCCTTCACTGTCAGTTCTCCATTATGCAAGCATGCGTTGCTGCTGACGTTCCGCTGGTGCGTCAGGCGTGGCAACGATGTGTTGAGCGTCTCTTTCCTCCGCTCCCCACCGACGCACTGGCGAAGCTCTTCCATCAATTTATCTACGACCGCTACTCGGAGCCGCAGCGTCACTACCACAACCTGCAGCACCTGGAGGAGATGCTGGCGCACCTGACGCAGTACGAGACGGCGCACGGGTGGCACGGCGATTACGTCCCAGCGCTGCCAATAAATCAAGAGAGCGACGCTTGTCTCGGGCTCTGCGCAGAGTCACACACCAGCAATGCAGCGGACGCCGTGCGTCACGACTGGACCGGGACAGTCCTGCTCCTCTCGATTCTGTTTCACGACGCCGTGTACGACCCGAAGCGAGGCGACAACGAGGAGAAGAGCGCCGAGCTTGCCATGGACTTCTTACAGATAGGCGAGGAGCAGTACAAAGGGTGGCGTGGCAGCCTGGGCATCGCAGCCTTGACGATCCCGTCTCCATCGGTACTCTGGACAGACGCGCGGGCTGCGCGGTTTGTGCGCGAAACAACGGAAGACTACATCCTCAAAACGAAGGTGCACCTTTCCGTCGAGCCGGTGGAGAAGCTGCAGCTGTCCTCGCCGCCGACGCCATCCGCCGCTGCCAAGAGCCACGACGATCCGCTGCACGTTTTCCTCGATCTGGACTTATCGATTCTCGGCCACCCGGACGCGTCTACGTACCGTGAACGATACGCGGCAAACATTCAGCGTGAGTACAGCCACTACCCGCGGGCTGACTTTCTGAAAGGTCGGTCCGCCTTTCTCAACAGCTTCTTGAGCAATCCGCAGTGGTTCAAGACACCGTTTTTCTTTGCCCAACTGGAGGCGCAGGCGCGACGCAACGCCGCCGAAGAGGTGACGGAGCTGACGGCGGAGCTGAAGGAACGTGAAGTTCCCGCTGCACCGCAAGCGTAGAGTGGCAACGGAGTTTTGGTTTTGTTGTTGTTCGGGCGAACACGTATGCACGCACGCGAAAGAACTGCCCGTTTACGCATCGGCCGGCTATCTTTCGTTGCATCCACTGCTTATGCTGCTGCATTTGCTTCCAGCTGTTTTCTTTTCTTTTCTTTTAAGCGAGAAACAACCGCAAACGGATTTCTCCTTCTTGGCTTCTCTGCTGGAGCGCGTACGAAACAACAGCTGGGACGACGTAGAAATAGTCATCATTGTAGGCATGGAAAGATCTGCGAGCAAAGAGAGGCAAGGCGGCAGTTTTACCGACAGCAAACGCTGAGCGGAGGAGCTGCCTTCCTACCTACTCGTTTTCGCTTTTCTCTTTGCTTGACACGTGCCTTTTGGAGGACACGAGAAGCGTTGGTCTCACTGGTTTGTGACGTAGAGCGAAATAGCGAAACACCACCCTTACGTCTTTACTGGCTCACATTCTTTTTTTTTTTTCGCCACTGCTGTGGCAATGGCCACCGCGAAATTTGAATCCTCTCGCTCACCTTTTCCTTCTCGCTTTCCTTTCGCCCTCACCCTCGACACCGCTTCTCCGGAAGGTCGAGTTGTAAAAAAACAAACCATTCAAAAGTCATAGTCATTTATACAAACGACGGTCAAACGCGTGAAGTATCTGTTGCCCAGGCACACGTGTTTCCCATCACGATAAAGAGCAAACAATCAAAAAATAGACTTGCAGGTACGCCCACGTACGAGAGGATTTTCATATCTGATTTCCTTTCTAAGGTTCACAGGTAACTGGTGTTATTCTTCTTGGCTTTCTTTCCATTTTGTTTTCTGTGACGCTTACGCCACGGACAATAGAAAAAGCAAAGCTAAGTCATCGTAGTTACAAAAAGAGTTCTACGTTGTTCTGCTTTTGCAGCGAACTCTTACGTTTCAGTTCTCTGAGTTTAACCTTTAAAACAAGACGGAAGGCCCAGCTCTTGCTCTTTGGTTTGAAATTATTTCGCGAGGTGCGCCGCATCGCGAACATTCGTAGCGTGGTCCTGCGTGCCTGAAAGGCTGCCGCATTCCTGTACCTTTTCTTCTTTCCTCTACGTTCATTTTTGGTTCTTTTCCTCTTTCTTTTTCTTCAACGACGTTGGTCAAAAAACACACAAAAGATTTCGTTGTATTTTTCTCCCTTTTCGTTTTGAAAGAAAACACAAATTCAGCTGCGTGGGCTTTTTTTTTCGTTTTCTGTCTTCCTGTTTCTCTTCAACATCCTTTCGAAATCAAAAATACATACACATCAAAATTTTCTCTCTTTCTCTTGTTGTTGCTTCACAAGGAACAAATCCCAAAGAGGTCTATTTCCCTGCTTCTTATAAAGCAAGGACCAAACATGTCCAACGTGCTTCTCGGAGCGTCGCGTGTGTTCGCGACAACGGACGGCGCGGATAAGTTTATCAAACTTGTCATCGGCTTCTTGACAGTTGAGAGCACGAGGGATGTTGCAGCGAAGGCGCATTGCGCCAACGCCGCACAGCATCTGGCGGAGGCGCGCTCCTTTATGCGCGTTGGACGTGTGTTCAACCTCGTCCTCAAGCTGCTATCGCTGCGTGACCTCTTTGCCGCACAGGGCTTCAAATACACTGAAAACAAGAAGTTTGTGGAGTTCGTTAAGACGATCTTTGATCTTCTCTTCGCCGTGTGCGATCACGTGGTGGTGCTCGCGCGCGAAGGTTTTGTCTCGGCTTCGGTTGGCGTTGCGCGGCTGGCGCGTTCAACGCGAGTGGTGCAGGTGCTCTGCCACGTCCTCGGTGTTGTGCACAACCTGCTCGACCTCCGCGACGCCGCACGGCGGCTGGTCTACGACCCACCAGCGGCGGAGCGAGCCTGCAAGATTGCTGGCATCAGCGCGCTGCGCGACGTTGCGGACGCGTTGGTGGCGGTATCGTTCTTGGGACATGCACACAACGGGTGGATGCTTAGTGTGCGCAGCGAGGGCGTCCTCACGTTCTTCTCCGGCGCGCTCTCCACGTACCTCTGCTGGAAGTACAGTTAGTGTTGACGCTGTCTACGACCAGCATAACAACAACGAAAAAGAAACCCACTAGCAACCGGAAAGCAAGACCCAAAGAAAGGGTGAGCTTTGTTTCTCCACAGATCCGTCGTGAGTGTGATTAACGCACAGATGAGAGCACAAGAAGAAAACTGAAGACTGAAGGGCAAATAGCGGTTGAGTTGCCGGATGTGCGAGGCTGCAAAGACGAGACTTGGAGGTTGCCGTCCAGGTCGCAGCGGAGGTATTTAACGGAGCAGCATTTGAGATGATTGTGCTTTAAAAGGAAGAACTCACGGTGCTATTCTGTGAAGCAGAATCCCACTCAGGTGCATCTTGCTACTCGGTATCTTTGCTGTTTCCATTTTTTTTTTCTTCTCCTCTTTGTTCTAATGCCCCGCATTTGCACGTCACGGCGATGCTTTTTCTTCTCTTTTCTCTTTTGCATTCTTTTTACGGGCACACCTTCTCATCGTGCTTTTCCATCAATCTTGCTTCTTCGCACCCTTTTCATTTTTCCTGTTTTCCTTGACAGCGGGGCTCGCATGCGTGACTACGTTTGCTTCTACGGGGTAGTCAAGAGGGACTTGTTTATGTTTAACCATGTAACCAAGCCAGTTTAAAAGAGGAAAAGAAAAAGGTCAACCACAAGAACAGGAAAGAAAAAGTGGTTCATTCTCTGTTCGCTTGACACCACAGCAACTTAGTACGTGGGCTTCCAACGCTTCCCCCGTTTGGCATCGGAGTTGTCGCAATGGTAATGAGCGTCTTTACCCATGATTTGCATTGAAGACCAAGAAGGCTGAGAGGCCTCCTTCAGGTACAAAGTCGTCGAGCCGAAGCTTGCCTTCCTCTTTTTTTTTCTCCCTCCCGCTTTGTGTGATGTGAAGCCCGTTCTTTGATCCTCTTTGGAAGATGACTATATATTTTTTTCCTGGTTCTCGTGAATTATTTCCTTCGCCTGTTTTCTTTTCCCTCTCTTAACTTTCAAACTGATTTCTGTCGGACACGTTTAACACGCGACTTGCTTTGCACAGCTTTATTCTCAGCTACTTCAGCGCCTTCCTTCTTAACTAGCTTTCTCTCAGCGTACTCGTTGTTCTTTCCAGGGATCTCCCTAAATCAAAAAAAAGCCTTAACACCTACCCACATCAATCATGAGCGACTTCGAGAAACTCATCAAGCTTCTGGGCCAGACCGACGGCCGCGATAAGATCTATAAGTTCCTTGCCGGTTTCTTCAAGATCCTGGCCGCCGTTGCCGCCCAGAGCCAGGACTCGCGCGCGAAGGCCTACGGCGCCATCGGCAACTCCATCGGCAGTGCGCGCTCCCTCATGCGTATGGGGAAGTTCATCGGTGATGTGCCGAAGCTGCAGAAGGTCGTGGACACCGTCGTGGCGAAGGGCGTGACGGGCACTGAGATGAAGAAGTACATCGAGTTCTTCCGCACCCTCGGCAACTCGCTCTACATCCTCGGCGATAACGTCGCCTTCATCGCGAAGCACAAGCTCATCGCTGCCAACGCGAAGGTGGCCACGAAGTACGCCAAGATCGCCCAGTTCTGGGGCTTCTTCCTCGCCGCGGTCCTCGACCTCATCGCGTTGCGCGCCGCCCTGCAGAAGCGCTCCTCGGACGAAGCCACGAGCAAGAAGGAGGCGAAGGCCGCCGTGATCAACCTGACCAAGGATGGCTCCGATGTGCTCGTGACGATGGCCGCCGTCGGCTACCTCAAGAACGTGTGGCACCCGTCCAGCATCACCGCTGGCGCCCTGACCTGCGTGTCCGGTGGTGTCGCCACGTACTTGAACTGGAACAAGATCAAGTAAAATGGTCATGTGAGAGGGGCAAAAAAAAAATAGGCAACACCGCCGCTTCATCCACTTGGATGGCTGTGATACACTTAAAAGAAGGGAAGAGAAAGAAGATAGGCGGCGTGGAGGCTGACCCTTTTTCTTTCGTAAGGGGTGTGCGTTTTACTGTGTGCGTGGTCTGTGAAAGCCCGCGTACGTGCGTGGGTGCATTTCGAGAGTGTATGAAAGGAGGCATGGCAACACAGTTTCAGGTGATCCCGGGAACAAGCATCGCGACGACACGCTGAATGTGCACTGTGACTGCACGGCGCTGTTTCGGGCTTTTTGTCGAAGGGCATTGCCTTTGCTAGATGCTGACACCTCTTTTCTTTTTGTCGTGTTCGCGCTATCCAAAAAGGGTTGAAGACGAAGCCACGAGAACTGGGAGGAGACAACGGTTCTTGCGTGTGGGTGGCATGGGCTGTTCTCGGCTTTCTAGTTAGAAAGCCGAAAACTCCTCTCTTCGCTTTTTTTTTTTTACCCCCTCTTTATATTAATGATCGCTGACTTGCGCGCTCTTTTCCCTTTTCTTTTGTTTTTGTTTTCTTTGGTGATAGTGTCTCACATGGTGCTTCCAGAAAGCAATGTCATCGATGAGGTGTTTTAACCATTCAAAAGATGCGCTCGTTTCTTTATGAAAAAAAAGTTTTTCTTTCTTCTTTTCATTGTCTTGCGGTCATGGAAGACATTCATGCTCGACGAGTGCAGGGAAAATATATAATAATACCGCAACAGCAAAATGAATATTATTAATCAAACATAATATGAACGTGAATCAAAAAACCAGTTGTGCTTAAGTGTTCGAATTTTTTTTTTAGGGGAAAAGGTGGAGGAATTGGTGAGTGGAGCGGTGGAATCGGCGGAAGAAGAGGAAAAGAGAGAAATGCGGGACGAAAATGTAGACACAAATAACAACAAAGCACACACACACACACAGAGGTTGTCACGTCTCGTCACGCATTTCGCCCTCCCCTTTCTCTTTCTTTGACTTTGTCTAGGGTTTTGTTTTGTCAATATATACGCACACGCACGCAGAAAGGCACTTCTCGCTTCCTCTTTTTTTTTTCTATTCTTATCTATCGTAGCTGTGATGACGAAATAATAATAAAAAAGAAGAAGAGAAGAACGGAGAAAGAAGGATGCTGATATGAGCTGCGAGCGATTGTGTGCTGACGTGTCTTCTTTTTTTTTTCTTCTGTCTTTTCCACCATTGCTGCTCCCTCTGCGGCCCAAAAAGAAGACATATATATTTCTATATATAGATGAACATCAGCAACAGAATTGGCGAAGGTGTGTCCTTTCGTGCTCTCCTTCGTGTGTACTGCGAGGAAAGGACCGTTCGACGAATCTCTTGGTTTCGTGCCTTGTGAACGCCGGAGAGGGAAACGGCAAGCAACCTGTTATGCGGCATGACGGGGTACAGGTGTGCTCGAAAGGATAGATCGATTACAACAGCGCGTTATGGCTTCAAATGGCTGTGCTGTCAGGAATGTAACCTCAAATCTTGAACCGCCGCGCGGATGCGTTCTGCCTTCATGTTTCTCTTCCCCTTTTTTCCCATGCGCCGTCCATTCCTCTCCCACGCATGGTCCTTTTCTCTTGACGTTTCTTTCTTCCCTTTTACTGCTTTCCGTGGAACGATGCACATCCACATTCCAAATATTCCCTCATGGAAACGGCGAGAGAAATCATAGATTCATACAAAACACAACGCGCGCCCATGAGGCGAGACAGCGGTGCACAAGAGGTGAGCTGTGCGGTGGCTCTTCCTGTTGCACTTTACCCTGCACTGCTCCACCGCAAACTCCCCACGAATGCCGGCACCACTAGTACTGCCGGTACGACCGGCGCCGTCGGCGGCGAGCACACCGGCGGACATCCTCAAGAGGCGTGTGTGCCGGGGGTCATCTTGGAAGTGCGGCAGCTGTGGCAGTCTACCTCCAACGGTGGACGCAATTCTGTCAGCATCGCTGCTGCCGAGGCCGCAGGACCTTCGCCAAGCTCGCCGGAAACATCAGACGCCTTTCACCTCCCGACGAGTTCTTCCCCTGCGTTCTTAAAGAAAAACGACACGGCCTCTTCCGCTACAGAGAAGGACAGCTTGTACGCCTTTGTTCGTATCAAAGACGCGGACCACCGTCTGAGTGGGTGGTTTCCGTTGCACCGGGTCTACGTGAAGCTCGACAGTGCTGTGTTAGCGTTTGGGGACAGTGCTGTCTCTCCACATGACGCGTCCGTCGCCTCAGGCGTTTCAGAGGACGTATCTGCGTCTGCCGCGGCACGCGGTCTTTCCGACGACTGGACCCCGCTCGCACGTGTGCTGCGCCGGCCGTGGCTCAGCGATGTCTACGACGAAGTCACCCCTGGCATGGCCCGCACCCAGCGTGCACACCGCCAGCTCGACTACCTCGAGGAACGACTCCTCCGTGACTGCCGGACACCGACGACGGTGCGCTACTTCGTCTATCTGAACAACTATGTCTTTGCACCGTGGTACTACGCCCCCTTCGGGTTGCTCAACAGCGAGTACGATCCCACGCTGCCGTGCGGTGCGAGTGCGCAGCAGCAGAACCACGCCGCAAGTGCTGATGGCGCGGTAGCCAAATCGTGCATACCGCAGCCGCAACCGTACATCCGTGATGCTTTTCTCTGCCCCTTCTCGCTCCGCATCTTTTCCACTTTCGCGCAGCTGCACTATGAGACGCGCTCCTACCGCGCAGGGCGGCTGCGACCGCCAGGTGAAGAAATCTACCGCGATGAACGGCGCGGTCTGTCGCTCTTCCGCATCAACGGCAGCCAGCACGTCACCTACTGCAGGCAGCTCTTTCTCATTGGTAAGTCCTTCTTAGAGAACAAGCTGGCTGGGCATGATGTGCACAGCTACTACTTCTACGTTGTCTGCCTGCACCATCGCTACTTCCCGTCCTACGTGTCTGACGAGTCCGCCATGTTCTTTGCGGGCTTCTTTACGTGGGAGAAGCAGGTGATCGAGTACAACCTGGCCTGTATTGCGACGCTGCCGTGTTTTGGCCGCAGGGTCGCCCCCCGCCCCCCACCTCTTCCTGCAGCATCGCCGTTAGGAAATCCGGCCCGTGGCCAAGTGCAATCGGACGTGTCTGCGTCTTCTTCCGCACCGCCGCCGGTACTCCGCAACATCGGACAGTTTATGATTGCCGTCAGCTACGAGCTTGCTTACCGGCGAAAGCAGATTGGCACTCCAGAAAAGCCGCTGTCTGACCTCGGCGCGGTGGCCTATCAACATTACTGGCGACGCGCACTCGTGCGGTGGATGAAGGCAACGCTGAACGAGATGCGGCGGGCAGCGGCGGTGGACGTGGACGGCGTCGCTGCTGTGGCTTCTTCAGAAAAGCGGAGAGATGAGCATCAACCTCCTGACGTCTCGCTGGACGTGGTGGCGGTGTTCACCGAAGATGAAAGGAACGAGGCAGACAACAGTGACGGTGGTAATGGCAAGACTGGGCGATGGGGTTTCGCTGCGGGCACGCGGAAACGCGCTCGCAGGGCTGCTGCTGCTGCTGCTGCTGCGGCGGCGAATGTTGTAGAAGTTGGTGAAGACGACGACGCGGAAGTCGCGGAGGGCGACGAGAATCATGACGATGACTACACGAGTGCAGGCAACGCGAGACGACGTCAGCTGCCTGCGCCGTTACCCATGTGTGCGTCTCCTACGAAGCCTGCATGGAACGCGGCGGCCATCGACAACGAGTCCTCATCGCCAACCACGTTTACAGGTCGGACCACCATCAAAGAGATTGCCGCCGCTGTGCGCCTGGAGGAGGCAGACGTGCTCAAGACGCTGCTGGGTTTGGGTGTGTTGCACCACAGCAGCGAAGATCGGAGTATTCAGCTTCTCCTTCCTCAACGGTACGTGGACTGGATGTACGATGAAATGCTCCGGTGGGAGGGCAGCGCGACGCACGCGGTGTTTGAACCTGCGTTGCTCAGGTCACGCGGTCGAACGAAATAGCCCTGAGTTCAGCGGAGGAATGAAGGAGAAGAAAGAAGGGGAAAACAGATTCGACCATCTGCAGTGTTGTACGCCCCATTGTGTGCTGCTTTTCTGCTAGTACGGATCGGAGGATCATTCTGATGTGCCACGCTTTCGAGATTGACGCCGGAGCGCATATTGTTTTCCCTTTTAGCACGCATTTACAGAGCGTTTCAGCAGCTCACGACCAACCAGCGTGTTCTTCAGCAGATCTGTTCCGACTGCACGGCGAATGCCACGACGCGAAAATTGAGTGGCACCGTGATGTACGCCAGCCTATGTACTTCAAGGGAGAGAACGCGTTGCGATTGAACCGTCTGCTGGAGGAGTAGTAATGGCAACCCGCGGCACAACCTGCTCTAGCCACCAATGTTTGCTTCATTACGACGTTTGTCTTTCCTCGCTCCACTCTCCACTCGGCGCCTCTCTTCCTCTGTTTTTCTTTGCATGCTTTCACAGTCCCTTTTGTGTTCACCTCTCCGCTCGACTGGTGTCAATTTGGTTTGCTACGCTACCCGTCGCTGTGCGAGGCAACACACACAACTAAATATATATATTACTCCCCCCCCCCCACCACACATACACACTCAGTACATCTAAGGGAACGAAAAAAAATATACCTTTGGCGCATAAAATAGAAAGACCGTTGAGAGCTTCGGAAAAGAAGAAAAAGGAAATCAACGAAGCGTGCCACGTCCTCAAGAGCGGCGTTTTTGCGTTCTTTTTTGTTGTTGGCTTCTCTGCTTTTCAGAGTGTGTCGGCTGTCTACCGCGCTCGGAACTTAATAACATTTTTTCCTTTTCTTGTTGCTTTGTCATTTATTGGGAGCTACGCGGTGCTTGGCGCGGGCGTTGCAGCTGTAAAACACTTAAAGAGAAAAAGGAGGCCAAGACTGTGAGAGGAAATACGAGACGTTCTGTCTTGCTGGTTATTCGTGTTTCCGATTAAATTATCTTTGTGCTTTTTTAAATTCTTTTTTTTTGCTTTTTCCATTGCACACTTCCATTAAAAACAAAAAAAAAATAGCAAGCCATCCAAAAAAGAACTTACATTCCTACATATTATTTTTCCCTTACAATCTACAACCATACAGTACTATTGCACGCTTACACAGACACCCGTAGCTATATATTTGTTTGTTGTGCTCCGGTACAAACCAGAATCGCATAGATAATACCTTTTTTTTCCCTCTTCATTTCGTTACTCAAATCCAGAAAGCAAAGATGGGCCGCACTGTTGAACAGATATATCAGAAAAAGACGCAACATGAGCACATTCTCACGCGGCCCGACATGTACATCGGTACAATCGAGCCCGTGACGGATGACATGTGGGTCTACGACAACGCGGAGAACATCATGAAACAGCGCAAGTGCACCTGGATACCGGGGCTGTACAAGATCTTTGACGAGATCCTCGTCAACGCAGCGGACAACAAGGTGCGCGATCCTCTGGGGCAGACGATCATCCGGGTGTGGATGACGGACGAGTACGTGCGCGTGTACAACAACGGCGAGGGCATCCCCATCCAGAAGCACCGGGATCACGATTTGTGGGTGCCGGAGATGATCTTTGGCCACCTCCTCACCTCGTCCAACTACAACGACGCCGAGGCGAAAGTGACCGGCGGCCGCAACGGCTTCGGCGCGAAGTTGACGAACGTCTTTTCGAAGCAGTTCGAGGTAGAGACGGTGCACGGGCGGTCGCGCAAGAAGTTCTACATGAAGTGGACGAACAACATGCTCCAGCACGACGACGCCGTCATTGTGCCGTGCGATAGCGCCGACTACACGATGGTCACCTTCTACCCCGACTTCGACCGTTTCCACGTGGCGAAGTTCACCGAGGACATGCTGCTGATGATGAAGCGGCGTGTCTACGACGTGGCGGGGTGCACAGACAAGACCCTCAAGTGCTTCCTCAACGACGAGAGAATCGCGTGCACGACGTTTCCAGAGTACGTGGACTTGTACCCCACAATGGGGGAGGAGAAGAAGGCGTCGAGCTATGCCCGCGTGAATGACCGGTGGGAGCTGTGCGTGCGTATCTCCAACATGGGCTTTCAGCAGGTGAGCTTCGTCAACTCCATCGCCACCACGCGTGGCGGCACCCACGTCAAGTACATCATGGATCAGATCGTGACAAAGGTGACGGAGCAGGCGAAGAAGAAGCGAAAGACGGATGTGAAGCCGCACATGATTCGCCCACACATCTTCCTCTTTCTCAACTGCCTCATCGAGAATCCCGGCTTCGACTCGCAAACGAAGGAGACGCTCAACACGACGAAGATAAAGTTCGGTAGCACGTGCGACCTGCCAAACAGCCTCATCGACTACATCGTCAACTCCGGCATCGTGGAGCGCTCGGTGGAGATGGCGAACAGCAAGCTGACGAAGGAGATGGCGTCGAAGATGCGCTCGTCGGATCGGAAGCAGATTATGGGCATCCCGAAGCTGGACGACGCGAACGAGGCGGGCGGCAAGTACAGCCACCGCTGCACGCTCATCCTGACAGAGGGCGACTCCGCCAAGACGCTCTGCACGGCCGGCCTCGCCGTGAAGGACCGCGACTACTTTGGTGTGTTTCCGCTGCGCGGCAAACCCCTCAACGTGCGCGAGGCCTCGCTGAAGAAGCTGGCCCAGTGTGAGGAGATCCAGAGCGTCATGAAGATTATGGGGCTGGATCTGCGTCAGAAGTACGAGAACGTCGATGGTCTGCGCTACGGGCATCTTATGATCATGTCCGATCAGGATCATGACGGGTCGCACATCAAAGGTTTGCTCATCAACTTTATCCACTGCTACTGGCCGAACCTGCTGCGTATCCCCGGCTTTCTGCAGCAGTTCATCACGCCGATCGTGAAGGCGCGTCCGAAGGGGCACGGCGGGGCTGCCAAGGCCATCTCTTTCTTCTCCATGCCGGACTACTTCGAGTGGAAGCAGGCGATTGGCGACAACATCAGCAACTACCAACTGCGCTACTACAAAGGTCTCGGCACATCTGGCGCAGAGGAAGGCCGCGAGTACTTCGAAAACATCGATCGCCATCGCCTCGACTTCTATGAGCAGAGCCCGCAAGAAGAGGACCGGATTGTGATGGCGTTCGGCAAGGACCGCGTTGAGGATCGCAAGGACTGGATCACGAATTTCAAGACGAATGTCAACGTGAATGAGTCGATGGACTACAACGTGCGCCAGGTGTCTTACAAGGACTTCGTGGACAAGGAACTCATTCTCTTCTCCATCGCGGACTGCGAGCGCAGCATTCCGAGTGCAATTGACGGCTTCAAGCCGGGTCAGCGCAAGATTCTCTTCTCCTGCTTTAAGCGCAACCTCGTCAACTCGATTAAGGTGGTGCAGCTGGCCGGTTACGTCTCGGAGCACTCCGCCTACCATCACGGCGAGCAGTCGCTCGTGCAGACCATCGTGGCGATGGCGCAGGACTTTGTCGGCAGCAACAACGTCCCGCTGCTGCGCAAGGACGGCCAGTTTGGTACCCGTCTACAGGGCGGCAAGGACCACGCCGCGGGTCGTTACATCTTCACTCGGCTCATGCAGGTCGCCCGCGCCATCTTTCACCCGGCAGACGGCTACATTGTGGAGTACAAGGACGACGACGGGCTGTCGGTGGAGCCGTACTTCTACGTGCCCGTCATTCCAATGGCGCTGGTGAATGGCACGGCTGGTATTGGTACCGGCTTCAGCACGAACATCCCGAGCTACAACCCTTTCGAGGTGATCGACAACTTGGAGCGGCTGATGCGCGGCGAGGATACGAAGAAGATGCAGCCGTGGTACTTCGGCTTCACTGGCGCCATGGAGGAGAAGGAGCCCGGTAAGTTCGTGTCGCACGGCAAGTACGAGATTCGCCCCGACGGCGTGGTGTGCATAACCGAGCTGCCGATCGGTGTGTGGACGCAGAACTACAAGAAGTTTCTCGAAGATTTGCGTGAGAAAGAGATGGTGGTGCAGTACCGTGAGTACACGACGGATCTCACGGTGGATTTCGAGGTCTTCTTGCACCCCCAGGTGCTACAGCAGTGGGTGGCGCAGGACGTCGTGGAGGAGCGCCTGCAGCTGAAGGAGTTTGTGCACGCGACCAACATTATCGCCTTCAACAGGGAGGGCCAGATCACTAAGTACCTCGATGCCGAGTCGCTGCTGAAGGACTTCTACCTGGTGCGCCTGGAGTTCTACGCGAAACGCAAGGACTACCTACTCGGCGAGCTGCGTCGACTGACCAGCAAGCTGGAGAACATGGTCCGCTTCGTGCGCGAGGTGATCGAGGGCACGCTGATCGTGACGAAGCGCAAGAAGAAGGAGCTGCTGGACGACTTGCAGCGCCGGCAGTACCTGCCCTTCCCGCCCTACTCCAAGAAGAAAGTGTCCGCCATGACGGTCGAGGAGGATGAGGAGGAGCAGCGGACCAGTGCGCAGGCGAACGACGAGGAGAATCTTCTCGGACTCACTGCCGACCCCGCTGCCATGGAGGACACAGAGGCGCGTGAGACACCTGAGCTGCGTCGTGCGACCCGCGCGTACGACTACCTGCTGGGCATGAAGCTGTGGAATCTGACGGCGGAGATGATTGCCCGGCTGGAGGCACAGCTGCAGCGCGCGCGCCACGACACGGCCCTCATGGAGGCCCGCACGCCAAAGGACATCTGGACGGAGGACCTGAAGGTGCTGCGTGAGAAGCTGGAGAGCTACTTTGCGGACCGAGAGAAGGAAATCGCAACGGTGCAGCGCAAGAAGATGGAAAAGAAGAAGCCCTTCGACTCTCGCCGCTTGCGGGTGCCGATCCTTTCCGACAAGGCCCGCTCGCAGCTGCAGAAGGATGCGGAGAAGGCTGCGAAGGCGACGGGGCGCCGTGCTGGCGGCGATGACGCAAGCGTTGGCGGCGCCTCCTCTGCCGGTGGGGCGGGCACGCGACCGCCGCCGAAGAAGGCAGCGAGGCGGCGGCGAAGGAAGAAGGACAGTGACGAGGACAGCGAGTTCGACGAGGACGACTGGATGGACGATGATGACGACGACGATGACGACGAGGGCGGCAACATCGTGGGTATGGGCGACGCTGGGGCACCGCCGGTGGTGGTGGCCGCGGCAGCGTCGCAACGAAAGCCGCGGTCTGCCTCGCCCAAAGCGAAGACTGCCGCGAAGAAGCGCACGCGAAGGAAGAAGAGCGAGAGTGACAGCGACGACGACAGCGACGACGATAGCGATGGTGGTGGCAGCAGCAGCAGCCCGAAGCCGGCGCTCAGAAAGCCGAAGCGCGAGAAACCAACCGCAAAGGAAGCGACACACGTGAGGGATGACTTCGACTTGGATGGGTTTGGACTCGACGCGCTTACGGCTCCCTCGTCAACCGCAAGGACTGCCGCCGCTAAAGCAAAGTCAGCAATGACGGCCACCACCGCCACATCGTCGCAGCCTTCTGGAAGTACCAGCACCGCCGCAAGCATGAACGGGCACTCGATGCTGGCCCCCCGCAGCACCGCCCTCGACGACGACGATGACGACCTTCTGCTGCTCGGCCTCACAAAGGCGAAGACGGAGACGCCGTCGGGCACTACGGCAACGACGAATGGAAAGGCCGCCGCATCGTCCGCCGCCAAACCTCGTGCAAAGGCGGCATCGCAGCGCAAGCGTCGTGGTGGTGACTCCAGCGAGGAGAGCGACTCCTCCGACTCTTCTTCCAGTGACTCCTCCTCCGCGTCGTCGTCGGAGTCAGATTCGGATTACAGCTTCAGCGACTAAGGCCATCGCTTTCTGGTATGCTTTTCCCGTCAATAATATGGATGTTGCTTTGCACCCAGCGCTTTCATGTACGAGTCTGCGGCTCCTTTTTCTTTCTTCGTGGATGTGCCATTCTTCGTTTTTATTTTTTTCGTTTGCGTCACGAGCGCTCATAGCGGTGAGGTGGACACCCACACACGCCTGAACGCATGCGGAGCGGACCCTAAAAGGCTGAAAGTGAAGTGAAAGGGAAAGGGTAGAAAAACTAATGAAAACACTATATAGATTCCCCCACATCCACGCACCTGCCGCTACAGTGGATCAGTAACCGTAACTGCTCCGCCTTCATCGTCTTGAATCATTTGGCAGTAAGATCCAGCCATTCAAGCCACTTAAAAAGGTCACGCTCTCCACATGCGTAAATAGCTCTTCACTGCTTTCTTCACTTCTGCCTTCTTCTCACTTTCCACTGTTGCTTCTCTATCGTCGCTACGCAGCTTGCGTGTATTACAGCGCGAGACTTCACATTCACAAGAACTGAGATCGAAGTGGTAACAAATAAGTACACACATTATTTGTTTGTTTTCTTCTTCTAAACGAAGTCGATTTGTTGAAGAGGAAAAAGAAACCAGCAAGTAATAGCGTATCGCCCTAATGGACCTCGCGGGCAGTCGACGCGGCGTCGCCGACCGCGGCGAGCGGCAGGGCATGAAGCTGCACGCCGTTATCATCGGTGAACCTTTGCTGCCCATGCGCATGCATGGCGGCCATCTCGTGGCCGTTGGCCCGCTGAGCCCGCTGAGCCCGTCACCGCGGCTCCCGGCGGCGCTGCTGCCCGTGTGCAACACCTCCGTCATCGACTACGTGCTGGAGAATTTGGTGGTGAACGGGGTAGAGGAGGCGACGGTGTTGCTCAACGCGTCGTCCGCAGTAGCGACCATAGCACATCTATCGACGTGCCGGACGGCGCGCGGCAAGCCGTGGACGCAGAGCGACTCGATTCGGGTGAACGTGGTGGAGTGCGCGCGCCGCATCGCTAGCCTGGCCGACGCCGCGCAGGAAATGCGCGAGCGCAACGTGGTGGAGCAGCAGGGTTCCTTCCTCTTCGTCCCGATCGACAGCATCGCCTCCTTCGCGAACCTGCGGGTGTGCTTTCAGACGCACCTCGAACGCGTTCGCAAGGTGGGCAAGTACGCCGCGACGCTGCTGTGCGTGTCCTCCCGCGCCTCGCTCGTCGCGGCGCAGCATAACTCTCTCGTGAATCACCTTGGCGAGGCGGAGGAGGCGGCGGCGCAGCAGATCATATCCCCGACAAACCTGCGGCACGGGCTGCTTAGCATCCAGCAAACGTCCGACATGCTCCGCCTGCGCAGCTACGCGGCTCCGTACGCGCCGAAGGAGCACCACACCATGTTCGTCGTGAACAAGGCGACGCAGGTGGTGACGTACATGGCGCGGTTCGAGAACGGCGAGGACGCGCCGGAGCCGCCGACGGTGGTCTTTAACGGCTCTGCACAGCAGTCGGTGCGCATGGACTTGACACCGACAGGGTTTCTCTTCTGCTGCAGCGAGGCCTTGTCGCTGATTGAGTTCCACATTCGCGACCTCTACAGCTTCCTCAATCTCTCTCTTCTCGGCCAGGCGGAGATCTTCGGCAACGTCTTCGGCATCATCGAGCTCCCGTCCACGACGGCCGTGGTGGAGTCGATGAACGGCGTCGAGGCGTACATCCAGGCCAACTTAGACGTGTGCGCCCGTCGCCTCTTTCCCATGACGCGCGAGAGCTGCTTTGCCGAGGCGGTCGCCAAGTACGCCGTCGCCTCCCTCTGCGAGACCGTCTACCTACACACCACGGCGAAGTGCGCCAGCAGCAACGTGGGACCCAACGTCGTCGTCGGCGAGCAGGTGAACGTGCCGGCGACGGTGGAGCTGGTGGGCACGGTGCTGGGCGCCGGTGTCGAGCTAGGCGAGGGGGCTATCCTCCGCAGCAGTGTAATTATGGACGGCGTCCGCATTGGCGCGGGGTGCTCCCTGGAGGGCTGCCTCGTCGGCCCGCACGCGATCATCCGCGATGGGGCGGAGCTCTCCTACGCCGTGATCGGCGAGCGCTGCATTATCGACGGCGTGACGTCGGGCGGCGCCTCGCTGGTGTTGTCACACGTGGCCATCGAGTGCGATGTGGCGGAGGCGATGAAGGAGGATGCCGAGCATGAAAGCGTCGCCCGCAATGGCGGCGCATCCTCCGCCGCTCCTTCCTCCTCTGCGGGTGCTGCTTCTTCGTCGTCGAGCGACGTGGACGGTGGCGATGCTCGCGGGACGGACGTGCTGCTCGTCGGCCAGAACGGCCGCGGCCACGCCGTGGAGGAGCGATACAGCAGCAGCATCATTCCCACCACGGCCCTCTTCACGGAGGACCCGGTGGCGCGCGCGGTGCAACAAGACGAGGAGGACGACTTCTCCGAAGAGGATGACGAGCGTGGCTTGTTCCGCCGCAGCATTCAACGCCACGTCGAGACCGCCCTCCTGCACCCCGGCCGCATTGAGGCGAGCAGCTACGACATGTCTACGGTCTGCCTGACCAGCGGTTTCGGTTACCCCGAGATGTGCGAGATCGTGACGGAGCTGCTGATGGAGCACCTTCTTGCGGAGCGGAAGGACGAGTCTGGTGCGGTCATCGTGGCCTCGCCGGCAGACCTGGTGGACGCCGCACACGAGTTGTTCCAAATGTGGTGTCGTCCCTTCTACAACAACTTCCTCTCTCGCAACAACCAGCAGAACGTGGAGGCCATGGTGGCCACGCTGGAGGGCCTCTGCGGCTCCATCGGCAGCGAAACCTGCCCTTTGCATTCCTACGGCCCGCAGCTGGTGGAGATGCTTTACTACGGCTGCGATGACACCCTCTACGACGAGCGCGGCTACTGCATCGTCAGTGAGGAAGGCCTCTTCGCCTTTGACGTGCAGATGGAGCACCGCCGTGAGGTGCTGCAGCGCTACACCACCTTCAAGGGCAAGAAGCACGACAGCAGCTCCAGCTCCAGCTCGAGCACGTCGTCAGATAGCGACGACAGCGGTGACAGCGATGACGACGAGTCCCGCGATTTGTACGAGGAAGGCAAGGTGTTGGTGGCCGTCAGCTGCCACGATTTTATCGAGGGAGTGCGGGCGTTCATCCAGGGCCAGGACGGTGGTTGACGTCTCCGGGTTTTCTTCCCCTCCTTTTTCGTGTGTGCTGCGACTCGGGTCAACGTAGGCGCGTTCGTCATCCATGCCCTCTTGCCTTTAAAAAAAACTTTTCCCCTCTCCGCTGATGTGGCGATGCCTTTTCGCGTGAACCGTCTCGTTTAACGTTGGCTTTTTTTTTGTAGTAAGCTACGCCGTAATACGCACCAACAACATCAAGAGCAACGGTAAGAATAATGTGAAGCTTTTAGCTGCGAGAAGGGTGCATCTGCACGGATGGCCAACCATTGTTGTGCTGAATCCACCAAGCGTTTACGCCTAGGTTACACTTCTGTAAGAACCCCGGTATGATGGACACCGTCGACACACTGTCGCTGCGTTTTTTGTGAAGAGAAGCCGTGGGGAGTGTGATGGATATCGGTGTCTCTTCCGTTTTCATGCAATGTAGCGTTGTACGCGCCCCTCGCCTGTGAAAAAACAACAACAACAGCAACAACAAATGCCACTGTAGCCTGCAAGTTCCTATATTTCTCACTTTTCTTTGTCTCGCTCTTACACTCCTTCGAAAGCACCAAGGAACTAAGAAGTCGTTCTCATAGAAGTTGTGCCGCACCTCCACACGTGGCACCTCATAGAAGAACAAAAAGAGAACTCACTGATGAATAACGGCCCTCCCCTGTAGCGCATTCCCCCCTCCCCTGCGCATTCGTGAACGATCATCAAATTCACGCGACTACATAAACGTCATCACTCATAGAACTACGAGCAACTCCATACAAATTGTCCTTCATTGAACCGGCAAGAGGTTTCTTCTCCGTTTTTCGATATCATACCTATCCGTGCACCATCGCTAGACTCGGAGAGACGTTGCAGGGCTGCGTGGATAACACTCCTTTCAGTTCTGTTCTCTTTTTTTTTTTCCGATCGTCACGGCCACTTCTTCCTTCGCGCTTGTCAATCACCAATTGCACTCCATCGGAGAAGCGCAAAAAAACTCGACCAAGCACCGCATTGTGGCAACACACGAAATGTCCCTGTCGTCGCTGTCCCCCGTTTCGATGTCGGTGTCGCCGATCGACGCCGCCGGCTCCGCCTTCACGCCCACGTCGCCGCCTTCGCGGTCGTCGGCGTCGCCGGGACTCGACGTGGCGGGGCCGCCCAACGAACTCCGCGACTTGAGGCGCCGCACCCACACGCTGCAGGCGGAGCTGGACCACTACCAGCAACTCGGCCAACGCGCGACCGACGCCTTTGAGGAGCACCGACGCGATCTAACGCAACTGGCGCAGAAGGAGCGCGCCATACGAAGTCATCGCGAGGATGCCTTGCGAGATCAACTGCAAGACGCGTTGACGGCGAATAAGGAGCTCATGACCCGCGTCGCAGAGCAGCGACGCCAGCACGACGACGCGTGGCGAGCGGAGTTGCAACGGCATCGTGACGCGAGCGCGCAGCGGCAGGCGGCGCTGGAAACGCTTCTGACGCAGCTGCACACCGAGCGGGCAGAGCTGCAGCGCAGTGTCGTGGGTGCAGAGAGGACACAGTGCGTGTATCGTGACGAAATTGACGCGTGCCTAGAGGAGCAGAAGCAGCTGCAACAGAAAGTGCGGCTCCTACGTGACGGCTTGGAAGGCGCAGTCGAGGCGAGGAAAGCGGACGAGGTCAACGACTGGACCGCCAAGGAGCACGATGGTGCGACGCACGAGCCGTTGTCTACGCATTGCGGTCATCGCCCACGGCAGCTCTGCTGCGAATGCTGCGACGTGCCGCCGACGGTGTGGACGGGGCCGTCGCCGACACGCCGCGTTCCACGACGGCGGTTCGTGCCGGCCGGGAAGTGGGACGCCTGCTGCCTCTCCCGAGCATCCTCGCCTGCGACGCACCACGTGGATGCACTTGTCTCGAATATTGAGAGGGAGAACTACCTGCGGCCGCGACTCTATTTGCAGCGCTGTGGGAGAGAGATGCCTCCGGTGTTGGCGACAGCAACGGGGCCGAGTTCCCCCCTCGGCGACAACGTTGATATGGAGAAGAGGGACGCCGTGCCCTATCGTTCTGCGCTGTCGCGGCCGCATCGAAGCAGCGCTTCGCAGGGTCTGTCGTCCACCACTGCCTCTTCCGCTTCGCGCACCTGCGGTACGAACACCTCCTCTTCTTCATCGTCCTCCATCAGCAGCACCTCTGTGCCCACCAGCAAACACGCAGGGGAGGATCAGAGGCACCGCAGTACCCGCCGAACGCGATCGCGCGAGCGGGCGCCGTCCTCTAGGCGCGTGCGTTCTCCTTCCCCGCAATCTCGTGGTACGGGGCTTAGGGAAGGATTTGCTGCTCATCCTCCTCGCCTCAACGACTACAACAGAAAGGCACAACCTTCTTCCTTCTGTATGACGACCTCTCTAACAGCGCGACACAACGCCTACAGCGGCTCCGCCATCAACACGGTCTGTCACTCCCTCATTTCTGATCTGGCGTCTGCACGTGCGGAGTACCAGCGCTTCCAACATCAACTGCGCGACCCCCGCGGCGACTCTGTTGAGGCGAGCCAGCAAATGCGTGGGCTGATGCGGCAGATGGATGACAAAATCAATCAGATCCGCGCGCTGCGGAGGGAGCAGGAGAAACACCGCGACTCTCTGCGCATGCACGATGTGCTGCAGCAGGTGATGGCAGAGAACCGGTACTGCGAAGCGGTTTATAAAGACTTGATGGAGCTCATACGTGCGTGATCACGGCTTGTGCGAGGGTTTGTGGCTGATCGAGAAAGAGAGATAGAGAAAGAGGGCAACAACAAAAGAGGTTGAAACTGGGGGGAGGGAGCACCGCAGCATTAACAACGGCGGACACCTTCGCGTTGTGAGAAGCGAGGGATCGCCGACTCCTCACTTGCAATTCCACCACTTCTGAACTCCGTCTCTCCCCCCTCCCCTCCTCCTCTTTCTCCCTTCCTCCTTCCAGCGTTGAAATCATCGTGTTCGATCTCACGTGATTTCATGCACACGAGCGAAGATGTGCATGGAAATGTCACCACCAAGTACGTACGTACCCACCCATAGAGCTGCAGGATACGCTGAAAATTGAAATAAAAAGTAAAACTGTATCTGTAGGTGTCTCAAATGGACTCTGAGCCGCCCAGCCGCGAATGCCTTAGGAAGTGCCTTGCGTAGTGCGGCTGTGGCAGCTCCGTTTAATTCGTCCGACCAATCCGTTGAGACAACATGAAACGCACGCAGTCGCCTTGTTCGCGAGTTTGCGTTTGCCAACCGAACAACGCGAGCAACAGCAACAGACGGAAATACGCCACGGCGACGTTATTCTTTGTCTTTCTTCTTGCACGTTTCATTCTCTCTCTCCTCTCGCTTTTCTTTTGGCTTCGTTGGCTGCGTTGGTCTCTCCCACGCTTTTCCCATTTATTCTTCGCACTTCGCCGTAGTAAAGAAGAAGTTTCTTTCGTCCTCTTTTCGTTTTCCTCCGTCGGAAAATCCATTTTTTTTTTTTTACAATTATCTCTTTCCCCCAAAAGTCCTCTCCGCCCCCTTCACGATGGACATGCTGTCGAAGCTGCTGCCGTTCATGGACAAGCATCTTGCCCTAGGTTTGCTGAACCACTACGCCCAGAACGGCGAGGACGTCGGCGATGCCATGATGCAGCTCATCCAGACCACCGGCCTCAACCCGGATGGCACCATCAAGTCGGAGGTGGAAGAACTGATTCGCACGACCACCGCCACGGCGCAGCCGGCACTCACCGAGTTCTTCGACAAGTTCGAGGATCAGAACTACACGTACCAGTTCAAACTGATGGAGACGGAGATTGCGGAGCGACGTACACAGGGCGAGCTGTCGCACGAGTTCCTGGCCGAGAAGAAGGGCATCACGCACAGCGTCATGACGGCCATCTTCCAGCTGGCATACTTGTACTACGATACTGGTGCCTACGGCGACGCTTCCGAGCTGCTGGCGCTCTGCCAGTGCGTGAGCGGCTACGACTCGTTGCCCTCCGACATGATTCTCTGGGGCAAGCTGATGAGCGATATTGGTGCCGTCAACTGGCAGTCCGCTATGCGCATCGCCGAGGAGATCCGCCGCCTGCACAACGCGAGCGAAGACGACCTCTTCGGCGGGCCGAACACCACGACGGTCCGCGCGCGGGTGTGGCTGCTGCATTGGGTGCTCTTCCCCTTCTTCAAGGGCGGTATGCAGTACTCGCTGCAGCTGCTGTACTTCATCTTTGACCGCCGCGACCGCGACCTGCCCTACCGAAAGGTGGTCGAGACGGTGTGCCCACACTACCTGCGCTACATCTGCGCCGCCGTGCTACTCCACCGCTCGCGCGCCGGCAACTTCGCTAGCACGGCGGAGTTGGTAGAGTCCATCTACGAGTACTCCGACTCGCTGACCCAGCTGGTGACGCTGATCCAGAAGGCTTCCTTCGAGGACGCCATAGCTCTGCTCCCGGAGGTGCGCCGCACCATCAAGGAGGACTACTTCCTCGCCGACTACGAGGAGGACATCATCGAGAACGCGAAGCGACTCATCTTCAGCAAGTACATGTCGCTCCACTCTGTCGTCTCCATCCCTTACGTGGCGGCTCAACTGGACATGTCCAAGTCCGATGCGGAGGTGTGGCTGGTCAACCTCATCAGCGAATCGTCGAAGCACCGCGCCAAGATCGACTCCGTCAACGAGCAACTCAACGTGGAGCCGCAGACGCGCTCACTGGAGACTATCATTTACGAGAAGCTAGAGACTGCGCTGCGATAAGAAGAAAGAAAGAAATACTAGTTGAACCGGGGAATACCAAAAAGAAAGGAGAGAGGGCGATGTGGGCAAGTATTGCGGGGGAAGGAGGGGAGGGGGAGGGAGGGGGATCCTCTCACGGTGAGGCCTGTGCGCAAGAAAAGGAAAGGAGTAAAGCAAAGGAACTCATTTTTACCGACCTTCTACCGATTGGGCCGAGACACAACCGCTGTCCCTTTTGTGATGACGCCGCTACTCAGTGCCGTTGCACGATCGACTTCGTTTTCCCATTCTCCTCCGTATGCGATGGAGCAGTCCTGACATTCATCGGTGTAACACGTCGGCAACACCATGGCTGCCATTGTAAGAGCCCAGCACACGCACAAAACAAGCACCACTTACGTGAGAGAGCCGTGGCAGGACACGTCGTAGCCTGCTTGACCTTCCTTGCGTTACATAACGGCGTGGAATACTTGAGAAACACAGAAGAGCTTGGTGATGTAGTTTTTTTTTTTTGCTGTTGTTCTCGTAGTGCACTGTGGAGTTGCCGCTGTGGCACGAGGAGATGCATGCACCGTTGTCGGCACTTCCCGTTGATGGCCTTGTCGCCTCTGCCCTCCTCCGCAGTTACCCAATCCGTCTCGCGCGCTCCGTTTGGATGTGTCTCTCCTTAACCTTCGTATTTTCATTCGGTTGTTGCCGTTCTTCCTTCGTTCTCCGCCCCGCTATGCGTGTCTTTGTTGTTGTTGTTCTTCTCTTCTTCTTTTTTGAGATCGGCCGGTTCGACGGGTTTTTTTTTGTGTCTTTGTTGGTGTTTTTTCTTTCTTTCTTCAGGCTTGCATAAAGGATATGCGACGTGAACAGGAATGTACGATGGCGATCGCACGGGTGTGGGGTGTGTTGGGGTGGTGCGCGGGAGCAGAAGCACGAATTAAGAAATGCTTTTTTTTTTGTCTCCGCGGCAACTGGGCATGCGCTGTGGATTGTGCACGTTGGTGCGCGTACACACACGTGCTAAGAAGCACCTACAAACACAAACATACACGTGTGTCGTGCGGTCACGTACGCAGCTCTGCATCACTTGTATAACCGTTGGAATAAAAAGAAGCTTGTTGTCATCGCGTGCCACGGCGTTCTGGCAGCTTGAGGTGCTTTTTTGGGGACAGCACGTGTGTGTTATTTATTTCTTCTAATCTCTCTATTACTAAAGTTCAATATTAAAGAAAAAAATGCTACTTAGCGAACAAGGTACAACGGCTTCGGGGGGAAGGGTCGGTTTTCTTTGCGTTGATATACTCGAGGCTCCGAAATGGAGGCAGTCGATTCCAGTGGAGTAGCAGGCAGCTGCTCTTTTCCGCGCCTTTTTTTTTCTGGACCATCAGATAGTTATTGTCTCGATTTGAAGAGACACAATGGATGAACTGACTTGATTGTCTATCTCACGCGCAACTCCTCCGCCCACCGGGGAGAGTGTGCGAGAGAGAGATGGCGGAACGAGAGGAGGTGCACATGCAGCGACGTTGTGGTCACTGCATCGTGCGAAGAGAGGATGGTTAAACGGATGAGCTTATCATCAGCCAGCTGCATCTCTTTATTCTTCGATGTACATATGAGCTCCTCTCGCACCTCAACTATTCGTCTCCGTCTACCCCCCTGTCCCTTTCTTTTTTCCTTTAACGAAAACTCTTCTTTTTGTTTAAATGATAGCAATTCTTCGACCTCGTTCTTTCGTGGCGTTTGAGTTGACGGTAGTTCAGATTAGCGGGATTTTTTTTCCACGTAGTCAGCACCTCATCCTCTGGTCCACCTCTTCTCGTAGAAACGCGAGACAACACGAGGCGCCGCAGCTCTGTGAGAATACGCATGTGCAGAACAGTTCGACAGAAAAGAAAGCTACCCATTTTATATCACCTTCTTTCGCTGTCGCATATCTCTTCCTTCTTTTTATTATAGCTGCACTGTGTCTGACCACAGGGGCAAACTAACGACCGCACTCTTGAGTCCGCACGATCACGGTGCGATCACCTTTTTTGTTGTTGTTTTCTTCCGCTTTTGTCTATTTTTTGCGAGTCGGTGCGTGTGGCACTCTTAATTTCATTTTCCATTTCGGCTACAGTTCTTCCACCTCATTGTACTTGTACCAACCTCAATACTTTCTTCCCGTTGTTCGCGGTGTTGTGCACAGGCCCTTCTGCTTCTTTTAGTTTTTCTTTGCTGTTCGCCTGCTTCCCAAAGAATGCGCTAGTGAACAGCCACGACCACAGCATCAGAGAAAGAAAGAAGCAACACTTTTCTGTTCCTGTCTTCCGTGGTGCTCTTCCAACTTCGACAGCAGGAGCGAAAAAAGGCTGTGATTTTTTCCCTTCCGACGGCGCCTTCACATGCGTTGAGAAGGCAAACGAAGAGACAAAAAGAATAGACGCGTTCGTGAGCAAGCGAACGCGCACACCTTTTTTTTTAGCCCGTCTTCTACCGCCCGCGTTCTAATTTGTTTGTGTCCGTTGAAAGGACAGCGTGAGAAAACAGGAAAGTCCTTGATCGCATCCGCGCGCGGAAGAGCTTGCGACGGAGCGAGATTCCTGCGTGGGGCTGCGTTTAGCCTCACCTGCGTGGCACTTGCTCTTTCATTGCGTACCACACGGCGGATAGAAGCCGTGTGCGAGCTGTCGTTCTCGTATCTGGTCGGGGCATCGGTTAGGAAAGGCGAAGAGAGCACATTAAAAGGCAAAAGAGGATATGAACAGCATGAAGCGCCGGCCAAGCTCCTCCACTCCGCAGGGTGCGACGAACGGCACTCCGTCGGGGCGTGGGCCGCCGCCGCCGCTGCCGCTTCGCACGCCGCACGAGAGACTCTTTCACGACACCTACGGTCGATCTGCTAGTGTCGCGGCCCCCTTCAATGGCGGTGGAGGCGGAAGCGATGACGCCGTATTCCGCGGGGAAAAGAGTGGAGGCCGCTCTTATCACCAGGACATCACACGGAGCTCTTCCCAATCGCGGCAGCCACCCCTGTCGAATGGAGATGCCGCGGCGAATGCTGCAAAAGACGGCGCAGTCCCCAGTCGCCGCCGCAACAGCGCAGACGCCATCGCCTTTCAATACTACGCACACCACCACCAGCAGCGGCGCCAACGCCTGCAGGAGTCGACTAATCAACCTGACACATCGGCCACACCGGTGAAACTGCAGGCGCCGCAGCCGCAGCGACAGGACTTTCCCAACGGCCGTGGCGTCTCCACGCCGACAACGGCCGAGACGCGCGGTCCACCGACACCGTCGAATGAGCGCAGCGTTCCCCCCCAACGCGTGTCGCGGCAACCACAACATCAGCGGGGGGTCAGCAGCGCAATGACCGCCACGCAGCGCGCCGCCTCCGCGACTCAGGCCCCGCTGACGCCGACGATGACGGGGACACCCATTCAGAACACGTCGACGTCGTTAGGGCCGTCTCCTCCCCCGCGGGAGGTGGCGGCGGAGACGGCAGAGCTGATGGAAGGCGCGTCTGCTCCTCGTGCGTGGGCCGCGCAGCTGACGGCATCGCAGCAGGAGCACTGCAGCAACCTGATGCAGACGCTGACGCGGCTTCCCTTCGCCTTGGCGCGCGAAATGCTCGCTGCTGCTGCTCGCCAGTACGAGTCACACCGACTGCTGCACTACTACGGGGGCGTCTGCGCACCCAGCGACTTGAGGGGCGAAGGCGTGAAGGGGGAGGAAGAGGTGCTTTCCACCGCGTCCTCGCCGTCCCCCGCCGCGCAGGAGCGTCAAGAAAGCACAAGAGGCGGCCGCGCTACTCTGCTGGAGACGCTGCAGCGCCAAGTGGACCGTCAGCAGCGCACCGATTTCTCGTCAGAGACGCCGTCTGCTAAAATGGGCGAAAGCGGCGCGCGTTACCCATCACAGTCGCGAGGGCAAGCGCAGGGCAGCACTTCCCCAGCACGAGCTTCCGACACAGCTGCCGCTGCTCCTGGTCCCACAGGAACCACCTCCAAACAACGCGCACACGAGCTGCAGGGCAATCTGGAAGGCGCAAGAAAGTCCACCGGCGACGTTCGTCGACCTCGCAACGCATCCGCAGGCGGCCGCGCCCCACGGCAACTTCGCAGCCGAGTCATGGCCAGCCGCGTCAGCGCAGCACGTTGCGGTTGCAACAATGCCTCCCGTGACGGCTCATCTGCTGCGGCCGTGCGCCGCTCTCCGCACCCCGTACCGGAGTTTTTGCGGACGATAAAGCCGCCGCACCGCCACGGGCTCGGCGGAGCACCGCCGCCGGTTTTTTCGCCGTCCACGCCGCACACCCCTGCCGCGACAGAGGCGGCTCTCGAGAAGGGTACCGCCTTTAAGAGCTCGCCCCTCTCGCCCATGAAAGAAAGCCGTTCCTCCCCCCAGATGCTGCAGCGCGGTCGAAATCGCGATGGCTCGCACGCTTCTTCCCCTTACGTCACTTCGCAGGAGCCGGTGCACCGTGTGGTGCCCGTCCCCGCACTATCTGAAGACGCCTTTCGCGCGATGGGGCTTGACACTCCCGGCGTGGAGTTGTCACCGGGTGCGGCAGCTGCACGGCGAGTGTATTGGGAGCAGCAGCAACAGCAGCAGCAGCAACGTAGTCAAAGTGGCGATCCGCACAATTTCTCCAACTTTAACCTCCACGCCGGCGATGGTCACGTCGTTGCACCGCGTTATCCAGAGAGTGTGTCGACGGATAACGTCACTCGCTATGCCCCGCTCCACCAGCACCGCGAATTGGAGAGCGTCTCGCTCGACGACTCCGTTCTCCGCAGCGATGCGCATTTCCTTCCGAGTGCGGCGGTCGTGCCGCGCGAGAGTCTGGAGGCCATACCGACCGCTACAGCACCGTCGGCGGTCAGCGGCAACACCACCAACTCACCGCCGCCCGTCTCTTCCCACGGTGCGATGACGTCTCTCACACAACAGCTGACACCGCCATCCGCGCAGCACTAAGCGGCGTTTTCACACCGTCATCTCGGGCGCCTCCAGCTGGAAGGAAGGAAGCAGCAATCACGGCCATTGTGGCTGAACGCGCCGTCGCACCCTGCAAAGAGGAAGCCGTGCTGCCGACTTCATCGGAAGAGGAAAATGGGGGCGCTGACCTCAACCTGGCAGCGCCAGCCCAGGGGCGGCTCCGACAAACCCATCCTCGCCAGCTCAGAAGGACAAGCTCAGAGTCGACGGAGGAGGTCACGCAGCATTCCAAGCAAATAGCCGGAGAGACAGCAGCAACCCGTAACGCGGCAGACCGTGGAAGCTTTCCTGCCATTTGCTGTGAATGGTGCTGCGGTCGCGGATCAGATCGGTACTGCCTCGTCAAAGGACTCTGCTGAAGAAAGCCAAAAAATGCGGCTTAAACTCAATATCTCATGAAACTTTCCAAAAGTGAGACACACTGAATCGCAGACGGTGTCGAGAGTATTTTCTTTTGCTTCCTTTGTAGGAGTAATCGCCCCCTTTTTGGCGAGCCATTGGGGTTGGACTGAACAACACATCCGCACACCGTCATTGCGTCCACAAGATGCGTTCACGGAAATCTTCTCTTGAAACGTTTGGCTTGAATGCACAGGCAAGGTCAGCGAAATGCTGCGGTGGTTGAATTCGCCTCTCCTCTGCTGCGACTACACGCTACTAGGTTATCTGCCGGGGAGCAGGTTCTGCAAGCTCTTTCTAACAGCAGCAAGAGCAGACAGCCGCTTCTGTGCTAAAGCGCATGAATCAGAAGAAGAAGAAAAAAACCTCGTTGCTTGTTTCAAGTACACGTTGTATACAGTTTTGGCTCAAGTGCGTATCTTTGCGTTGTCGATGAAACCTTCTGTTAAGACCCCAGCTGAAAACAATTAAAAAACCTTTTCACCAAGTTGACGACGTGGTGTGACGGTTAAGGAAGGTGCGCTCGGATGAGCTGCCGCCGCCGCACCAACAAGGTCACTGTTCTGCACTGGTTTTCTGAAACCGGAAAGGAGTCGCTGCGACGGATGGAGCATCATGTTCATATTCTTCGCGTAAAGTTTTTTTTTGTCGTTATTCCTTTGGCGTGTACGTGCGGGAAACGTGCGCGGCGCCGACAGATGAACTCGCTGGAGGTCCATCGACGTCCCTTCGTACACTCGTGGTGACTTTTCCTCTCCTCCTCCCTCCCCCCTCCTCCCGCGTGATACCTGTGCGTTCGGTGTGTGCGGCTGAAGTTCGACATGAACCAAAGAGAAAACAAAACCAATCTCTATCTTTACCTCTATACTTACACACAAGCTTACTCGACGCTCTCCGATTTCTCGCAAGTTGCGCACTACAAGGTCTGTCCTCAACGTTTGTGTTTGCCCTCCCATCACGCACACTTCCACACGGATACTCGAACAAGATGCACGTGTTGCCTTCGCGTCTGTTTGCGCTGGTGTTGATGGCGGCGCTGCTGCTTGTCGGCGGTGCGGATGCTCGCGGGAGGCGGACTCCGCAGCAGGCGACGCTGAACTTCCTGATGGAGTTCGTCGACGAGTACAGGCGCGTGCTGAGGCCGCTGTGGACTGGGTCTGACTACTGCACATGGAGCGGCGTATCATGCGCTGCAAACGGCGAGGTATCCGTAAACCTGAGCGGCCGCGGCCTCGTTGGCGAAATGCCGGAGGTGGACGACGAAGACGGCGAGCTGTCGCTCGTGGTGTCGATCGACCTGTCGAACAATTCTGGGATCCACGGCGACTTCGAGAGCGACTGGAAGAACTTGGCGAACCTGCGCGTGATGAACTTGAGCTACACGTCGCTGCACGGATACATTCCGAATGAGTGGCGCAACATGGCGAGCTTGGAGGAGGTGTACATCCACCACACTGCGGCGTGCAGAGACTTGCCGCAGTGGAGGCAGATGCCAATGCTGCGCGTTGCAGACCTGTCGTACAACAACTTCCAGGGATCGCTGCGCTCGGAGTGGTCGCAGCTGCCAGCGCTGCAGCATGTGAACCTCGACGGTAACGCGTTCTGCGGATGTGTACCGACGTCGTGGAGTGGGAACGCCGTGCTGGCCAGCGCCGCCGCTAATCTTGCCGCGTCCGATGCGTCCACTTGCTACGTGAGCCGCTGCTTGAATCGCCAGGCGTGTCCTTACGCGCCGAACTTTGCGTCGACGCCTGCTCCCCAGCCGACCGCGCCACCGACGACGACGAATCCTGCTCCCCAGCCGACCTTTACACCGGCCACGCGGGATCCTGCCACGACGACCACCTCCATCCCTGTTTACGACGAGCAGGCGACGCGTCTGTTTCTGTCTGAGATTGCTGCTGCTTTTCCATCGCAGTTGAGTGGGTGGACTGGCTATGACTATTGCTCGTGGGACGGCGTGTCATGTGCGGCGGACGGCGACGTGACTGCGGACCTGCGCGGTCGTGGTCTGGCAGGCACACTGTCTCCGCTGCGCGGTCTTGACGGGTCTGCTGTGCGTGTTGTGTCACTTGACGTGTCGAACAACAGCGGCCTCACCGGCGCGTTCATGGACAGCTGGGCTGGGCTGAAGCGCTTGCGCTCGCTGAACATGAGCAAGACGTCTGTGCGTGGCTACGTGCCGAGCGCGTGGAATGGGATGAGGAGCCTGCAGACGCTTGATCTAAGCGAGACGCAGGCGTGCGGTGGGCTGCCCAATTGGGGCCGGGGCATGTTGTCGCTGCGCGTGGTGAACCTATCGCAGACCCATATGAGAGGAGTGCTTGCGTCTTCGTGGGCCGCGCTGCCGGTGCTGGAGACAGCCGACTTGAGCGGCAACGCGTTCTGCGGGTGCGTGCCGACGGCGTGGAGGAACAACGTGGTGCTACAGGCTGCCGCTGCCGGCGCGAACTCCGGCCTGACGGCCGCGACGTGCGCAGCGACGAACCGCTGCACCGGACTAAACTACATGTGTTGGTGAGCAAGAAAACAAAAAAACACGGTAGGGATGTCATCATTTTGTGAAGCGATCTGCGCGCTTTGCACACACACACACGAAAAAGCCTTCGCGTGCACGCAAAGGAAAGCGTAGCTCCTTTTTTTTTTTCTCATTACGTGCAGGCGTGTGTGGTGCATTGGCTCCGCACGACGGAGAGGTGATGGACGGCACCGGGTGATGCGCATCGTTGCGGGCTTAGCATACGCCCCTTTTTAGTTTGACGGAGGCTGATCGGTCCGTCTGCCTGCCGTGTGTCACTCAAGTGCGCCAGATCTATTTCTTTTCGCTTTTTTTTTCTGTTACGTGGTCTCGACAAACACACGTATATATGTGTGTGTGTGCGCGAAAAGACCACATGTGTACGCATAGCAGCTGTGAGTATAAGACGCTATGCGTGCCCCGCAAAAAGTATTTCTTGTGTTTCACGCAAAATTGAAGAAGAGTAAGGGAAGCGGCGTGTTGCGACCGTGACGTGCGACGTTGGCTCGATCGCATGGAGTCAGGCTAAAACGCCGCACGCTTTCGACGCCACGGGCGGTCATGCACCACTGCACTGCGGTATAAAGACTCATTCTTCACTTCGTTTTTCTTCCCTGTGCTTTTTCTTTGTTGCTTATTCCATCCTCATGTGTTTTTACTGGTTTTCTTTTTCTTTCTGCGCTGCGACATACACAACGGCACAAGTGGAACTCCAACGAAGCGCGGTTTTGTAGAGACGTGCCTTCGCGGGTTACGCGGCTTCGCGGCACTGCCCGCGTTGCTTCAGGTGCTTTCCGAAACGGATGCAGTTTATTAATTATTATTGTCGTTGTTTTCTCTTGGTTTTTTTTTGCTTTCAGAAAAACAGCCGCATTTAATTGTGGCTGACTTGTTTCACGCGTAATTGGACGGGTCATTGTTACCGGTGGTACCGCCACACTCAGCAGCGTCATGGCATTTCTTTCTTTCATTTTTTTTCTTCTTGGTAAACGAGAAGGGAATACTCGGCCTGCTGGGTGTCTTCTCTATTCTGGCGCATGTTCGGTTTCCACTGTCACTGCAAGTGAATCAAACAACATGACCAACACTCTTCTGCGGTGGAACATACGTTTCCTTGTCTTGGTATGCACAGGCCTCATTGACGACGCACCTCAGCTGGCGGCGTCAAAGATCTTCTTGCCTCTTGCGGTTCACCTCTTTGTCTGTCTGTCATCGCCCCGTGGCGGCATCTGTGTATGCCATTGCTCTGTGTGGACCCTGAAGCGCCTCAACTTTCCTTCCCCCCTTGTCTCTTCTTTCTTCTCCTCGCCTTTTCTGCCTTTTGCGTTTTACTTGTTCGCGCGGGGTGCGCGGTTGAAGGTTGACGTAACTCGAAGAGATAAAAGTATCCCCTCCAGCTATTCAACCACACCTGCGTACTAGTGTGCTGCACACGCTCCGATTTCACGAAAGCTGCGTGCTACCAGATCTGTCCTCAACTATTGTTTCTCTTCTCGGACAACATACACCTCCGCTTATTTCGTCTTTGCTGCTAATGGTTCCAACGAAGACATCTATTACGTGTATTGCATTTTAACTGGTAGTCTTCTTTAGTTTGGTCTCTAGATTTCCATCTTTCAAAAAGAAGTTGTGCAAGGCTAATGAGCTTTAAACGAAGAAGGACGGACGAGGAGGAGGCGTGCGAGGCCCTGGGTGGGCTGCTGCGTCAAACGGCAGCGCGTGCGGTGGAGCGGGTTCGCATGCAACGCCAACAGCGCGCTGCCGGGGAAAGGGGCAGTCTGGGCGTTGCCGCCCTGTCGTCGTCCGCTGCGGAAGCGGTGGTGCGCACCGCCAAACCGATGGATGTGCTGGTCATCCGCTTCTGCATGCACTACCTCGACTGCAGTCGCGCAGCCGGTCCCACGCAGTTCCTGCGCCTAGCCCAAAACATTGTCACATCCAGTGTAGAGCGCGTCTTCGTGCCGCAGCTGTTTGCGAAAGGCAACGCATCGCTCCCGGCCCTGTGCGAGTCCCTCGTGGCCGAGCACACCGCCGAGGAAATTCAGACGGCCGTGAAGGAGATCAACGAGTTTGTGGAGGCGCGAGGCGCGTTGGGTGCGTGGCTGACGGAGGCAGCGGAGAGGGCCGGACGTATGGACGACGACGACGACGATGATGAGGCCTACGGTGGTGCGTGGGATAGATCAGCCAAGGGGCGCGATGAGCGATACGGCGGCTTCAAGAGTGAGGAGGAAGAAGTCACGAGTGAGGGCGCCGTGGACGCTGTGGGGACAACATCCGCTGAGACCGGTGAGGAGCTGGCCGAGCCGCCCTCGCCAACGGAGGAGTTTGCGCTCGCCTCCACGCTCTACAAGGCGTGTGAGTACTGGGTGCGCGTCCAAGCTTTCCTGAACGCACTGTCGTTGCACAGCGCACGTCTGCACGTGTTTAAGATGCCACCACGCTACGAGAGAGAACTGCTGCTACTGCTTTACAGCGCCACGCGCGGCACCGCCGTCAGCGGCAAGGTAGCAGTTGCCGAAGGCCAACTACCGCCACCGGCAGAAGCAGCGGATGGTATCCCCACACGCGACAACGTACCCAACGCATTCTCTGTGGTCAAAGGCGAAAGCAGCAGCACTGTCAAAAAGGAGCCTGCGCCGGACCCCGATGACAGGGCGTACGCAGCAGCAGAGAACGGGGTGTATCGCAGTGACGCGGATGACGATAGCACCGAGGATGACGCGCTGCCCTCGTCGCCGACTCGTCAACCACGCCAGCTGTATAAATCCTCCGCGCTGCTAGCCGATGTGCTGGCACTCTCGCGCTGCCCTGCGCCGACATCTTCAAAGGACGCGGTGTCCTCTCCAACGGCGACGTCGGCGCCACGCCTGACAGCGGAGGCCAGTCGCCACTTGAGAGGTGTTAACCCGGAGTATTACAAGATGGTGTACGCGCGACTGGGCTTGATGGTGGCTCGCGATCGCCTCCATCGCTTTGATCAGTCCTCCTCGGTGAACCCGCCGGAGCTCATCGTGCAGCAGCGGAACTTGCAGGAACAGCTTCAACAGCAACAGCTGTCCACTGCAGCCGCCGCGACGGCGTTGCCTGGCCAAATGGAGGCAGGGCTTCCGACCAGCTATGTACCTGATGACGCGTACTACGACAAACTTCTTCAACAGCAAAACGACACCGTCGAGGAGGACGAGGAGGTGTATAAAGGCGAGGTGATGGATTATTACCTGTCCCACCCGGGTCGCTACTCGTCCTCCGCAACAGCAGCCGCATCAGCGTCGTCGCGGTCTCGGCAGCACGGCGGTGCTCGCAACAGCGCTGCAAACAACGGGGACGGTGAGGCGCCGCTCATGAAGCCGCACCGCTTCTGCAAAGTTAAGACAGGGTATTCGTGGACGCAATATAATCGAACCCATTACGACAGCCGCACGAACCCGCCCCCACGCACCGAGATGTGGTACGAATTCACGCTCTTCTACCCTGCGCTCGCCAACACGAAGCGCGATATGCGCCACATCTTTCGCATCGAGGACGCACCGGAAGGTCCGAATGACCAGTACTGTTTGCTGGTCTTCAGCGTGGGTCCGCCGTATGCGGATGTCGCCTATCGTATCCGCAAAAAGCAGTGGGACACCCGCCGGGGTGGGGTGCGAATTAGCTTCGACCAAACAGGAAGGTACAAGCTGTTCTTCCGGTTCACGAACAGCAATTACCGGCGTTAAACCATTTAGCAGAGACCCTCGACGGCTCTTAGCTCGTGTAAAAAAGGGGAAGACGCAATTCTTATCTGGAAGGTGTGCACAATGTTGTCACACCACAAACGGCTCTTGTGCAGTGTATTGCGCGACGGTAGGAGTTCCCCAATCGCGTCTTTGTATTCGATCAAAATAAAACAGATTTGTAAAACGAAGAGTTGTCTGAAGATCAAAGGCATCAGCACATTCCATCTCTTTCCCCTCCTCAAACGTGCAGTACTTCACAGCAGCACCAAACGGCTGGTCTTTCCCAGGGTCTATATTAGCGGTTTGCATCGAAGTGCGCCCCATTCGCTTCGCTGGCTAACGTTTTCACGCGTTCTTAATCCTGTTCTTGTTCTTTTTTTTGAACTCTCTTTCTGCTGTTCTGATGGCAACGATGTAGCACAGGACGCTCTCAACAAGCGATATATTTATTTTTCTTGGCGCCTTAGTTTCCTTGAAGAAGACAGCTGACGCGGCAGGTCTCGCAGAAAGCAATCTTTCGACACGCTTGAACAGGCGTCTGTGGGGACCCTTCCACTACTCTAGGCTAGTCACTCGAATATATATATAGCATCGTTCGTAGAAGTTATTTGTCTCCTAGCGCTGGTGCCTATCTGGCACTTTGTTTTCTCTCTTTTCCGTATTTAGCACCCAACACAAAAACACCATCTCTCTCCGTTCAACGAGGCAGGGCAGAAACTCCACAACGCCAACACAACGTTTCCTTGCCGTCTTGTAGAAAAATAGCAAAAGCAAAAGCAGGAAAAATTCCGCTTGAGTATTATTATGGAGAGGAGGGCAGGGCAAAGAGAACACCGCTTTTGCTGCTGCCTTTCTTTTTAGTAGCTTATTTTTTTTTTAATCTCTCTCTGTGCACACAACACCTCTTGTGCATCGCACACGCACGTCGAAGATGCTCCGTCTCACCGCCCCGTCTTTCATCGTGCTTCAGAATCCTACTCTCCCGCGTGTACTGAAGCAGTTCACGCCGGACAGGATGGAACTCATGCTGATCTCTATCAAGGAGCGAAAGAAGAGGGCCCGCTACCTTGGCAGCTCTTTCCAGCACTACAATGACCGCTGGACGATGTTCGGCGCACAGGGGACGGTTCGACGAGGCACTCGATTTCTGCTCGAGCGCCACCATACGCGTGCGCAGTTCGTGCACCCTGAGGTACACCGCAACAACGTGGACATTCGAACGGTGAAAATGGCGGGGGCGCAATTCGACCAACTGGGCAACTACACCCGCACCACGTGGGACCACGAGATTGCCTCGACGAACATGCTGAACGACCCAACCTTCAAGCAGCTGTTTCGCGACATGCCGAAGGACCAGGCGCTATCGATGATGGAGGCGTGGGGCGTGCGCTACATTGTCCTCGACGAAATCCGCAAGCCGTCGCTGATGGACTGCAAGTACCACAAGCACTCCATCTACCCCGACAAGTTCTCGTGGGCACCAGATCCAGAAACGAACTATTTCCGTGGTGATGCTGAGCAGAAGTGGAAAGGCGATGAGCTGATTGCGTACGCTGACTACAACGCACACGTTCAGCACCCCGCCAACTTCGATGACGGTGTGCCCACTGCCAAGAAGGCCGCAGCGAAGCCTAATCCGTGGTTCAAGGCTACTATACGCAAGCATCCGGCGAGCTCTGCCGAGCCGACGGCTACCAAGAACGCATCTGCAACGGCTGCGAAGTGAGCCGTCCGCGCATCTGCCGTGCCATCGCACGTGCACAAACAAGAATGCAAGGAAGCTGCTTTTTCTCTTTATTCCCCTTTCTCTTTTTGCGTTCTTTACTGATCTCTTTTTCTGTTTCGTTTGTTTCTGACCGGAGGCGGCGTGCGTTCTCGTCCGACGGTCAGCTTTGCTGCACAAAAATCCTTTCTTTGTTTTTTTTTTTAGGAAGATGCCGGGGAAGAAAAAGAGAAAGAAGAAACAACAGGAACAAATGTTCTGTAACCGCTGATGAGCTGAAGAAGGGGAGCTGCAGAACACACCCAGAAACCTAGCTTCCTTGGTATGTATATTTCTGGGTCGTAATTCGATCTAACTTTTCGAGAAGGACTTAAACGGTACTGCTCCGTCTAGTTCTTTCTGTGCTGTTGTGGAATTGTGAAAGCCGGACTAAAGGGCTTTTTTCTCCGTGTGTGGGGGTCTCCTGTCTCTTCTGCAGTTGTACTCGCCACAAAAGGCTCTCATTTCCGGCTCTGAGAGAGAGAGAGGTGATGCAACAACGGGTATGCGGGGTACGGTGCGCGCTCTTCGCACGGCGTACTTGTCTCAACAAACTTCTGCTCTTTCTTCTTTGTTTTTAAATTATTTCTCTCGCTTCGTTGACTTCATTTTACTCTTTTTATATATAAAAGGGGTTTTTTCCTGCATAGGGGATGGCGCTACGCAGGAGTGTTGTGCGGCTCGCCACCACGCCGGGCGTCGGCATCGCGCCGGAGACGACGCCCGTGAAGTACATTCCAGAGATGCTGAATATCCAAAATGCGATGTGGTGGAACAAGCGTGGCAAACCGAGATACCGCTCCACCTACAACGAAAAGTCGTGGCTGCAGAAGAGCCGCTGGGGCGCCTTCGGTAAGGAAGGCCACCCTGTCTTGCGCCAGCGTTACTCTCCCGCTGCGCTGCAGGCGGCGCTGGCGATGGTGCCGGCGGGCTTCGAGACGTGCGACGTCGCCCGACCGCCACAACGCATCCGTGCGCAGTCAGAGGGCGTTGTCGGCCGCTGGTACACGAATTACTGGACACTGCACTCCATGCGCTACCAGTGTCACCTTGCCGGCGTGGAGTGGCCCTTCGGTGAACGTCAGCGGCCACGCACCAATTACGACGAGCCGCATATGTACACCGACTTTGAGGAAACCAAGGCCATTCGCGACTACCGCAGCCGCTGGATCAACGTGAATCGCTCGTTGGTAGGGATGTCGAAGAAGATGAAGGAAGCGGAGGAGGAGACGCGGTACATGCAGTTCAAGAAGGTCCAGGACACGTTCTGGTCGAATAGAAAGGTACTCGTGAACCGTGTGAAGTCCATGCACAACCAGGGAACGCTGCGTTCCGCGAAGGATTTGCCTATCAAGACGTTGAACATTAAAGCGTTTCTTGCGGAATAGTATTGTAGGGCGATCCAACCACTGATACAAGATGGTGCGCGACAAAGCGAGCCCCTCTCTTTTTATTACGTTTTTTTTTTTCGCCTGCCGGTGGGTGTGCATGTATTTGAGGGAAACGCAGTTTGTTGGCCTCCATGTGTTGTTTTTTTTCCTTTTGTGTGTCAACATGGAGACGATACTGATGTCTGAGAGCTGAAGGTGTGCGCTGTGCCTCTTTAACTCGTGGTGTTGTGCGTCACATACACGTGAGGGACAGAAAAAAGGGCAGAACGGAAAACAAAATTAGTTGTCGTGGTTAACTCAGCGAATATTCTGATGATGTGTGTGCTCCTGCTGCGTTTGCGGAGCTGCGGTCGTGGCGACAACGCCAACTCAGTCCGAGCTATTTTTCGATTGTTCCTGCTGCCGTTGCTGATCCGCAACTGAATAGACTCGCTCTTCTTCTCCCCTTTCTTCAAGATGAACTCCTGCGTCGTGTTCGCGTGTCTTTCCTGATCGGATTCGATCACGGCTGCTCAAACTTTAGTCATTGTTGTCGTTCTCGTTCGTCTTTCTTTTTGTTGGTTTTTTATTTGCGTGTGCGAGGCAACAACAGCGACGCGGGCAATCGCTTCATAGTTCTGCCTCGATTCAAGATCCAAGTGCACGTTAAAAAGAGAGGCAGATAACCGTCCAGCGGAGCACCGTTTTTCTCTTTTCTCTGTGGCATCCGTTCGCCCTTTTTTCTCTTCGACTACTCAACACCCAACTTGTTTTTATCAAAACGACACAAACAGAAAAATGCTTCGCTGTGCTTCTCTGATCTGCCGCGCGGCGTCCGCATCGAGGGGGCGCGTCGCCGCGCTGCCCGGCAACTTCGGGCTCAAGGAGCATGATCCGGAGATATTCCAGCTGATGCAGAAGGAGATGGACCGCCAGGTCGAGGGACTGGAGCTGATCGCGTCGGAAAACTTTACATCTCGTGCTGTGCTGGACTGCCTCGGCTCCATCTTCACAAACAAGTACGCGGAAGGCCTGCCGGGCAACCGCTACTACGGTGGCACGGAGGTGGTCGACGAGTTAGAGAACTTGTGCATCGCCCGCGCCCTCGCCGCCTTCCGTCTTGACAAATCGGTGTGGGGCGTCAACGTGCAGCCTTATAGTGGCTCACCCGCGAACCTCGCCGTCTACACGGCCCTGCTGCGGCCGCATGATCGCCTGATGGGACTCGACCTCCCCGCTGGCGGTCACCTCACGCACGGATTCTACACAGCGACGAAGCGAATTTCGGCCTCCTCGCTCTTCTTTGAGAGTCTGCCGTACAGCCTCGACGCAGACGGTCTCATTGACTACGCACAGCTCGAGACGCTGGCGAAGGTGTACAAGCCGCGGCTGATCATCGCCGGCGGCTCGGCCTACCCGCGCGACTGGGACTACAAGCGCTACCGCGAAATCTGCGACGGCGTCGGCGCCTACCTGATGGTCGACATGGCGCACTTCTCCGGCCTTGTCGCCGCAGAAGAGCACAACAACCCCTTCGAGTACGCGGACATCGTGACGTCCACGACACACAAGACCCTGCGTGGGCCCCGTTCCGGTATCATCTTTTTCCGCAAGCAGGTGACGCAGGGCAAGACGACCGTAAACGTGGAGGAGGCCGTGAACAACGCCGTGTTTCCCACGCTGCAGGGCGGTCCGCACATGCACCAAATCGCGGCGGTGGCAACACAGCTGAAGGAGGTGACGTCGCCGGAGTGGCGCACCTACGCGAAGCAGGTGAAGGCGAATGCCAAGGCGCTCGCGGCCGCGCTGACGGCGGGCGGCGAGGCCCTGGTGAGCGGGGGCACCGACAACCATCTTCTGCTCTGGAATCTGCGGCCCCACGGAATTACCGGGTCCAAGGTGGAGAAGCTGCTGGACATGGCGTGCATCACCGCGAACAAGAACACAATTGTCGGGGACAAGAGCGCGCAGGCGCCGCACGGCATTCGTCTCGGCACGCCCGCCCTCACCACGCGGGGGTTGAGCGAGGAGGACTTTAAGCAGGTGGCGCAGTTCTTGATTCGCTCTGTGCAGCTCTCGAAGGAGGTGCAGGCGGCCGCTGGGTCAACGAAGCTGACCGATTTCGTTAAGGCCGCGCACGAGTCGCAGGCGGTTCGTGCGATGAGCGAAGAGGTGAAGGCCTTTGGGCGGCAGTTCCCTTACCCTGGCCTAGAGAATCCGTACCCAACCCACTAGGCTGTCGCATAAGAGAAATACGTAACCGAAGCTCCCCCAACGGCTCTCTGAACAGGGAGGCAGCTTGACGGCACAGCGCAGGCGCAGTGGCGAAAACGAAACCTTCGCGAAAGAGAGCAACGGCAAGAAGAGAGAAAGCGACGCCTTTTCTGCTATCTGGCGTTCTCAGTCGGTTTGCCAACGGTTTCCAGCGAAGAACACGAGACGCTTCTGACGGTGCGGGACGCCGCGCGTGAAGATTTAGGTTGCTGCTGCCGCAGTAGGGTACAATCCACAACTCCCACGAAGGCTCGTTTTGCACGTGAGCGTTCGGTGGACGTGTGAAGAACTTATTTTCTCTTTTCTCGGTTTTGTTTTTTGTTGTGCTAGCGACAACTCAAAAGTAAAAGGAAAAATAGAGAAATGCCCACCGCAATCCTCTTCTATTATTTCTATACATCTGAAAACGAAATGAAGAAGAAAAATACACTTACTTATTTCACCAAGTAGCAGCAACGCTTCAGTAGTTCGCTATTCGTAGAAGTATCTGAAACAACGCAGGCGCGAAGGCCAGTATGTGCGTATGCCATTTAACAGAGGAGCAAAGGAAGGTATCTCCTCCCAAAGGAGAAAAACAACAACAACACACGCAAGGCCCGCGATATCCGTCTACGGAAAGGAAGAAATGGAAAACTGCCAACACAAATGCACGTAAGTATGTTCGTTGTCCTCTTCGCATGAATGTCTCTCCTACACACTACTGCGTTTCCTCGCCCTCTCTTCTTCCTTGACTGCTAACGGTCTTTCTGAGTGCCCATCTCAAGGTGCTCAGTTTAGACTCCCCCAACTCTCCTTGTCTGGTAGTGAACATCTTCTGCTTTTTTTTTTCTTGCTGCTGTTGCTCGGCGATGTGAAAAAGACGCAAGTGAACAATCTTGTTTTCCCCTCTTCGTTCTCCAGCTACACGGGTCTAGTTACACTGACTACCGCGATAAACCTTAAATCCCCTTTACGTTCACTGCTTTTTATTTTCGTTTTGCTTTTGATGTGCATGCATATCTAACGGAAGCCCTCACGCATCCATTTTTTGTTTGTTTACGCGGACATCATTCACGATGCGGCTTCTCTCATCAAAACAGAAGGTCTACACGACCGACAGCGCCGCGATCAACGAGTCAGAAGACGTCGGCGTGGAAGGAAAGCGCTACCCGACACACGCGCTGGGCCGCTTTATCACCCGCCACCCAGGCTTCATGTTTTTGACCATCCTCGTGCCCTTTGTGTTCTTCATCATCGGCTGCGTGAAGATTCAGTCCTCGCTGGAGTGCACGCTCGACGACTACCAGATCCGCTCCACCATTCCCGTCCGCAGGGACGCGTTGAAGATCAACGCGGTGCTAAACGACTGGGCCGTTGCGCTCACCGGCGAAAAGACTCTCAATCTGATGCTGGATACGAACCACGAACGTTCTCTGGTGCAAGACACCGCCGAGCTGCGTGCGCTGGTGAACCTTCCAAAGCTGATGGAGTACGCAAAGGCGTACAACCTCGATAACGCAACGCGTGAGCGCTTAGGCAACCTTCTCACCTTGGATGTTTTTCAAGTATTCAACGCGGCGGAGAGACTCATCACGCAGCAGAACGGATACGAGGAGGCGTGCTTCACGAACAACCTTCGCGATGGCAACTCGAACATCGACTTCCCCACCTGCGTACCGGTGGCGAGCGTTTCGCAGTACATTTATCCTGAGTGGGACGGCCTTGAGTGGAGGATGACCGGAACTGGCGATGTGTACCAACTGGATTACTTACCGCGCATCTTCGTCAATCCCAGCTACGGGTGGTTCTTCGACAACAACTTCTCCACACTGAACCCTGTGGCCCGTCAGCTGCGCTCGCAGTACACCTTCGCCTCCTCAAAGGGGGTTTCCGGTAAAAAGTATCGAAGCCACATGAAGAAGTTCCTCCCCAGGATAATGAGCTGGGTGAACAGCGGAAACGCAGTTCAGCCTGACTTCGTGGACTTCTACTTCGGCGGTGGAACGTCGCAGACCCTGTTGATGGAAATCGCATGCGACGGCGAGGGCTTCAAGGTTGGCGTGGCTGCCGTCATCTGCTTTGTGTTCAGCTGGTGGCATTGCCGTACTTTCGTGGTGGGCCTGTACACGGTGGCGCAAACCATGATCGTGTACATGGCGACCGTCGGGCTGTACGCTCTCATCTACCGCACTCTGCCGCTGACGACGTATTCCGCGATCATCTGGGTGACGACGTTCTGCATGCACGGGACGCTGAGCTTCTACGACATGTTTGTGTACAGCGGTGTCATGGCGACGAAGGGCCGGCAGAACAACCTGAGCGTTGCACAGCGGCTGTGCTTCACGATTCGGCGCGTGTCGATTGGCGTGTGGATCGCGGATGTGCTTGCCATCGTCATCTTCGCCATCAACACGACGTCGCTGTTCAACTCGGTGGTGCAGTTCAGCGTGTTCATGATGATCGCGCTGCTGTGGAACATGTACTGCGTCGTGCTGTCGACGCCCGCGCTTGTTGTGTTCCACCACATGTACTTCGCGAACAAGCGACGCAACCTGCAGAAGCAGAACGACGTGCTGAACGCTGCGATGCAGGGGTGCCGGCGCCCGGAGCACATGGTGAACCTGCTCGGCGTCGTGCAGGAAAACGTTGCAGACGGTGAGAAACCCTACTGGATCGACGAAGATTTGATTAAGGCCCGCATCGGTGCTAACTGTGGAGTCAACAAGCGGGAGTTTCACGGTTTCAAGGATTTCATTCGAGTAGAAACGCGCACCGGATACGATAAATTTCGCGCTGCGCGTCGTGACATCGTTGGTGCCATGCACAAGGTGCAGAAGACGAAGCAACTGGTGGTGGAAGGAAAACAGTCGAACGACGTTGAACTTGCTGCTGCTCAATTACAGGACTTCTTGCAGGTGGGAGACGCAAACCCGCTCGCCGACGAGGCCGGCGCTGGCGGCAATGGCCCCAACCTGTACTACAACCCCCGCATGGTATTACCCTCCGACCTCATCCACATCCCCCCTGTCTACGTCGAACGCAGTGAGGAGTGCTGGGCTGGTTTGTGCAGCGCTCTGGGGCAGCCCGCACAGAGCAACAACGGGGAGATGGTGGCACCCCGTATAGAAAGTTTAGCCAACCAAGGCGGCAGCGACGCCGAGGCGGCGACCTTTGCGGAGCTCTGGCGTGAAGCTGGCACGCGCATCGGGGTGGAAACCACCTCTAACAACCGAACCGCCTCACTCGTTCCTCTGGCGGTGCGAAATATCGTACGGGCCCACGACCCAAACATGGTCGTCGACACCGGCGTACGAGTCGTCCCGCTGAACTTGGAGGACGATGCCGCTGCCCCTTTTGGTGCAACTGCCGCTCCGTCGTCTGCTGGTCCTCGGCTGACAGGTGGCCCTTCCGGCTTCGGACTTGCCAAACTGCGGTATCGGTGGATGCACCGCGACGATGTACGGCGGTCGCGTTGTTGCGGCATGTTCGGTAAAGTGGAAGACGAGAAGCCTGACGAGCGCATGCAGCGACTGTTGCGACGCAAGGTGAAGCGAGACGGCTATTCACTCTTCGAACGCTTCTTGCTGGCCTATTTCCTTCCAGCCGTCTACCGTGTGCGTTACGTGTTGCTTGTGCTGCTCTTCGCGATGTTCATTGCGCTGTGCGTGGCAGGGTCTTTCATCAAGGCGGGCGGTCTGCCCAACACGCTCATAGCGGGCCAAGAGGCAACGGCAGCTAAATTTGCAGCGATGGACGATACCTTCGGTCAGCGTGGCGACTGCACCTTCTGCGCTCCTTACTACCGATCTGCTCAAGATTACCGGCAGGCAAACGCTACCGATATTGCAGCATGCTCTCCTGCAAACGGTGCGCAGATGAACCTGTACGTTGACTCGTGCGGCGTGTGCAACGGCACGAACGCGTGCGTGGACTGTGCTGGCACGGTAGACGGCGGTGCCACTCTGGACCACTGCGGCGGCTGCAGCGTGCCGGGTGCACTGACGCCGACGATGTGCACGTGCAGTGTTACGCGAAACTGTTCGTACTGCGACTGGGCGGTGAGTGGGCTGCTGATCCCGGTCGGTGAAACCTGCACCACTGTGTGTCCCGCGACGAGCCGGTGCGGCGCGCATGGGACGTGCGATCAGTACACGGCGCAGTGCCAGTGCGACCCGGGCTACAGCGGTGCGACGTGCGAGGCGCAGGGCGTCGACTGCGGGTCGCACGGCACGCTGGATGCGGCGACGCAGCGCTGCAGGTGCGCCGCGGGCTGGTCGGGGACGCACTGCAACGTGTCGAGCCAGTGCGGCGGGCGTGGATCGCTGCTGAGCGCTGCGGAGTCGCCGACGGGAGCGGCGATGTGCGCCTGCGTGGGGCACTGGCGCGGTGCGACGTGCCAGGTGTGTGACTGCATGAACGGCGGCATGTGCAACGGCGCGACGGGCGAGTGCGAGTGCGTCGGCGCGTTTGTTGGGCCGCGGTGCGAGACGTGCGCGGGGAACTGCACGCTGCGCGGCACGTGCCCCGACGTGACGACTCCGGACTACAGCCTGTGGAACGTGCGGACGTGCATCGCGAACGCGTGCGTGCAGCACGACGATGCGACGAATGTGAACACGATCCCGGAGACGATGTGCAGCGCGTGCGAGCGCACGGGGACGACGGGCACGACGACGGCGTGCAGCTCGGCGGCTAACCGGGACAGCTGCCTGGCGAACGTTGACTGCTGGTGGTACACGGGGCCCACGGGGGCGCCGTACTGCGGCCTTGCACGCGAGAAGAACGACACGTCGCCGCTGGACTGCACGTGCAAGTACCCGGGCGTGTGGTCTGGCGAGACGTGCGGGGCGTGCCTTGCGCCGAAGGGTGCGACGTGCCAGGAGGACGGGACGGTGCTGGGGTGCAACGGGCTTGTGTACGTGTCCGCGAGCGCCGCGATGCGCACGGACGCGTGCGGTGTGTGCGGCGGCAACGGGCTGTGCCGCGGGTGTGACGGCATTCCCGGCAGCGGCAAGGTGTACGACGCGTGCGGTGTGTGCGGTGGCGACGGCAAATGCACCGGCGCGAGCACTGCGCAGCCCGTCTACGTGGACTACCTCTTTGACCTGACCGCCGTACGCACCATCGAGAACAACGAGAACTGGTGCAAGGTGGTGGCCACCATTGCGGCGACGGTGCGCGCGTCCGACGGAACGGGCTCCCAAGCGAAGAGTGTCCTCGAGGATTACCTTAGCGTTTCCGCGCACTACAGCATGGATAGCATCACCTCGTTTTATCGCTTTGCAGTTGCGAACGGCCGATTGAGCGAGGCGGTTTTCTCCTTGAATTCTAATGGAGAGCCGGTAAAACTACTACACATCCGTTATCGCGTAGAGAGTACAATAGTGAACAGCGAGAGCACCTCCAAGCTGATTGTGTCCTATTACTATTGGATTGAGAAGTACCTCATCGGGCCATTCCACACGTTTGCGAAGACGAACGACGTGTCTGTCTCGTTCACGAGCACTGTCTTCCAGCCCGCGGTTGCGAGGGTCGGCGCGCTGCAGAGCCTGTGGTTCTCCGTGGGCATCGGCCTTGCCGTGACGTTTGTATTCCTGCTGGTGTACTACGTGAGCGTGACGACGGCCGCGGCTGCGACGATGGTGGCTGCGATCGTGTGCTTCGGGTCGCTGACGGTGTGCATGATATTCAGCTGGGACGTGGACGCGGTGCTGCAGGTGTGCATCAGCTGCACGGTGCCGATCGGCGTGGAGTACGTGGTGCACTTCTGCAGCGGCTACTTCGACTATTTGCAGACGACGACGTCGCACCTCTTCGCTAAAGACGTGACGCGGCGCGCCGCTGTCCAGGGTGCGCTTCTGCGGTCTGCGTCGGCGGTGTGCACTTCGGCGGTGACTGTGATCGTCATCTCGATCATGTTTGACGCGTCTGAGCTGACGCCTTTGAAGCGCTGTGGCCAGATCAGCATCACGCTGCATCTGCTGATCCTGATTGCGGGTGTGCTCTTCATAGGCGCTGTGGCCGCCTTTGGTCCGATGAAGGCGTACCAGCACTGGACGCTCTCCAGCCTGCTGTGCGTTGTGTGCGCGGTGCTGGCTGCCATCGCGGTGCTGATCATGTACGGTGCGAACGGCGTACTGGGGCCGCACGCCAACAAGATCCTGACGCGCTGAATAGAGCGGACAACGCCAACTTTCATAGGTGAAAAAAACAGAAGGCTGTTGATACGCGTTTCTATATTCTTCCCACGAAATGAATTCTGTGAGTTATCGCGCTCGGCGGATTTTACAGCCAGCCCCCATTTTTTTCTCTCTCCTTTACACAGCTTAAAATGTGTCTAAGGGTAGATATGTATTCTGTTGTCGTGTACGTACGATGAATGTTCTGTGCTATCATCTATCGGTGTAAGAAAAATACCCCGATAATAATGAAAAGAAAAATGATAACACCGAGAACTTCTTTGATTTTTTTCTTTCTTTTGAAAATTGTGTGTGTATTGTTATTGCGTGACGCATCCACCGCTTTTCATTCCATCGTTGTGTCCAATGTCCCATTATTAACTACATGTGCATAGTTTCCTTGTGTGTGTGCTTTTCTCTCTTCTCCCTTTTTCCCAAACTTCCCTCTTTTTGTCAAGTTCCGTCGTCTACGGGATTTGCAGATATATTGGCGTTACAAACTGTTTCGCTTTGTACAAAGGCCGTTTTTTTTTTGTCAGATTATGTTCATTTGATTCTGTTGCTGCTGTTGTGCAGAGCAGTAGTGCTTTTCTCAAGTTTTGCTGTCAGCGGTGCTGCATGTAAGGCGATGCACTTGTCGCCTATGTGATATACGGAAAACGCGAAGCGCGACCATGTATTCAGTTACGTATATGTCTATATCCATGTTCCGTCTCCTTATGCCCTTATTGTATTTGAGGGTTATAGTGTTCTTCTGTGTTGTTGTTGTTCATGTTTTTTTTTCCTTTTCATTCAAACACGTGAATGTGAATGTGTGGTGGTTGTGAGTCTCGAAGTTGACACAACGAGAATATGAAAGTAGTCCGAAGAGGTTTCAGCGTTCGCTGTAAAGCTTCGTAACTGTCTCTGCGGCGTGCTACATATGCACAGCAGCAACAAGATAAATGAAACAATGAAAAAAGGCTGTCGTGGTGCGCCTCGGCTTGGAGCGTCATCCATATGCTGCTTTACCGTTCCCTATCATTTCCACTTTTGTTTTTTTTTACAACACTTATTACTTCCTTCTACCTACAAATCACCCTTGCCTGCTCGCTTGCGGTCCCGCTTTTCTGGAGACGCATAGGTAGTGGACACTGTTTGGCGGCAAAGGAAACGTCGAACACGAGTTCGCAGCTCCTCAGCTTGGTCTTCTACCTCCGTGTTATTTTACTTCGAAGCACCCATCTTTCAATTGCGGTGCTCTCTCCTATGTATATTGTGCCGTAGAAGCTGTCGTTGAATTCTTTGTTCTCTCAAAGCCTTGACCTTCTTTGGTTTTCTTCATTATCTTTCCTCATTGCCTTCATATCTGCATCGTCACAGTCTACCGCCCAGTAACAGCAACAAGAAGAGTTCATGTCTAACGTCGTTTTTGAAGCCCACTCCCCAAAAAATATATAGCACACACGTTGTTTCTCGAGGCAGGAGTGCCTGGCCGGTATTCCATCGTGATCTTTATTTTATTATTATTGTTTTCATTCTCATTGATATCACTAAAGAAGGAAGAAGAAAAAAAGTTTCTTGCCATTTTGTCTGTGTGGAGGTGCTCCGTCGTGTGAAGCGTACGAGCAGCAAATAGCTAAACAAACGACATTTCTCAAGCGCAACCTTTTTTTTTTTCTACCAGCTTCTCAAACGATGCGGTTCTTCCACTTGAAGCAGAAGGTCTACACGACCGACACATCTCCCGCGATCAACAGTGAGGATGTCGGCGTGGAAGGAAAGCGCTACCCGACGCACAAGTTTGGGCGCTTCATCAGCAACTACCCCATCTTGATGCTCGCGACGTTTTTGCTGCCGTTGGCCTTCTTCATGGTCGGGTGTGTGCTCATCACTTCTGATATGTCGTACTCGTTGGACGACTTCCAGATCCGCTCCACCATTCCTATCCGCAGCGACGCATTGAAAATCAACTCGGTGCTAGATGATTGGGCACGGATTCTAAGTGGGACAGATTTGCTGGCGGGCAGCGTGAACCTCAAGCACGACCGCGCCATCGTGAAGGATACACTGGAGCTGCGCGCCGTCATTGACCTCGAGGCAGTCTTCAAGGCACAGAAGCAGTATAATTACAGCGATGACAAACGTGCTGAAATGTCCAACATGCTTAGCCCGTCCAACATCGCGATGTACCGCGTCATTGAGAAGATGATCACGCAACAAGAATTCTACGAGGATGTGTGTTTTACGAACGACTTGCGTGGCGGTGTGGTGAACAACGTTTATCCCACCTGTGTGCCTGTGTCGAGTGTAACGCAGTACGTCTTCCCGGTGTGGAACGGGACGTCGTGGAACATGGACGGCAGCGGTGACGTTTACCAACTTGACGGCCTTCCTCGCCTCTTTTCGAATCCCAGCTACGGGTGGTTCTTCGACAACAACTTCTCCACACTGAACCCTGTGGCCCGTCAGCTGCGCTCGCAGTACACCTTCGCCTCTACCAGAGGGGAGAACCGAAAGCTGTACCTGGACCGTATGCAAAAGTTCCTCCCCAAGGCAACCAGGTATCTAACGGAGTCAGTCAACATGTACTACGCAAAACTCTACCTCGGCGGTGGAACGTCGCAAAATCTGCTGATGGAGATTGCAGGGCGGAAAGAGGGCTTCAAGGTTGGCGTGGCTGCCGTCATCTGCTTTGTGTTCAGCTGGTGGCATTGCCGTACTTTCGTGGTGGGCCTGTACACGGTGGCGCAAACCATGATCGTGTACATGGCGACCGTCGGGCTGTACGCTCTCATCTACCGCACTCTGCCGCTGACGACGTATTCCGCGATCATCTGGGTGACGACGTTCTGCATGCACGGGACGCTGAGCTTCTACGACATGTTTGTGTACAGCGGTGTCATGGCGACGAAGGGCCGGCAGAACAACCTGAGCGTTGCACAGCGGCTGTGCTTCACGATTCGGCGCGTGTCGATTGGCGTGTGGATCGCGGATGTGCTTGCCATCGTCATCTTCGCCATCAACACGACGTCGCTGTTCAACTCGGTGGTGCAGTTCAGCGTGTTCATGATGATCGCGCTGCTGTGGAACATGTACTGCGTCGTGCTGTCGACGCCCGCGCTTGTTGTGTTCCACCACATGTACTTCGCGAACAAGCGACGCAACCTGCAGAAGCAGAACGACGTGCTGAACGCTGCGATGCAGGGGTGCCGGCGCCCGGAGCACATGGTGAACCTGCTCGGCGTCGTGCAGGAAAACGTTGCAGACGGTGAGAAACCCTACTGGATCGACGAAGATTTGATTAAGGCCCGCATCGGTGCTAACTGTGGAGTCAACAAGCGGGAGTTTCACGGTTTCAAGGATTTCATTCGAGTAGAAACGCGCACCGGATACGATAAATTTCGCGCTGCGCGTCGTGACATCGTTGGTGCCATGCACAAGGTGCAGAAGACGAAGCAACTGGTGGTGGAAGGAAAACAGTCGAACGACGTTGAACTTGCTGCTGCTCAATTACAGGACTTCTTGCAGGTGGGAGACGCAAACCCGCTCGCCGACGAGGCCGGCGCTGGCGGCAATGGCCCCAACCTGTACTACAACCCCCGCATGGTATTACCCTCCGACCTCATCCACATCCCCCCTGTCTACGTCGAACGCAGTGAGGAGTGCTGGGCTGGTTTGTGCAGCGCTCTGGGGCAGCCCGCACAGAGCAACAACGGGGAGATGGTGGCACCCCGTATAGAAAGTTTAGCCAACCAAGGCGGCAGCGACGCCGAGGCGGCGACCTTTGCGGAGCTCTGGCGTGAAGCTGGCACGCGCATCGGGGTGGAAACCACCTCTAACAACCGAACCGCCTCACTCGTTCCTCTGGCGGTGCGAAATATCGTACGGGCCCACGACCCAAACATGGTCGTCGACACCGGCGTACGAGTCGTCCCGCTGAACTTGGAGGACGATGCCGCTGCCCCTTTTGGTGCAACTGCCGCTCCGTCGTCTGCTGGTCCTCGGCTGACAGGTGGCCCTTCCGGCTTCGGACTTGCCAAACTGCGGTATCGGTGGATGCACCGCGACGATGTACGGCGGTCGCGTTGTTGCGGCATGTTCGGTAAAGTGGAAGACGAGAAGCCTGACGAGCGCATGCAGCGACTGTTGCGACGCAAGGTGAAGCGAGACGGCTATTCACTCTTCGAACGCTTCTTGCTGGCCTATTTCCTTCCAGCCGTCTACCGTGTGCGTTACGTGTTGCTTGTGCTGCTCTTCGCGATGTTCATTGCGCTGTGCGTGGCAGGGTCTTTCATCAAGGCGGGCGGTCTGCCCAACACGCTCATAGCGGGCCAAGAGGCAACGGCAGCTAAATTTGCAGCGATGGACGATACCTTCGGTCAGCGTGGCGACTGCACCTTCTGCGCTCCTTACTACCGATCTGCTCAAGATTACCGGCAGGCAAACGCTACCGATATTGCAGCATGCTCTCCTGCAAACGGTGCGCAGATGAACCTGTACGTTGACTCGTGCGGCGTGTGCAACGGCACGAACGCGTGCGTGGACTGTGCTGGCACGGTAGACGGCGGTGCCACTCTGGACCACTGCGGCGGCTGCAGCGTGCCGGGTGCACTGACGCCGACGATGTGCACGTGCAGTGTTACGCGAAACTGTTCGTACTGCGACTGGGCGGTGAGTGGGCTGCTGATCCCGGTCGGTGAAACCTGCACCACTGTGTGTCCCGCGACGAGCCGGTGCGGCGCGCATGGGACGTGCGATCAGTACACGGCGCAGTGCCAGTGCGACCCGGGCTACAGCGGTGCGACGTGCGAGGCGCAGGGCGTCGACTGCGGGTCGCACGGCACGCTGGATGCGGCGACGCAGCGCTGCAGGTGCGCCGCGGGCTGGTCGGGGACGCACTGCAACGTGTCGAGCCAGTGCGGCGGGCGTGGATCGCTGCTGAGCGCTGCGGAGTCGCCGACGGGAGCGGCGATGTGCGCCTGCGTGGGGCACTGGCGCGGTGCGACGTGCCAGGTGTGTGACTGCATGAACGGCGGCATGTGCAACGGCGCGACGGGCGAGTGCGAGTGCGTCGGCGCGTTTGTTGGGCCGCGGTGCGAGACGTGCGCGGGGAACTGCACGCTGCGCGGCACGTGCCCCGACGTGACGACTCCGGACTACAGCCTGTGGAACGTGCGGACGTGCATCGCGAACGCGTGCGTGCAGCACGACGATGCGACGAATGTGAACACGATCCCGGAGACGATGTGCAGCGCGTGCGAGCGCACGGGGACGACGGGCACGACGACGGCGTGCAGCTCGGCGGCTAACCGGGACAGCTGCCTGGCGAACGTTGACTGCTGGTGGTACACGGGGCCCACGGGGGCGCCGTACTGCGGCCTTGCACGCGAGAAGAACGACACGTCGCCGCTGGACTGCACGTGCAAGTACCCGGGCGTGTGGTCTGGCGAGACGTGCGGGGCGTGCCTTGCGCCGAAGGGTGCGACGTGCCAGGAGGACGGGACGGTGCTGGGGTGCAACGGGCTTGTGTACGTGTCCGCGAGCGCCGCGATGCGCACGGACGCGTGCGGTGTGTGCGGCGGCAACGGGCTGTGCCGCGGGTGTGACGGCATTCCCGGCAGCGGCAAGGTGTACGACGCGTGCGGTGTGTGCGGTGGCGACGGCAAATGCACCGGCGCGAGCACTGCGCAGCCCGTCTACGTGGACTACCTCTTTGACCTGACCGCCGTACGCACCATCGAGAACAACGAGAACTGGTGCAAGGTGGTGGCCACCATTGCGGCGACGGTGCGCGCGTCCGACGGAACGGGCTCCCAAGCGAAGAGTGTCCTCGAGGATTACCTTAGCGTTTCCGCGCACTACAGCATGGATAGCATCACCTCGTTTTATCGCTTTGCAGTTGCGAACGGCCGATTGAGCGAGGCGGTTTTCTCCTTGAATTCTAATGGAGAGCCGGTAAAACTACTACACATCCGTTATCGCGTAGAGAGTACAATAGTGAACAGCGAGAGCACCTCCAAGCTGATTGTGTCCTATTACTATTGGATTGAGAAGTACCTCATCGGGCCATTCCACACGTTTGCGAAGACGAACGACGTGTCTGTCTCGTTCACGAGCACTGTCTTCCAGCCCGCGGTTGCGAGGGTCGGCGCGCTGCAGAGCCTGTGGTTCTCCGTGGGCATCGGCCTTGCCGTGACGTTTGTATTCCTGCTGGTGTACTACGTGAGCGTGACGACGGCCGCGGCTGCGACGATGGTGGCTGCGATCGTGTGCTTCGGGTCGCTGACGGTGTGCATGATATTCAGCTGGGACGTGGACGCGGTGCTGCAGGTGTGCATCAGCTGCACGGTGCCGATCGGCGTGGAGTACGTGGTGCACTTCTGCAGCGGCTACTTCGACTATTTGCAGACGACGACGTCGCACCTCTTCGCTAAAGACGTGACGCGGCGCGCCGCTGTCCAGGGTGCGCTTCTGCGGTCTGCGTCGGCGGTGTGCACTTCGGCGGTGACTGTGATCGTCATCTCGATCATGTTTGACGCGTCTGAGCTGACGCCTTTGAAGCGCTGTGGCCAGATCAGCATCACGCTGCATCTGCTGATCCTGATTGCGGGTGTGCTCTTCATAGGCGCTGTGGCCGCCTTTGGTCCGATGAAGGCGTACCAGCACTGGACGCTCTCCAGCCTGCTGTGCGTTGTGTGCGCGGTGCTGGCTGCCATCGCGGTGCTGATCATGTACGGTGCGAACGGCGTACTGGGGCCGCACGCCAACAAGATCCTGACGCACTGAGCGGGGCACGGCACCTTAGCAGTAGCGGGGGCGTTCCGCAACTCTCATCTTTTCTTGGTGCTACGAAGACGCGCTCTGGTTCTGCGTGGAACAGTTGTGTGGGGACTGCGAGGAGGGTTTCCTTGACGGTCCGCAACTGGGCTGCTAAAACTGGAGCGGTTCCGACGCGTCGAACTTGATGTGGCGCATTTTTATGCTGATGGCGGTTATTTGTCGTTGGTGCCCGCACCGGAAACGAATTTGTTTTCCGCTGTTCTCTGGACGTTCTTTTCTTTTCCTTTTCTTGTGTATGACACTCATTGCGATGTAGATGAAAAGGAGGACGTAAACGCTGCGGTGCTAGAGCAACTTTTTTTCCCCTTTTTTGCTCCTCCTCACAAATCACAAAGTAGAACGCTAAAACTGTATGTATAGTGTTTCACGCCTTTCGTGTAAACGCTTGTAGACTTTGCTTATTGTATTTTGTCGGTTTCTTTTGGTGCTCCTACCATCCCGCTGTTGATGTTCCTTTGTTTTTTTACTCTCTGCTGTAACAAAGTATTGTTATTATTATTTTCATTGTCTCATTCCTGACTACTCGCTGTGCCTGCGGTGGGAAGGAGATGGGTGCACGATGTACGCAATGAACACGAATACCTCCTGCTGTTCGGTTGAAGCACAGTAGAATACCCGCGTCACAGACTTATTTTTACGGGTGTTGGTGTGCTACACATACCCAGTGTCGCGTTACAGTGGTGATGGCTCCGCGGGTGGTGTGGCAACAATAAATGGTGAAGTGCTGTGTTTCCCATTTGTCTTTTTTTGGTTTCTTTTTTCCCTTCTGGCTTTGTTGCTTGCTTCGCTGAATCGTCGGCTATCGTAGTTGTCTTTTCGTATTATGCGTATGGAGTCGCAAGCATCAACTAGAGTACTTTCGGTTGGGATATGCTTTTAACACGTCGAGAGGGTCGGACACGGTGGGATGAGGCGAAAGGGGAGAACATCATTGAACGTGAGAACGGATGTCTCTTGAATTGGAATGGAAGGCATTTGTAGTCTTTTGTGGTTGTGTGTGTCCTGAGTAACCGTTCCAGTATCGATTTGCATTCTGCCGTAATTCTGTGTGTGTTGGCCGCGTTCTACACTGTGGTTGAAACTCGCTCGACTGCGTTATTCCCCGCTCCCCCCTTTTTTTTTTAGTAGTCGTCTCGCTCGTCATTTTCTCTGATGCACGAGAAAGACTCGACATCACGCCTATTTTTCTCATCTCCCAACCTTGTTTCATCCCCCCCTCCTCTCTTTCAAGTTTATGTATATGTTTTGTTGATGCCGCGGGTGGTATTATTTCGATGCTTTCTTTTTTCATCTTCATCTTCCCGTTCACATTGTTGATGCGTGGCTCTCTCTTTCCTTTTCCTGTTTCATTGTCAAGGGCGCGCGCATCAAATATATACCGTTCTAAGGATGCCTCTTTTTCTTTACGCCTGCGGTTGAAGTACGTTGCGTCAACGGCATGACGTTACGAGCAGATACAAAAATTAACAAAAGAAACACACACACATATATATAACATATATCTATTTTCGCTCTCCTGCTTTGATTAGTTCTCCCGTTTCGCTATTCTGAAACACAAAATCCATTTTCTTGTTTCTTTCGTCTTGGCTCTCTCCTCCGTCCATTTCTTCGTGTTGTGCGCAGCTGCTTTGCTTGAAGTCACTCTTGGCGTAGTGTGCTTGAAGTGGCGTTCCCCCGTTTTGTGTGTGTGTGTGACTTCCGTTTTCATGGGTTGGTACGAAGTTTAGTCTAGCTGTCAACGTGAAGTAGGTGATGAAACTACTGTCTTTTGTTGTCTGTGTGTGTCATAATAATATAAATAATAAGAACCTATATTGAAGTTGAAGGGCGAACCACTGCCAATCAAGCGAAATGCTGACTGGCTCACTTCGTGAACGTGGCGGGCATCAAAGTAAGTGGGCGTCTTTTCGTCGCTGCTGTTTTCCTTAGCTTTCGCAAGATGGATGCTGTTTGCAGAGCTGCTCTCAATCCCAACGAGAGAGAGAGCGCCGTCGAAAGTGGTTCACCTCCACTTTGTATGCAGTGCACGCTTTTGTTGATGACAACAGCATAATCGCGTGCGTCGCTTTGTTGTCAAGCAACGTTCTCTACCGCTTTCTCGGTACGTCTTTCGAGCATTCCTCTCTCTGATTTTCTTTTCCCGACACAAGGAGAGCAGTTCCCTGCTACTTTGAGAGCTCCTCAACCTTTTTGATGCCGAAGGCGTTGAGAGTCTCAGCTTGGCCTACTCAAGTATTGGTGTACGCTTCGACTGCAAACGTTGTTGTTGCACTCCACCGTCCTTTTTTTTTCTTGCTGTTATTCATATCCTTTTGCAAAGCTCTCCACCTTCATCGCTTACGAGTTCAGTAAACGGTGAGGCGTAAGGCCGCCTACGGAGATCACCACAAAGGAACGAACCCTTTTTTGTAGGGCTCCGTCGGCGTCGATGAATCCACCGGACATTCGCGATGACCCGGCTCTGCCGCAGCCGACGGCAGAGGTCGCACCTGTGCTGGAGGTGGACACCGACGGCGTACGTGTCCGCGAAGCCATTCACCTCTTCTTGAGCCGCCTTGTCGATCCGGTTCTACGCGCCAACCAAAGCCTCGCCGCACCGTCCACCAGCGGCGTCGACGGCGGTGACACCTCGCTGCACTACATTACTGCCCAAATGGAACGCATCAGCACCTCCACTAGCTGGTGCACCTGCGTGGTGCGGTGGGCCGATCTGATCCGCTTCGACGAGGACGCCGCAGCCGTGATCGAGTCCGACTACCAGCGTTTCTCCTCTTTTCTGAACGAGGCGCTTCACCAGGTGCTGCTGCAGTACTACGGAGAGGAGTACGGCAACCGCGGCCGCTGCTATCCGAGCCTCGTCTTCTCGAACGTTCCTCGCTGTCTCACCATCCGCTCTCTCCGTGCCTCGCTTGTGGGGCAGCTGTGTTGTATTAAAGGCGTCGTTACACGCACCTCGCAGGTGCGTCCGGAGTTGCTGGTGGGCGTGTTCCGCTGCAGCGACTGCGGCACTGAAAGTCTACCTATCGAGCAGCAGTTCCATTACACCGAGCCGCCCACGTGCCGCAACACACAGTGCGAGAACAAGAACAAGTTCCAACTGATTCCGAATCACCCGCAGACGCGTTTCGGGGACTGGCAAAAGCTGCGTATGCAGGAGGACGCCAACAACATCCCGGCAGGATGCATGCCGCGCACGCTGGAGGTCATCGTCCGCGCCGATGCGGTGGAGGTGGCGAAGCCCGGTGACCGCGTGCTGGCGGTCGGCTGCGCGATTGTCGTCCCGGAAGTCGCAAAGCTGTTCAACCTCGCCAACCGACGTGAGGTGCAGCGACAGATGACGGGCGGGCAGAGGGCACAACAGGACGCGCAGGCCGACATGGAGGGCGCCACAGGGCTACGCGCACTGGGTGTGCGGGACTTGAGCTACCGCATGTGCTTCCTTGCCACCACCATCACGGACGGCAACGGAGACGATCGCAAGATGACGCACGCGGTGAAGGAGGCCACCGATGGGGCGTCTGAGAGGGAGGAGGTGGTGCTGACGCCGGCGGAGCGGCAACGGGTGCAGCAAATACGGCGCCACGACAACCTTCTCAAGGCCCTGACGTCGTGCGTCGCACCGAACGTCTTTAAGCACGACGTGGTGAAGCTGGGCCTGCTGCTGCAGATGGTGGGCGGGGTGCCGAAGACAACGGTGGAGCGTATTACGCTGCGCGGCGACATCAACGCCTGCATCGTTGGCGACCCCTCCACGGCGAAGTCGCAGTTCTTGAAGTGGGTCTCGGCAAACATGCCACGTGGGGTGTACACGAGCGGCAAGGCCAGCACGGCCAGCGGCTTGACCGCGACGGTCACCCGCGACGCCGACACAGGCGAGCGCACGATTGAAGCGGGCGCGCTGATGCTGAGTGACCGCGGGATTTGCTGCATTGACGAGTTCGACAAGATGGAGATGAAGGATCAGGTGGCGATTCACGAGGCGATGGAGCAGCAGACCATCTCCATCGCAAAGGCCGGCATCAAGGCGACGCTGAACGCGAAGACGTCCTTGCTGGCTGCCCTGAACCCCATTGGCGGCAAGTACGACCGCCGCCGGCCGTTGCAGAAGAACATCGCCATGACGGCACCCATCATGTCCCGTTTCGATTTGATGTTTGTCATCGTCGACGACTCTGGCGACGACGCGGACTACGCAATTGCCAACCAGCTGCTGCGTCTGCACCGCTTCGGCGGAGCCGCCGTGCGCCCGCCCTTCACAACCGAGGACTTCCAGCTGTATTTGCGCTACGCCCGGTCGCTGACCCCGCGACTTACCCCAGAAGCGTCGCAGCTGATCGTTGCGGCTTACCGCGACATGCGACTGCAGGACTCCCTGTCGAACCGAAGCAAGGTGTACCGTGTCACTACACGTCTGCTCGAGAGCATGATTCGTCTCTCAGAGGCGACCGCGAAGATTTACATGAGCGAGGAGGTGAGGCCCACCCACGTCGAAGTGGCACTGGAGCTCATGCGGCAGTCCCTGTCGACATTAGATATGACGGAAGTAGAGCTCGCCGATGGGGCTGGGGAGGACGGGAGTTCCAACCAGGCGGAGCTGCAGAAGCGACAGCAGCAGCAGAGCACGACTGTAAAACGTGAGCCGGAGGCAGCGCACGGTGACGGCGCGGAGAGCGCGTACGCGGAGGCGTCCAACACGGGCGCGGATGCCTTGTCGACTTCCCCCGCCGCTGCTGATCCCCCGCGGCGCAAAGTCAGCATCAAGGCAGACCACTACTTCGCCATCGTGAACCGCCTCGTTGCGCACCTCAAGTCTCTCGGCGAGGACGCGGCTCCGACTCGGCAGGAGTTGGTGACGTGGTACCTCGAGCAAGTGAAGACGCTGAACCGCCCGCTGCTGGAGGCGGAACTGCGCTACGTGAATCTTGTGCTGTCGAAGTTGGTGAAGGAAGGCAAGTTGTTGGAGGTGGACGTGAAGGAGGGCGACGCGCCCCGCATTTTCCTCGATCCGAACTTCAACCCGGACGTACCGCAGTAGAACACACAAAAGAGTGAGGCAGTACAAACTATTGTGTCTCTTTTTTTTTTCCGGATTGAAACAGCGATGCCGTTTCCTGGGTGCTGGATCTGCAAGGGCGTTACGCCTCGAGACTCTGTTGGAGAGAAGCGTAGGTGCTTGTTTTCATAGAAAGGAAATAGTTCTCATGAACTTGGGCAGTGGTGCACAGCGATAGAAGGAAAGTACATAGATTTTGGTCGTGGCTGATGTAGAAGCACGAATCGTTGCATTCCCCGCTTGGTGGCACATTTGTCGCCAACTCATCAATAAAACAGCTGTTCACAAAAAAAAGGGACCTCTCCAGCTATGAGGGTCTTGAAAACAACGTCACACGTCTGCAAGGTCTCTCTCCCATAAAGAGGTATATTTGTTCTTCCGCGTCAGACATGCCGAGCTCATGAAGAGCGAGAAGACCACACGGGCACCGCGAGAGGCACGAGGGGACCCGAGGGCGCATTACTTCGTTTTGAACGGCAAATGCGGCAATAAACTGGATGCAGGTGGAGTCTTTTTTGCTTGCTCTGACGCAGGGTAACACCTTCTTTTCCCTTTTCGATACTCTGCCACGCTTTTATTGTTACTACGATTGTTGTCACTGCTCGCTCCGTCATCCCAGCGCACGTTTACAGTCGCTTAACGTGGAAGGGGAAAACGCGATATGCGTCAGGAAATAACACTTGCTGGATTCGTTACATTCATTGCTGCGCCCAACAAGCGGCTCGACAGTGTTGCGATTCCGCGATGTGTGTTGCCAGGGTATCTTCGGCCTTTCTTGTAGTACGAAACGTGGTCAGGCAGCTATAGAACTGTTCCCTGCTGTTCATTTCATCTGTTTTGTGTGCACGCCTTTATCCGCACTGGCGCCAACATATGGAGCCACACGCACGCATACACACACACAATCAAACCTAATACACGAAAGCAAGAGCGTTAGATTTCATTCAAAGCTTTCTTTACCTTTTTAGTCCTCCAATTATATTGAGTTGCGTTGGTTTGGCTTTGAGTTTTCTCCCTTCTCGCCATCTGTGCGCTATCACCGGTGCTTCGTCTGGACGCGAGAGGCGTAGATTTTCTTTAACGCTTTCACTCCCTTTATTTGGCGCCTCCCCAACATCGTTGTCTTTTTGTCGTTGTGGTTCCCCCGCCGGCGTGTTGCAGATTTTGTCCTTATGCCGCCTGTGAAGACGGTGAAGAATGACACCGATGTGATCATCCCCAAAGCTGGGGAGGAGTACGTGTCCGAAGACGGTACCGTCTCTCAAGTATTGGACGACCACGTCGATGCCAACTACGAGCCGACGGAGGAAGAGGTATTAGAGTTTGCGGATTGGATCGGCATGCATCTGCCCGAAGATGCCGAGTACCTGTGGCTCGCGCGCGAGGGTCTGAAGACGCCCCTGCCGAAGGAATGGAAGCCGTGCAGCACCAACGATGGCGAGGTCTACTACTTCAACTTCAAGACAGGCGAGAGCAGCTGGGACCACCCCATGGACAGCCTGTTTCGCCAACGGTTCGAGCAGGAGAAAGGGAAAGCCCTCAAAAAGGGAAAGACAGCACCAGCAACGTCGTCAGGGAAAACGACGATCACGACGGGCAACCTCGATAGAGGCGGCAGCGGGCTGGGGCTCTCCAGTCCTGCAGGCGGCATACCACAGACGCGTGTTATTATGACGGAGGCGGGCACGACCACGCGAGGCACGGGACTGGCTGCCGGTTCTCCTCTCACCCCCACCCCCACACCTGCTGCTTCCGGACTGTCCACGGGCAGTCGCAACGCCACAGAGAAAGGCGCCAAGTCGGGCAAACCGGCGAAACAGACCGCCTCACCGCACCTGCAGCAGGGCACGTCGGCGACGGCCACCGCGACAACCCTCAACGACCGTCAGAACTCGGCTTCCGTGTCGAGTGCCGCCTCGCCCTTAACAGGCAGCACCGGTAGTGTGGGCTTTGGCAGTGGTAGTGGTGGCAATCCCGTTCGCAAAGGAGGCCCGCAGCCGGCGGTGTCGTCGTCCACGTCTACCCCAGCTCCGGCGGCCTCCCTGTCGGCACCCCGGCGCACCGTCTCGGAGGCGGAGCGGGCGATGGAGGAGAAGGTGCAGCGCGAGGTTCAGCGTGCCTTCGAGGCGGAGAAGGCGAAACTCGCCGAGGCCCACCAAAGCTCGCTGGCCTCCCTGCAGCAGCTGCAAGAAAAGGACGTGGCGGAGATGCGCGCCGCCGACGCAGCCCGACGCGCCGCGACGACCAAGCAAGAAGACGAGGAGCGCGAGCGCCGCCTTCAGCAGACACGAGCGAAGTGCGAAGAACTGTACGGCGACGAGTTGCGCACGATGGAGCGCGAGGAGGAGACGCTGCAGAGCAAACTGCAGAGGATGGAGGCGGAGGCGGCCCGCGCGGCGAGCGGCAACACGCAGCGCACTCAAATCGAAGAGCAGATGCAGAACGAACTCGCCAGACATCGGACAGACCTTGAGGCGACGATGAAGCGGCAGCACGACGCAGCCATGGCCGCAGAGGAAACAGCGCACACCGCCGCCATGCAGAAGATCGCGCGTGAAGGCCAGGAAAAGGTGCAGGCGTTACAGCAGGCGTCGCTGCACAAGATGGACGCAGCGGAGCGCGCCATGGCTTTAGATGTTGATGCCCAAAAGAGGAAGCTGGAGTATCAACTCAAAGACCTTGAGCGTCAACTCGCGGAAAAGGCGAAAGCCAACTGTGTCGCTTCTGGCAGCCCCAACGCAGCAAGCGACGCTGCCGCAACGGCTCCTTCGCCATCCCTCAGTGAAGAACTGACGCGCATTACTGCGGCAAAGGCCGCGCAACTGCATGATCTCGAGACGGAGGCGGAAAAAGAACGTGAGGCGGTACGGATCAAGAGCGAGGCCGCCCTTTCTGAAATGACGCGCCAGCAACAGCAGCCGCAACCCCTCTCTCCAAGCGGGCTTCAAAGCTCCATGACAAACCGCGTGCCATCGTTTTCAGGCGATCGTCCGATGTCTGTGGTGGTGCAGGGCGGCAGCTTTTCCGGGTCACGGACGACATCGTCCGCATTCGGCGTCACCTACCTGCAGGAGCTGAACCGCATCCGTATGACACGTGCAAAGGAGCGGCAGGAGCGGCTGGCACAACTCCTCATTGAGCGCAACGCCGCCATCGCTGCTGTCTCCGTGTCGTCGGTGCCCTCCCTCGGTGCGAGTGGGCACGTTGGCTCCTCAACCCGCAGCGACGCCGACGCGCTCGCCAGCCCCACCTTGGAAGAACTCAAGACGACGCACGCTGCGGAGTTGGAGGCGAAGAAGGCACTCTATGCCCACCTCGAGGCAGAGCTGAAGGCGCAGCTCGCGCAGGAGACCGCCATGGCCGCCGCGGCCACCACCGCCGAGCAACAGAGCGCCGTCGTTGCCAAGGCGGTGGAGGCGGAGATGGAACTGTACGTGCAGGAAGTGCAGGCCCGCCACGCTCGCATGCAGCTGGAGGCAAGTGCGAAGCGTGAAAAGCTCTTGTCCGATCACCAACTGGCGCTGGAGGCCTACGAGCGGCGGAAGAAGGAGATGGAGATGCGCCAGGCCCGCGAGGAGCAGGAGGCGAAGGAGGCCTTTATACAAGAAAAGGTGCACGCCGCCGCGAAGGCGGAGCGAGCGAACCTGGAGGCCAAGCACGCGACATCGATGGCCCGCCTCGCTGCTCGCTACGAGGAGGAGCGCGGGGCGGCGAAGGCGGAGGTGGATGAGGAGATGGACGCCTACGAGCGAGCAGAGAAGCAGAAGATGATGGCCACCGCTGCAGCTGCCGTGGCGTCTGCGCAGCGTCTCGCCCAACAGAAGGCGTCACTGTCCTCTGCATCCGCTTCCCTCCCGCAGCGGTCGAACGCCGACACCGCTGCGGCTGCGGCCGCCACAGCAACGGCGGCGATAGAGACTCGTTGTGCGCAGCTGTCGCAGCAGCTCGCCGACAAGGAGGCGCGGTGGGCAGCGGATACGGCCAAGCGTGAGGCAGAACGCAATGCCTTGGCGGCGAAGCGCGCCACTTTGCAGGCACGGCAGCGGGAACGCGAACAGCATCTGAGAGATATAAAAGACCAAAACATCCGCCTCGCCGCCTCGCTTTCTGCGGCGGAAGCGCAAAGGGACAGCGCGCGCAGGTCTGCCTCGGCGGCCACGCCATCGCCTCTGTCCCCGGCAGCCGCTTCCCCAGATGTACCGCCCAATGGGTATCGCCTGCGTACGGCCCATGAGGCGGCGTTGCGCTCCATGGAGGACGGCTACCGCGCGGAGCAGTCGGCGCTGGAGGCGGACCTGCAAAGTTGGCGATCGAAAACGCAGCTTCTGGTGCAAAACCAGCACCGTCGTCCCTCACTAGGTGGTCTCTTTAACCCCGGCCTCAACACACCGCGACAGCAGGTTTTTTCCACCACTGACAGCGTTGCTCGCACGCCGATGTTTTCCCACCCGAGCCCGATCGCGCCAACCGCGGCTGGGGCGTCGCTGCAAAACACACCCTATCATTCCTTTCCCTTCGGCGAATCGCCGTGGGTGCAGCCGCGGTCCCAGCAGTCGCAGCAGCCGCAGCGATCGACGACACCGCCACTTTCCAGTGCAGGGGTGCCGTCGAACGGCGGAGGCCTTCCTCTCTCCGCCGGTGGCGGCAGCGCAGCTCCCTCCGTGGCGCGCTCGCTCATGGCACCAGCCTCCCCCGATGCACTTTCCTACTACGGGGAACACCCACAAGAGATGCAGCAGCGGCAGGCGGCTCTGATGGCGGCGCGCGAGGCGTGGCAGCAGCAGCGTGCGCGTCAACTTCAGCAGTTCCAGGTGCAGCAGCTGCAACGCAGTCTGTCTCTCCCTCCTTCTCCTTCGGCGACGGCGTCCTTCTCCAGGCCGGGCGGTGGCTACGACAGCTATGCAATGAAGCAGAGTCGTCCTCGTCGCACCCGCACCCCTCCTCCACCGCGGACGAGTGCTCTTCAGCGGGATCCGTTGGGCGAAGTCCTGTCAAAGTTGAGCAGTCGGCTCGACTTGCTGACGGGGCAGGCGGAGGACTTGCAGCGCCGTCGCAGTCAATCGGAACACGTGGGCGAAGGTGCTTCGACGTCTCGTTCCCAATTGATCCGCTCACGACAGCGTCTTTCCTCCTCTCTTCAACGGCACGACTCCGAGCACAAGTCCAGAGTGGGGCAACAGCAGGCCCAGCAGAAGCGGTCAGCGGCAGCAGCGTCGCCGCGCTCACCGCGCGCAAGCCGACCAGATTCGAGTCGGCGCGACGACGACACGCTTTCGTCAAAGTGGAATCATCTACTTGACAGATTCGGCCGCCCATAGTGCTGTCTCTAAAACAATAAGTGAGGAAAAGCTCATGGCTGCGTTTATAAGAAGGCACACCGAGCTCGCACGTTTCCGCATGCGAGCTTTGCCGCCGTTTCTCCCCCGATGCTGTCGCGCCGCAGCTCTGCTTTAATAGTATCACTCGCTGACGGTACTGAGACTTGCGAACAAGTAAAAATCGAAGCATGAAGAAAAGGATCTCGCTGCTGCTGTGCTGCCATGAAATTCGATTTACTACTCTTTCATTTTGGCGTCCGCTGTGGGGGATACCTTTGAATTGTACTTTTACACGTTGCTTTTGTTCTCTTGGTGGCGCATCCCGCTTCTTTTCTTCTTTCTTTTCGCTACATTTGAACTTAAAAATAATAATCGATGCTTTTTTTTTCCTGTTCGGTGTTTCTTGGCTCATCCACCGGACTGGCGGAAGATCTTCAAGAGGACGGTGATGGAAGTTGTGCTCGCTCTCGCCCTCCCTTCCCCCTCAACCGACGCTGAGGGCTTTTCCGGTTCTCTTTCTCGTTCCACTGCGAAAGCAGTGGGTTTTTTGGTAACGTTCTTCTTCAGAGTAAACTCGTTTCCTTTCCGCTCTCTCCCTCTCGACTCTATTTCAAACCTCCGCACCGGTAAAATGCACCTTGTGTACTGGATTGTCGATTATTATTTTTCTCTTTGCGCCTTCTTCGGTGGACTCAAGTCAATCAAAGCAGGCGACACTTGTTGGTACGCCGTCACATCTCCGTAGAGCACAGACGATGTTGGCCCCGCGCGGTACGACTGCAAAGGAGGGCGACGTGGTGCTCGTCTACCACGGCCATCAAAATGTCACGCCACTTCAACTGCAACGCGGCGCCGTGCTACACTGCAAAGCTGGCAAGTTTGAGCACAACGACATGATCGATCATCCGTTGGGCGGCTGCGTGAAGGGCCGCAGCAACCAAAAAAATGACCCACGTGAGCCCACGGTGCTCATTCTGCAGAACAGCGCTGACATGTGGACGCAGGCGGTGCCGCATCGCACGCAGATCATCTACGACACCGACATTGCGGTAATTCTCTTGAACCTTCGTTTAGGCCCCGGCAAGCGTGTGGTGGAGGCCGGCACTGGCAGCGGAAGCTTAACGCACTCGCTGGCCAAGACTGTCGCACCCGATGGCTGCGTGTACACGTGCGACTTCCACAAGCAGCGCTGCCTCGAGGCCCGTAGCGAGTTCCGCCGCAACGGTCTGGACTCCCATCTCGTGTGCAGTCAGTGGAGGGACGTGTGCACGACGAACGTGGCGCCGGCCGACGTGGTGGACGGAGAAGACGCGGACGTGGAGGCGATGGAGGCGCCTCTCACGGGCTTTGGCGTGCCGGCAGCGTCTGTTGATGCCATCTTCCTCGATGTCCCCGCGCCGTGGGCTGCGGTGGATAATGTCTGCCACGTGCTCAAAGAGGGCGGGATGCTCTGCACCTTCTCTCCTTGCATGGAGCAGACGCAGCGCACGGTGGAGGCGCTGCGGGCGGCGCCTCATCACTTTGTGGACATCCGCACCGTCGAGGCGCTCACGAAGTTCTACGACCCTGTGTTCAAGCGTGCGCGTGACACTCGCGACCACGACAAAATCAAGTTCCGCCCCAGTCTCGTCTCCAAAGGACACAGCGCGTATTTGACTTTTGCGCGACGCCGCCTCTTCAAGTCCGAGGAGGCGGAGGAGCAAACGATGGTCAGCGAGGTCGAGGAGACCGCGGCTGAATCTGGCGAGTAATTGGGATGCGTCTATTCTTTGCTGTTCTACGTTGCCACACTGCGCCGGCTGCTGGGGGCCCCGCGCCGGACTCGCTACGTAAACGTTGTCTGTAGCGCCGATTAACATAAATGTGAAGCATTAAAAAAAAAGGAACAGACATAAGAAACAGCGAGCCAATAGCGTAGTTGATTGCGTTCGCCGAAACTGCGAAGTGTGTTCTATTCGTCCTTGGAGTGCGCGTCCAGTAGCATAGAACCGCTTTTGAAAGTCAGGCGACGAGTGGTTCGGTGCGTGCGTCGCTTTCGATGCGTTTCAAAATAAAAAAGAAAGAAAAATGTTGAGCCTGAAGCTCTTCTTGCCATTTTCTCGCCAAAAACTTCTTCGCAACGCACGCACACGCGTACCCACATCAAATTTTAATCGCAGGCGCGGAAGCTATCGTTGTTGCGACTGTGTAGCGTGTTTCACCGCACCATCAACCTTTGTCTTGCAGTTGTATCTTGTGGTCTCATTTTTTTCTTTCACTCCCACATACTGCAGCAGCGGCGTCCCGCGAACGTACAAGGAAGCACGTACGCACGCGCACAACGCTGCAACGCTGCATCATTACGATTGCTCCTTCTTCCCCCTCTTCATTCACTCCCACGAATGACTACCTTTAAAGGCCAGCTTGTGCTTGCGCTGGTGCTTAATGTCGGCTTGAAAGTAGTCACCTTCTCCCTCAGCACCTTGCTGACGCGTAAGCTGCTTCCGTACCAAAATGGCGTCTACTTCACGTACAACGTATACAACGATGCAGTTCTTTTCGTGGCGCGAGAAGCCACGCGCAACGTGGCATCGCGGTTGTCCATCCTGGAAGAAAGCGATGAGGTTGCGGAGAGCAGGCGGGCAGCGGCCGAGCCGTCAACCAGCGACGCGGAGAAGAAGAGTTCGTCATCGCAGATAAAGAAACCCTCCACGGAGGTGGATGTTGCAAATGTGCGCCGAATGATCAGTATGGCGTTGTGCTCCGTTGCGTTGGCTGTGGTGGCCGCCCTGGTGCTAGAGGTGATTGGAGTATGTTTTGGCCGCTTCTCGATGTTTCCTTCCATGATGCGCCACGCCCGCGTCAGCCAGCAGCAGCAGCAGCAGCAGCAGGACTTATACACGTTGCCTCACGGGTCGGAGTCTGGTGGTCTGAAGGGCACAGTAGAGCGCCTCCCGTTGCTGCTCTTCCCCTACTTACCCGAGCTGACGGTGATGGGCTGCACCGTCCTCATGGCGTTTGTGGAGCCGTGCGTCGTCGTGGTGCAGTCGCTCAATCTATTCCGCGTGGTGGTGCTCGCCGAGTGCGCCACGCTGACGGCGCGTATGTTGACGGTGCTAACCATCATCTACACCACTCAGCGGCGCGGCGCGGACGCGCTTCAGGTAGACGGTGAGCCGTTGAATGGCAACGGGCTGCGCACGCTGTGGGAGGCGCGCATGACGTTCGCCTTTGGCCAGCTGGCGTACGCCGTGACACACGTTCTGTATTACACGGTCGTCGTCTCTGGCCTGCCGGTTGCGCGCTGGCTCGGCGCCAGTGCGGAGTTGCAGCAGGTGCGCGCTGCCTGCTTAGAGGGGTGCGCTTCTCCAAAGAAATCCTCGCAGAAAAGCGAAGCCGATGCTCAGAACCCGTCTGTCCCCGCATCGCCCTCTTTCCCGTTCGCCGCGTCGAGGCTCTACGGCATCTTTGCGTTTCCGTGGTGCTTTTACTCGGTTTCCGACTCGATTGACGTGTGTCGGCAGGAGGCAGCGCTCTTCTTCACTTTTCTGCGAGAGAGTCTGCTTCGCCTTGTCCTGTCCGAAGGCGAGAGTTTCGCTCTCACCTCGTTGGGCTCGGAGTCGGCCCGTGGCTACTACCACCTCATCTACAGTCTCGGCTCTCTAGTGGCACGGTTGCTCTTCCGTGTGTGGGAAAACGCGTGCTTCGTGAAGTGGAGTCGCGAGGCGTCGCTGGGCCACCAACAGGCAGCCGTGCAGCTCCTCAAGTTGATGGTGCGCGTATCTTTCTACGTCGGCTTCTCCTTCGCCTTGCTGGGCCCCCCACTCACCCGCACATTTTTGCTGACTATGTACACCTCTCGCTGGGCTACACCGCAAGTGACGGTGGCGCTGCAGCGCTGCTTTTATGGAATGCCGATCATGGCGTGGAATGGGTTGCTCGAGGCTTTTCTGCGCGCTGTTGCTTCACCGGCAGTGCTGCAGCGTCTCCAGCGTTGGATGGTGGGCGAGACGGTTGTGTACATCGCGGTGTGCTACGCAACATTGATGTCTTTTGGTAAAAACGATGAACAGGGCGACAGTGTGCGTGTCTTGGTGCTGCTGAACGTGCTGAACATGCTTTGGCGTTGCGGAGCGTCGATCTACTTGCTGGTGATCTCGCCTGCTGCCTCGCATGTTCCCACTTCTAGCGGTGCAGAAGCCACCTCAGCACACCCATTGGTTCACCTGCACGAGTTTGCGCACGTGTTCTCGGCGCGCATCTTGGTGTCTTTCCTCTCGCTTTTCATCCTGTCCAGAGTTGTGACGGCCTCCGTTGCATCCATTGCGTGCATCGGCGTCGCTTACGGTGTGGTAATTTTCGCCTGCGACGCCGAGGTGCGCCGCTTGCTGATTTTGCCTGTATGGAGTCGTGTGGTGCTTCTCCGACCCCGCCGCAGCGGTGATGGTGGTGGTGTTGGCACCCCTCGCGAAGCTGTCTCTGCGGCAGAAAAGAAAAGGAAGTAACTGTGGCAGAGAAGAAAGAGATGAGGAGCCCATCCACATCCGTTTTTGTTTTTCCCTTTTTTTCGAATTGTAAAGCGACGACCCCTCCCCTCTCGCGCTAGGATCAAACGCAGAAAGACGCTGGTTCGTCGTACGCCCCCTCCCCTCCCCCCCCCCCCCTTTTCCCCCACCTCCAAACACGAACATGTATGGATGTAGAAAACGCTGTAAAAGCAACCGCTTTCTCAATACATGCGAAGAGGAAGAGAAAAACCCGAAGAAAACAACGGCAACAGGTCTTTGCATGAACCACGCCCCCGGCGATCGTCATTTCACTGAAATGATGATTTCTCGTTTCTTTTTCCACTCTCTCCCTCTCTCCTGTGGGCTCTCACGCCATCTATTTCCTCTCGTTTGTTTGTTTTTCGCGGTACACCACGGTGACGTGTGCTTTATGTACCTCGTTCATCTTTTGCCGGCAATTCACAGCTTCTTTCTTTCCGTTCTCTCCCCCCTCCCCTGTGGCAGCAGTTCAGCATCAACCTCTTCACACACGCACGAACATATTGAGACTTAGCGCTTCTCTTTTGTTTTGCTTTTTTGTTTCTTTGCTTTGTAGGCTCTCACTAAGAAGACGTTACGTCAACGCTGAAAGATTCCTATTTTATATACATATCCACATTCTTCAAGAGAAATCTCACCTATTCAAACCGTGTGTGATAGCGCCGCATCGTCATCGGTTCTTTTCCCCCGCTGAAACGTCGGTCTCCACGTTTTGTAATTCAAGTCGTCACACAAACGTTGTCCCCCTTCGCCCCGCTGTTCGGCGTGATTTCTACTACTTTTTCTCATTTTGTTCTTCGCATTACACTCTTCCAGAAGCGTCTCGTATCGTGTCTTTGTCTTGACTCTGTTCTTTTTTTCTTTTTCTTTTTGGATCTCAAGAAGTCGCACGAGCACCCACAATGCTTCGCCGTGTCTCTTCTCGCGTGCTACCGAAGGCATGTGGTGCGGCCCACAACATGTGCCTTCGCTTCTGCCTCAGCATCAAGGTGCCGACGATTGCCGAGTCCATCAGCACTGGGAAGGTGGTGAACTGGACCAAGAAGGTCGGCGACGCTGTTACCGAGGATGAGGTAATTTGCCAGATTGAGTCCGATAAGCTCAACGTGGACGTGCGCGCCCCCAAGAACGGTGTTATTACGAAGATCAACTTTGAGGATGGCGCGGATGTAGAGGTGGGCGCAGAGCTGTCAACGATGAAGGAGGGTCCGGCCCCAGCTGCCGCGCCGGCTGCCGGAAAGGAGGAGGCGGCGAAGCCCGACGCCCCGAAGGCCGCTGCTCCGGCAGCGCCGGCGGGTGCGGCTGCCGCGCCCGCTGCTGCTGCGCCGATGCCTGCAAAGCCCAGCGTGCAGACCGTCAGCGGTGCGGACCCGCGCGTGAAAAGTGTGCGCATCTCGTCGATGCGGCACCGCATTGCCGACCGTCTTAAAGCCAGCCAGAACACGTGCGCCATGCTGACCACCTTCAACGAAGTCGACATGACACCGCTGTTTGAGCTGCGCAACAAGTACAAGGACGACTTCGCGAAGCGCCACGACGTGAAGCTGGGCCTCATGTCGCCCTTCGTGAAGGCGTGCGCGATCGCCCTGAAGGATGTGCCGATCGTGAACGCCTCCTTTGGCAAGGACACCATCGACTACCACGACTTTGTAGACATCTCCATCGCCGTCGCCACCCCGCGCGGACTCGTGGTGCCGGTGATTCGCGATGTGCAGAATATGAACCTGGCGAACATCGAGGTCGCAATCGCCGACTACGCCGCGCGGGCGCGCATCAACAAGCTGACCATGGCGGAGATGACGGGCGGGACCTTCACCATCTCCAACGGCGGCGTATTTGGATCGTGGATGGGCACGCCGATCATCAACCCCCCGCAGAGCGCCATTCTCGGCATGCACGCCATCAAGAAGAAGCCGTGGGTGGTGGGCAACGAGATCAAGATTCGCGACATCATGGCCATCGCCCTCACGTACGACCACCGCCTCATCGACGGTGGCGACGCTGTCACATTTTTAGTCAAGGTGAAGAATTTGGTGGAGGATCCGGCTCGTATGGTGCTGGACCTGTCGTAGAAACGCTGCTTTGTATGCACGTAGCAAGCAGTGAAAAATAGGTAGAAACGGGGAGGATGTAGACGAAGGCGAGAGGAAGGCGGCTGAGTCATTTGTGTGTTGATTGTTTTCTTCTCCTTTCCGTTCTCCACTTCCGTCCTCTTCCTTTTCTTTTTGTTGCCTTTCTGTTGGATTTATTGTTCTGTTGTCTAATAGTAGGAATTGCCGAGCCTGCATCTCTTCTAGTTGTTTTGCAGCTCCTTTAGTGTTTTCTTTCTTCTTCTTGTGTTTTTCGCCTTCTGTGGTGCATGTGCGAAATTGCTGTTGTTTGTGTGTGTACATCGCAGGAATGAAACACGACTGCGTTATTTTCTTTACAGTTTATTGCCTTCGCCGTCTTCTCTCTGTTGTGGTTGTTTTTGTTTCTTTCTTTTCTCTTCCCTCATATTTCCAAATGGCCCCGATAACCCGAAAGGACCAAAACCGATTTTTCTCGCTATTTACGTCTCCCTCTATTTACCTATCTATATATCTATATAAAAGAAAACATGAGCTTCTTATTTGTTTTGGTGATTGAGCAGAGTAAGTGCGCCACAACGACTTGAATGAAGAAAAGAGAAAAATAAGGAGACAAGTTGGAAGCAAATTCGTTAGTAAGCCTGCGTTGGTTGCCACATGTGGAGGTGTGTGCGTGTGTGTGCGTGTAGCTGGAACCTTCTTGCAAGGCAACTAAAGGTGGGAGCACAACGGGTACCCGAAAGCGCGCCTTTCTTTCTTTTTTTTTTTCCTGTCCGGCTACTCTTTGTTTCTTTAAGAAAAAAATGTTTTCCCTTTTTTTCCAGTTCGGTGAATCCACCGTTTTAAGGGTTGCTAACGCCTCCCTCGTGCGCTCGTCAATCGAAAAGTATAACCTGTTACACAAAACAACAACGAAGAAGGAAAGCCGTCATCTGCCTTTATTCATACATCGTGATCGAAGTTTGGTTAAGGTGGCAAACGCATGCGCTTATCGCCTTGTTTGAACTGAGTGCGTGGTCAACGAACCCGCTCTGCACGCACTGGTGTTTAAGCGTGACTTCGAAAGAAATGCGACAGGACACCGGATGCAGAAGGTTGAGGAACTCAACACGGGTGCCAGGAGTGCCTGCCTACGCGAAAGCATGGGTGGGAGCCCAGAAGGGCGGCACGCTACATATTGTTTAAAACGCTGTATTGAGGACCCGGTTGCAGGCGTACATGAAAAGAAGACTTCCTTCTTCCTTGTTTCTCCGCCCTTTCCTTAGTACCCTTGTGTAGTTGACAGTGTAAGAGCTCTCTTGCATCCTCTCTTTGTGTCGTTTCTGTTATTATCGGTGAGGGTAGCACGCATAGCAACTCATCAGCACGCATACGACGCGCGGGACAGCAGCAGTGCTTCTTGCGTTCAGTTATTCGAAAAGGAAAGCCAGGATTTGAAAAAGAAAGTCTTCAGTTCCGTCATCATGGGACACGAGCAGGAACAGGTGCGTGTGCTGTCGAAGCAGGAGCTGCTGACGACGCACATCGGCGAGCTCAACACGAACTACTCCGTTAAGCCGCATCTCGAGTACACGACGATCCGCGCCGTCAACGGTCCTCTTGTGATTCTTGAGGATGTGCGCAAGCCGACCTACGCCGAAATTGTCAACATCGAGCTGGCTGACGGTAGCGCGCGTCGTGGTAAGGTGTTGGAGGTGGATGGCACAAAGGCTGTTGTGCAGGTGTTCGAGGGCACTTCCGGCATCGACGTCATGCGCTCCAAGTGCGAGTTCACCGGCAAGGTCATGGAGCTGGGCGTGAGCGAGGACATGCTGGGCCGTATTTTTAACGGCTCCGGTATCCCCATCGACAACGGTCCGGCCGTGTTGCCGGAGCAGTACCGCGATATCGAGGGTATCCCGATCAACCCCCGCGCGCGTGTGTACCCCGAGGAGATGATCCAGACCGGTATCTCGTCCATTGACGTCATGACGTCGATTTCGCGTGGGCAGAAGATTCCGCTCTTCTCCGGTGCCGGTCTCCCGCACAACGAGATCGCGGCGCAGATTGTGCGCCAGGCCGGTCTCGTGAAGCGTGAGGGCAAGCAGGAGGACTTCTGCGTCGTCTTCGCCGCCATGGGCGTGAACCAGGAAACGGCCCGCTTCTTCCGTACCGAGTTCGAGCAGAATGGCTCCATGGAGAAGACGGTGCTTTTCCTCAACCTTGCCAACGACCCTACGATTGAGCGCATTGTCACGCCGCGGCTGGCCCTAACCACGGCCGAGTACCTCGCCTACGACTGCGGTAAGCACGTGCTCGTCATTCTCACCGATATGAGCTCCTACGCTGACGCCTTGCGTGAGGTGTCTGCCGCCCGTGAGGAGGTGCCCGGCCGCCGTGGCTTCCCTGGCTACATGTACACCGATCTCGCCTGCATCTACGAGCGTGCAGGTCGTGTGCTGGGCCGCGCGGGGTCCATCACCCAGATTCCGATTCTGTCCATGCCGAACGATGACATCACCCACCCCATTCCTGACCTGACTGGCTACATTACGGAGGGTCAGATCTACGTTGACCGTCAGCTACACAACCGCCAGCTCTACCCGCCGATCAACATTCTGCCGTCGTTGTCGCGTCTGATGAAGAACGCCATTGGCGAGGGCATGACCCGCAAGGACCACGGCGGCGTGAGCAACCAAATGTACGCCGCGTACGCCATCAGTCGCGATATTCTCGCCATGAAGGCCGTCGTCGGCGAGGAAGCGCTGAGTAGCGAGGATCTGCTGTACTTGGAGTTCCTCGGCAAGTTCGAGCACAAGTTCATCTGCCAAGGCTTCTACGAGGCACGAGATATCTTTCAGAGCTTGGATCTCTGCTGGGAACTGCTGCGCACCTTCCCGAAGAGCATGCTGAACAAGATCGACATCAAGACTCGTGACGAGTTCTACGACCGCCAGCCGGGCCGCAAGTAAAAGGAAAAGAAGAAAAAAGACTGCTAAAGAAACCCGCGGCGACAACAAAGAAGAAAGAATAACATGAGTCACCAGCTGCACTTCACGTGTAACTCCTCCTCCTCCTTCTCCCGTGCTGCTCAACGGTTTGCGGCGTCTTCACCTCTCGCAATCTGAGCTACTAGTGATGGCTGTCGTTTTTTTTTCCCGACCACCTTGTACAAGTGTTGTTTGGCATCTGAACCACAGAGGGAAGCGAATTCGGGACCCCTTCCCCTCCAAAAAAGAAAAGAAAACGGTGTGTTTGTTTTTGTATCGAGTCAGTGCTTGTTGCACGTATGCGTCCTCGGTGTTGATCGCGAGTTGGCGATTATCGAAAGTACCCTCTCCCCCCGCTTTCGTCTGACTAACCGTTTGCTGATGTTCCGTTGTGGTTGTCACACCTTTTCCCTACGCCTCCCGCTTCGTGTTCGCAGCTGATTCAGTTTCACTCATTTTTTAAAAGCAGCAGCCACACTTGTTTTTTTGTTGTTCTCCTCGGTGTGTCTGTCGAACGGCAGCTTTTTTTTTCTTGTCTTTTCCAGTGTGTAGGAGCATCTCTCCATCAAGAAGGGAAAACTGCATTATCGTCGGGGCTTTTATCGAAAGTTCTTTTCTTCTTCTCCCCTCTTCAACGGTTTCTTGAACGTGCTTTCATCACTCAAAGAGGGAAGGATGCCATTTATGCTACTGTTTCCATCTTCGCTTTAAAAGAGAAAATGTTGCTTGTAGTCGGTATTTAGCTGGGATAATTATGCATATATTTATGATTGGTGTTGTTGTTGATTCGTGTGTAGTCGACGTTGCGTAGCGTGTTTTTCTGTTTTTGACGGTGGTGATAAATAGGTTACACAATGGAAAAAAGGAACACTGGTGGGACTCTAGAGTTTTTGCGGCGGCGCTTTTCCGTGTCAAGCGCGTATCGTCGACAGCTGGGTGTGCCTCTTCGCTTCTTTCGCATAGGTAAGACTGACGCGCAAAACCCAGGTCTTGTGTTCTTCGTACCAATGCCAAGTAGCATGGATCGTACGTGACGGGGCATGTGTTCTGCGCCGTATTCACGTATTGGAAACATCCAGGAAAAGTGTCTATTGAGTCGTGGTGTTGTGGATGCATGCCGACACTTTTTGTCCCCGTAGGTGAAATGCACGACGGCTGTTGGGGACTCCTTCGCACGTGCTTCTCTCCCTGTTTTGCAAACAACCGATGAATACGTTTTCTTTAATTTTCGCTTTCTTCCTCTCGTTTCTCCGACTTCTTTTTTTATTTGGTTGGACTTACGCGCCTGCTCTCAAATTCTATTCACAGAGAAGTTTGTACGAGCCCAATACCAATGTCCTCCGACACCGCCGCGTCGTGCCTGTTGGACGTTGTTGTCTTCGCAGGCGGCGACTCTCTGGATCTTATGCCCCTGAGCACGGTGGAGCAGAAGACGATGCTGCGCATTTGTAATCGACCGCTCATTTGGTACACCCTCACACCGTGGATCGACGCGGGCTTCGCTACCTTTTTCTTGTGCGTCAACGAGGACTACGCCGCGCTGCGTGCGTACCTGTCCCGCGCCTTCAGCGGGGTCGACTTCCACTACATACTCGTTCCCTCGAAAGTCGGCGACCACGCCTCCACCACCTGTGACGCCGTGAAGGCGTACCTCTGCTACAAGGAGGCGCTCCGGCTGGGCGAGGAGGGCCCACTAATTGCCTCCGCAGACGTGGGCGAGCGGGAGGCCTCGCCAGCGAGTACGGAGCGCGCCGGGTCGACGTCGGGCACTCGCGACGCACTGCGTCATCGAGGCAGTGGTGCAGGTGCGACCGCAGGCAGCAACGCTCGTCGCTCCACCACCGGCGGTAGCCGCGACCCGCTGAAGCTGGAGCGCGTGAACAGCGCAGGGCTTCCGCGCGATGCAATTCTGCTCAGCTGTGACTCCATCTTGGTCGATGTGGATATCGCCAGCTTCGTGGAGCGCCACTACACCTCCCTCGCCTCGGTGACGTCGATGCTGTACCGTCCGCTGCGCAAACGTGCCGGGGAGCAGAAGGGCGGAGGTGGTCGCGGCAAGGGTGCGGCGGCGGCGGCAGCTGCAGCAGAGGCCCCGCAGGCCTCCTTCACGCACGCCTTCTCGTGTGTCGCCTATGAAGAAAACGATGCGACCAGCTCAATGGCGCTGGGCACCCCGTGTGGCGCCGGCAGCGGCAGCGCTCTCACCTCTTACGTCCAAGGCGGAGGGCAGTCCGGCCAGCATACAAGGGCGACCTCGCCGTCGTCTTCCAAGCTTCACGGGTCAGCAGCCGCTGCTGAGGAGGAGTCGCATGTCAGTCACCACCGCCTGCATTACATTTACCCCCTCGAAGGTAAGCCGGAGGTGCGCATCACCATGGCATTTGCGGCACGCCGCCCTGACTTGACCTTCGCCGCCGACGTTGTGGAGGCGCACGTGTATTTAGTGAGCCGCTGGGTGTTGGACTTCATCGCCGCGTCCGCCGGCATCGCAGACATGATGGTGCGCAAGGACATCATTCCACTGCTCGCGCGAAGCCAGCACACGATGGTGAACGCGTCGGAGAAGTCCTTCGTCACGCCGTCGGAGAAGCTGCACACGAACATTTCGCTGCACTGGACTGGTGAGGGTGCCGACCTGTCGGTGCAGTCGCTGAACGCCGCGCGTGGCCTGCCGCTGCCGGAGGTGACGGACCCGTTGCGGGTCTTCTGCAGCATTTACGAGGAGCACCCAGATGTGGCGTGTCGCATCTACCGCATGAACACGCGCGACAACTACCGCGCGTTGCACCACGAGATCATCTCCGCCAAGTGCTTCCAGCTGCAACTCGATGAGCCGGCAGCGCAGACGGGTGGCGGAGCAGCGCCGTCTCGCCGCAGCGCTCCACCGTCGCTGCTGCAACACCACGGCACCTTCGGCCACCACGGAGGACCTCAAGACGCACACGCAGACAGCAAGCCTTCGCCGTCTCTCGGTGCCCTCGCGCTCGCCGCTCTCCTCCCGGACAACCCGATCACCATCAAGGAAAAGATAGCAGATCAGCAAGTCTACATTGTCAGCAGCTTCATCGACTCCGTGCCGCCACCGAACGTATTCATCACGCGCAGCGTCATCGGTGCGCACGTGAAGCTGGAGGCGGGGGCGCGTATTACGGACAGCATCCTCATGGGCAACGTCGAGGTGGGTGCGAAGGCGGTGATCGCGCACAGCGTCATCGGCACCGGCGCGGTGGTGAACGCGGAGTGTCGCATCGGGGGCACGATTGTGGCGCCGCGCTGCGTGGTGGAAGAGAACGCGCAGGACACCATAATCGAGTGAAGTTTGCGCGAAGACACAGGCGTATCTATAGGGGAACAGAAACGGCATTGGTGCGCGTGTGCGTGCTGTGCCGATTTAAGGTGGATCTTTTTTTTTGTTTATGTGTTTCAGATTGGCATCGCATGATTTACGTGTGGTGTCGGTTTGCGATTTGTGTCGACGGCGGCTTCAAAGTCTCTCGTTGTAACCGGGGAATTCAAAAAGAAGAAAACCTCAAGGAAACGACAGAATGGGTGGTCAGCTCAAACAGCGTTTGATGATTCAATTGAGTACCGTTTCAGCTTGACACATTCGCATCGCGCAGAGGAGGAAGAGGGGGCAGAGAGAGAGAGAGAGAAAGGAAAGGACGAAAAGACGTGTCTTCGCCAGTCAGCTTCGTGCCGCATAAAACGGCGATACAATGTGTTGAAGGGGAGAACAGGCGTTGAAGCGCTTAGCTCGTCGCTTCTCCAGAAACAGCGAAATCCTCATGTCTCTGTCATTCTTTGTTTCTCGCTGCTTCTTCTTACAGAATTCTTCCCTTCCCTATTACTTCACAGCCGCAATTCGTAAATCAAAGGGACACAAAGCTCATCCTCTCTTTCTCATTACACCATGGAGTCGCGTGCATCCGCCGCTACGCCGGCAGAGGACTTTGTGTGCCTGCACTTCGTGTTCCTCCATCACGGCTACCATGGGCGAGAGACGGACTTTCACTACTTGAGCAGCACCGCAGAGAGTGCACTACGGGCGGCGCACGGCGATGACGCACCCGCTTCACAGCCGGCCTCGCCGCACTTCGTTTTTATTCACCCTTCCGGAAGTAGCTTTCTGCGAAGAGAACAGGGCGTCGTGGCGTACGCGCAGCGATACAGCAATCACGCCTGCGCAGTTATTTCCGAGACACTCTCTCCCTTCAGCAGGGAAAGGAACAGGGGCGTCGACCACGACGATAAAAGTGGACGCGGTACGGCTGCAGGTTCGGCGGCCCGCGGCGCACCCGTTGAGTTGCACTTCTCAGCCGTCGGGCACTCCATGGGTGGACTCATCCTACGGTTCGCGTTCCCACTCATTATGCGGTGGGTGGAGCAACTTGTCTCGCAAAGCCCATGGGTGCGCGGCGTGCACTGGGACACATTCTGCACGATGGCGACGCCACATCTCGGTGTGCTCTACGTAGGGTCCCATGTCAAGACCTTTTTGGGGAAGATGGCGGGCAGTCTACTGTCGGCCGCCGTCGCGGATCTCTTCTCCCAAAGCACGCTTATCACGCTCGACTTGGTGACTGAGGAGAGTCTTGCGGCATGGGCGAGGTTCAAACGGCGGGTCATCTTGAACGTCGTCGACGATCGCATCGTGGTCGTGTGCAGCAGCAGCTTTGTGATGCCGTTGGATGTGCGTCAGCGCATAAGCGCTGCGGTCCCATCGCCACCACCAGCGTCTTCTTCGCACGCGGCACCGGCGGTGCTAAACAGCACAGACGAGTCGAAGCAGTCCGTCGTCGCCGGCGCGGTGCGTGGTCCGAGCCACGGCAAGGAGCATTCCGGTCCTGAGAAGCGGACGTGCTTCGATGTGCCGAACACAGATGCCTCGGTGATGCATCTGGCTGAGTTCGGCGTCTACTGTGCGTCTACAGTAGAGGGGCTGCGGCGCAACGCGTACGAGCTGAAGAAGCTGTCCGACGAGCTGTGGCCGCCGGAGTTGCTACCGCAGCAGCGCGCGTTGGCCGAGCGTATTTTAGGACGTGTCGGTCCTCTCGAGCTGCACCTCCTTGACTTCCGCCCTCTCCGCGACGCGCCAGTGGAGTGCCTGCCCCGTCACGTCGCAGAGGCGCGTGCGAAGTTGGGCGTGTGTAGCAGTGCAATGATGGCGCTCGGCGCGCACAACTTCAGCCACGCCGCCATGGCGTGCAAAGGTCTTTTTAACTATCCCGCGTTCTTTGGCTTCCCCTCCGAGTACATTGTGACGGATCTTCTGGGGATTCCCTTGACGGTGCATGGGTTGTCGACCGACGCCAAGGACGCTTCGACTTCTTTATGATGCGCTGCAGTAAATGCTGTTCTCTAGCGTTGCAAGTCGTCGATTGCTTGTATTCTTCTCTACTTTTTTCCCCACAATGTTTTCTATTGCTGTTTATGCTTCATTGGCTTTGGCGAAAACCTTCGCGGTTTTCTGTAGCCTTTTTCTCCTTCTCGTCTCTCTCTCTCCTCCCCCCCCCTCTCCCGCGTATGGCGCGTATTATTCCGCGTCAACCCTGCGTTGATGCGATGCCACCAAAAAACAACCACAAAAGAACGAATACGCGCTTCGTGCTCAATAAAGCCGTGAAAGGAAGTATATACATTTCCTTTTCAGTTCTCGGGAAGATTCCGAAAATGGCTTGCGTTTTGTGGCGGTGATTGCATGAGAAGATGGATGCCTCGTGTGCGCGTTTGCTTTCCACCTTCGCTCTTGCGTGTGCCGTTTTCCCTCTGCTATTTTCTCCACTTCCTCCCTTCTCTCCTCACCGCACCCGTTGCTTTTGAACTGCTTTGAGGTGAATTGAAGAGGGAGGCGAGAAGAAACCGCTGCTCCGCTTCCTGCTTAGAGAACGTCTGTCAATTCATTACAAAAGAGGAAGGCCCTCCCGTCCTCTCCAGCGACGAGACGTCGATGACGGTGTCACGACGCTCTCGACCAAAAACTGGCGAAGTCATTATTTTTGCGTTTTGTATTCTTTTTTTTTTCCTTTGCTGGACGTGGATGTTGAAGAGCCGCTTTCATCGTTTGCCAAGGCGGGAGACGCAGCGCGGATGCCGGCGTTTCCTTTGTATGACTCTGCAGGGACGAGGGACCGTGCTTTGTCTTGTGCTGACTGTCGTGGCGCTGGCCTTCACGTCTGCGGCAGCTAGGACAGAACTTCCCGATGACGGTGTCTCCCTTGGCAGCTGGTCGGACGCGACTTCGCGCTACTTCGGCAGCCCCTCCGCATTTGTACGCGCCGATGGCACAAAAGAGACGGTGGTGGCACCTCCGCTCCACGTGCTGGCGTTGATGGACTGGCAGTCGGAGCGGCGCACAGAGTTGCTCGTGACGTGGCCCAATCGTTCTTCACTGACCCTGTGGGCCAACCGTGACTTGGCCACCTCCTTAGTCTCCCGCACCCGAGCAGCAGCGTTGGTGTACCATCCCATCTGGTCAACCGAACAACTGCCAACGCCGGGCAGCACGTCCACTGCACCGCGGTACGTGGTGAGTGCGATTGGGGCCGATTGGCTCGGCCACGGCGACGCGGACGTTCTGCTGCAGGCGAGCGATGGAGGCATCTACGTGCTGCGGCACTCGTCGGTGTCAGCCTGGACGCCGTCGAGCGCATTCGAATCGATCGCCATCGTCGGCGAGTCTGCCCCGTTCACGCCGCTGACAACGCTGAAGCAGCCCACTGCGCCGTCACTGAGCATCGTGGCTGACTTTTTTCCCGCAAACGCGACCCGCGACGCAGCGGAGGGCGCCATCGCCTTTGTGAACGTCAATGATCAGCTCGTTCTTCTCTCTCGCGTTCCAGGTTCGGCGTGGCCGCCGCGGTACACTCCACACGTTCTCGCAGATGAGCAGAGCGAGCTGACAGGTCGCAGGGTGCTGCCGCTGTCCATTCTCGCTGCTGACGTCAACGAGGACTGCGCCGCGGAGCTGCTCTACGCCGTGCGGGACTCCCGTCAACACCGTTATGAGGTGCATCTCTTCAACACCGCCTCCCTAGCCGATTCGTCGGTGCCGAACGGGACGGTGCTCGTGGCGCTACCTGAAGACAAGGGTGAGCGCTACGGCGACACCTTCACGTTGGCCGACGTGAACGGCGACGGCCTGCCAGAGCTGCTCGTGACGGTGCAGCTGTCCAGCCAAAGCAGCAGCTGCGCATCTGCTGACAGCACGGCCGGTGCGGCAGAGGCATGCACGCCCTACCACGGAGTGCGCATCTTCTACCCATCGCGGGCCGCGGACGTGAGCGGGTCACCGCGCTGCCGTACCACTGCCGCCTCCTCGAGTGATCACCACCTTTCCTACAGTCTGGACAGCAGCGAGCTTTTCGTGCTGACACCGACGTGGTGCGGCGTGGAAAGCTGGGCCGGTGGTGCATCTGGCACGCCACTGCCTTTGTACATGCCGAGTTACCCCTCTGCGCCTCTCGTGCTCCGCCCCGGCGATTACAATCGCGATCGACTGGTGGACTTGGTGGTGCCCAGCTCGTATGGGCCTCTGCTGTTGACCTCCCGTGCCGTCAACGGGGCGCGGCCGCTGGTCTGCACGGCGCTTGACAGCGGCACTGGCAAGGAGGCGGTGCAGACGGCGATGGCGAGGCTGGCTTCCTCGCCGGCCGCGCAGCTGGAGGCGTACCGCACGGCCACGCCCTTCTTCGCCACCTTGGCGCTGCTGGGTCGACTGGAGATCGTGTTGACGCATCATCGAGTGCTCACCACCGCAGTTGCCTCTTCAGCCACCGCGATGGAGCAGATATTGGTTTACCAAAACGATCAGGTGCCCAGTCGCTCCTACTTTCTGTCCGCCACCGCGTTGACCACGAAGGCGTACGGTGCGGCTTGCATTGGCGCCACGCATCACATGTCCTGGCAGGACATTCACATGCGCTCGCACTGGGCTACCGTGACGCAACAGGGTCGTACGCAAAGCCACGCGCTGCTCCCGCCGCACGTGCTTGTGGGTCTGGATGAAACCTTTTCCTATGTGCACGACTACACGGTCGCACTGCGTGTCGCCGCGGAGGGGTCGACAGAGTTGCAAGCCAAGGAGTGGCCGTCCTACCTCTGCCAAATGCGCAAGTGTTTGCTGAAGTGTTCTCAGTGCACAAGCCGTCGACGTGGCACCTTCAGCTTTACCTGCCCACTTCAATGTATCGGCGGCTTCTCGTGGTGGCCTTGGCGGTTGCGTTGGGCGTGATCGGCGTGCCAGTGATTTGGCTGCGCTGCGGTGAGATGCGCCACGACTACAACGAGTGGCGCATGCCGTGAGGGTAAGAAGATGGTGCGCTGCTGTTCAGAAACACACAGACATGCAAATATATATGCGGTGCTTTGACGAGCTTCGGTTTAACGGTCATACTGCCTGCTCGCTTGAAAAGATGGAACTATCTTTTTTTTTGCTTGTGTCGGTTGCAGGCCTTTTTGTGCACCTGCTACGCAAAACGTTGCTGTAACGTGCTCTTCTTTTATGCTAGTGTCGTGCTTCACAAGCTGCTGACATTCTGCCCGATGTTGATGCGCTGTCCGCGTGACTGTACACACAAAGAACTATGTTTTATTGGTCAACACGAGAACGTTCGATAAAAACCGCGTGTTCACACGCTCAAGACATCGAAACGGTTGTTAAACTTCCACACACTGTCCGTCTCTGGAAGACAATAACAAAAGGAAGAACAACAACGCTACTCAAAGCAACCTCTATCTTTATCTGTTGCAGCGACACTGAAGCCGTGTCTGCGCGGCTATGTCTGCGATGTCTTCCTTTGGCTCCTTTCATTCTTCAGTTGTGCTGCTTTCTTCCCTTGGCTCCATCTGTTCGAACGCAATTCTTTCTATGCACTTCAAAGGCTTACACATCCGTCAGAATGGGACATCTCGACCAGTGGCGCTCCCGCCAGAAGATCGGCATGGGTAAGGGCTCCCGCTGCTGCGTGATCTGCTCTAACCAGAAGGCCCTGATCCGCAAGTACGAGCTGAACGTGTGCCGTCAGTGCTTCCGTGAGAACGCTGAGCACATCGGCTTCAACAAGCTGCGTTAATCACAGTCGTTCACGTTTGGCTCATGTAGGAATTGCGGATGTCTTGCCCTGCGTTTTTGTGCGGAGGTGTGAAATGGACTCCAATAAATGGCGACGCTTTCCCGTGTTCTTCGTCGGTCGCCGCCTCTCGTTAGTTTCTGTTCTCCTGCTCAGGCCGATCGCACAGCGCAGAGTGTTTGTGTATAGTTCATCATTATCTTGTTTTTTTTGTCTTCTGTCACTTCAGACTTTGTTTCCAGCGTGGCACGTGAAGCGAATGTGCAGCAGCGCCATATGGATTCAGGATAACAAGTGGCACTCCAAAGAAGCAAACAAACGAAAACTTCAACTGTGTGCAGGCGAGCAGCTTCAGCAGGACATATCTTTTTTGTCTCAATAGACTGTCGTCGTCTTCACTTCATCCAGTTCACCTCTTGTCGCCTTCCGAGACTTCGCTCTTGATGGAAGCGAGCAACCTCGTGCGCTCAGAGGCAGTAACCGTCACGCTTCTGGAGAAATGTCTAGAACAGTGAAAACGAAGAAAGCAATCCGATGTCGCATTTTCATCCTGTCTGCCTCTCCTTTCTTGTCGCTTTCCCTCTTCACGTATGTCGGTCTTGTATAGTGTTCAACATCAGTTTTTTACTAAGAGCGTGTGTGTGGGTGTGGTTTATGTTCAGCACGCACAAGTTTTCCCTCTGCTCCTTCATTTGGTTTCCCGTCTAGCGATAAACTGCTTTACGGTCGGAAAGTGGCGATTTATATAGAAAGAAAGAAAAATGTAGACGGAGAACCGCATGAGACTTTCACTTTCTTGTTTAGTCTCGTGAAAGGTGGCAGCTTGTTGCTCTTCCCTGCTGAGTTTATCGTGTTGGTGCTCTCCGTGCGACGCAATTCGTTCCTCCCCCCCTCCCGTCTTCACATAGACGCTGTTTAGTGTCCTATCTTCGCATCTGTCTCGTTTTGTTCGTTTGCCAGCGAACTTTTTTCTTTGCTGATTCCACCTTTTTTTTGTAATGCAGTTTTCGCGTGTTTCCGTGCCGGGCGTGAAGCGCGTCATCACGCTCTGCAGCGCGAAAGGCGGTGTGGGCAAGTCTACCACCTCCGTCAACGTCGCGCTGGCTCTGAAAAACATGGGACATCGCGTGGGTCTCGTCGATGCGGATATCACCGGCCCGTCCATTCCCACCATGATGGGCGTTGAAGCGTCGCAGGTCGAGACGTACCGCATCGCAGGCAGCGACCGCTTCGGTCCGCCGATGAACTTCGGCGTCAAGGTGATGAGCATGGGTCTTCTCGTGCCGTTCGACGAAGCCATCGCGGTGCGCGGCCCCATGGTGAACAAGTACATCCGCGCCCTGCTCTTCCAGACCGACTGGGACGAGCTGGACTACTTGTTGATCGACATGCCTCCGGGCACCAACGACGTGCACTTAACCATCACGCAGGAGGTGATGCTCTCCGGTGCGGTGATCGTCTCCACGCCGCAAAAGGTCGCCTTGATTGACGTTCGCCGTGGAATCGACATGTTTGCCGCCGTCAACACACCGGTGCTCGGCCTGGTGGAGAACATGAGCTACTTTCAATGCGATGAGTGCAGCAAAAGGCACTACTTGTTCGGCCACGGCGGCGTAGCCCGTGCGGCAGAGGAGTTGAAGGTGCCTTTTCTGGGTGAAATCCCGTTTGTGAGCCGCATTATGCAGGACACGGACGACGGCATTCCTCCTGCTTTGCGTGGTGATGCCACCCTCGCAGCCGCGAAGCCGTATTACGAGCTGGCCCAGCGGATTCAACTGTCATTGGATGATGCGGCAAAAGGGGGCAAGTCTGCCGGGCCGGGGCAGGCAGCAGAGCCGACCATCACATTCGAGTAATCTGTACCGGCTTCTTTTTTACATGCGATTCACAACAACAACACAATCATTTTCACGCGCATCCTTTTTTTTTCGTAGAGCGTTTAATGAAAGGGGGCGGAGCACCAGAAACTTGGAGCTGTCGGATGCGACTCCCGAAAGCTCTTCCGTGCTTACCGATTTGACGACCGACAGAGCACGGGCTTCGGGTGACCGTGCAGCAATGCGTGACAAACAGAAGCGCCGTTGCTTTTCCACTCCCCTTTACGTAGTTGGGAAAAAAGAAAAACAAGCGTCAACATCATTGTCGTTGGCGCAACGCCAACAAAAGAAAACGTTTATGTTTAATCCTCGCCGTCGTTTTTAACTGCATCGCTTTTCCTTCTCCTTTGTTGCACCCTTTCTCCTTCACTTCTCTCGTTTCACGACGCGTTGCGTGCGATTTGCGCTCTTCCCAAACACACACACAATCACATTTAACTTTTGTTACCGAAGGTCTTCGCCTACGCATCTCTTGCTCTCTTTCATTTAAAAGAAAAGCTCCACTTATTCGCTGACCATCGCCGCGTTGTCCCATATTTTGACTACTATTGTCAGTTGACAATAAATGCAATAAGTGCCTTCTTTTGCTTTAACCGTCTTTTTTCCCCTTTTCTGATTATTTTGTAGCATTAACTATTTTTATTTTTCTGAGAAGGACCTGCTCGTCTTTTTCCTCCTCTTCCCTTTCGCTTCACTGACCTCCTCTTTTTTCTTTTGACATACTGCAAACCCATGCGTCGCTACGCCGTGACTTTGGCACTTCTCGCAGCGCTGTTGCTGTGCTGCGGTCTTGTCGCCGCGGAAGTTACGCCGCAGGTCGCCGCCCCACTGACCTTACACCTCAAGAAACCCGTGTTTGCCCCAGCAGTCGAGAAGCACAGCAGGAAGCTGGATGACAGGTTCGTGAAGGCGCAGCTGCCTGAAGTGGCTCGGCTCTTTTTCGCAAATGAAAAGGAGTCAGTCGTGAAGGGCACCGCTACGCAAGAACAGCAACAGCAGCAGCAGCATCCCGCTCAGCAAATGGAGTCGGTCGCTGCTGTTACCGAAGACGGAAAGGCGATTGAGGGGGCACACGAAGACGCAAAGGAGCTTCGTGCCATCGCCGCCCACGTCTCTGCCTCGACGGGTCCGCACTCGGTTCATCTGCGTCACCTGCGCCATCAGCAGATGTCACGGACGCTGGGGAGGGGGGCCGCGTTGGTGCTCGCAGTCGATGATACGACAAACAAGACAACTAACACCTCGTCCCCTGCATCCAAGCACTCGACGGCGGCTGAGGAGTATGTCACCGTTCTCTCTGGGGGCGTGATTGCCTCCGTGACGATCGCGCTCGTTTTCGCCTGCGCTTTGTTGGTGCTCGTGCTGATTGAGATGGTCACCAGCATCGCCGAGTTTGTGGAACACCGCCGCGTGCTGGCGAGCCACAAATCGCGGATCAGCGATGACCCGGCAGAGCCGAAGTACGGCGACTTCCGCGACACCGCCGTGAATCTGCAAGTGTAGAAAGGAGAAGAAAGGTTATGGTGACCTCGGGCGAGTAATCGCACAAGCTCAAGAGAGAAGAAGACGGGAGGAAAGGGTATTCCATTTGCGCGTTCCTCTGTTTTGTGATGGCGATGCGAAGGTTGTCGTTCTACTTCAGGAGTCAGCCGCGGAAGAGGAAAGCAGAGGCGACCCAGGTTCGACGCGAAGGACGAACTCCCCGCTCGTGACATGAACAGCAGCAACGAAAAGAGAGACTTGATGGATGGGAGGAGGAAAGGGGTGGCGAGGAAGAGGTTGGATATACCAGCAAGCAAATTTGCGGTCCTTCCGTAAAGACCTTATCCAGCCATTTCCTTTTTCTAGCTCCTTCTGACCGATCGGTGTCTCTTTCTGTTGTGCTGGTGGTTTTTTATTCGTCGGTCTTGCTTTCGCCTCCCTCGAGCTTTTGTTCTCGTTCGCGAGGTGCTGTAGCACTCGACCACGCTTGTCTCTTTCATGAAAAGGAAAAGAAAAAGCTAATATAAAAATTCCGTACAGTGTCGTTTCTTTCTTCCTGGTGCTTCCCCCTACCCTCCCCCCTTCCTCTCACTCCGGCCCTTCGCACTTTACGAATCGGCAGCGGAAGCCGCCTGTGTGCGAAAGAAAGACAAACCACGCGGATATTTTTGTTTTTTTTTTGTTTTGATACTTTGTTTTGTTGTCTTCTCGATTTCTTTTCTTTATTTTACTATTATTATTATTACTATTATTATTGTGATTTCCGCATGAAAAATAAAAGGTCGCTATTCAGGCACAGTAAAAATCACGCCAGTCAAAAGAAAGAATGGTGAAAAGGAATCCTACGTTTGTTGAGGGAAAAATATTTCTAGCTGAGCGTTTCGCAGGAGTTGCAGAGTCCACAACGCAAAAGAGAACACGGAAGGAAAAGTGCTGTGGTTATGTGTCAGTGTGAAGTGACGATTTGCCGTCTGTGCAAGTGCGGGAAGAACTACAGTCGTCTTGGAGCCGAAAGGGAAACAAGCTATGTGTTCTCCACTGCAGTGTTTAGTTCTCTGCTTGTGCTTGCGAATGCTCTGCGTGAACGGTTTGATTTCTGTTCCACATATTGTTCTTTCTGCCGTTTTTTAAAGGAATACGTGACACGATACACTCAGAATCATCTCCAAAGCGTTTTTTTTTTAACTGCATTGAAGCGTCAAGGCATGTGTTCTGAAGGCCTTGTTTTAAAGAGAAGAGATAAACGAATTGTGTCTTCCGCGAAGTCAGACCTTTTCCAACAAACGTGAAGTATTTTTTGCGTTCGCAACGCAATGATGTATTCTATCATGATTGTTTCACACCTGCGGTAAAAGACTCGATAAAAGTTCGCTCCCCTCTCACCACCTTCTCTGCTCTCGTGGTTTTTACACCCCTGTGCAATCACCTCGCAGGGTGCGCCGAAAACACACTAGAAGCCTACATCAGCTGTATTCTTATACAATCCAAGGTCAGGGCTCTCTGAAACACGCAAAGAAAAATAGTGTTTTCGTCACTGCGGGAATGGACGCTGTTCAAGAGCTCATTGAGAACGTTAGGCAGGCGCAGGTGGATGGCAGCTCCCGCGCGGTGCCGCTCGTCTCGGCCACCGCAGCCACACGTCGCACAAAGATGGTGTTTGTCTACAGCGACGAAGACGAAGATGACGTCCATCGTGGTGCCGACGACGCCGCACGTGGAACGGCGGTGATGCCGTGTGAGAACCACGCAATCCCTCTTTCCGAGGACGCGCTGGCGGAGCTGCGAGCCGACGCACACGCCATCGACGCGCCTCTCCATGCGTTATCTGACGGTGCAAATGAAGAAGATGCCGATGGGATGGGCAACTTATTTTTCCAGGAGGATGTGCTGAGCGGGTTGGGCGCAGCAGCCTCGGCACCCGGTCTGACCTCGACGCTGATGCATAGCTTAAGCTCTGCGTCATCTGGACGAATGCACGTGCGCGAGGTGGACGCACCGGCGCTGTGGGACGGCGCTGTTGCCTCTGCCAACACCGCAGCGGATGGTGCGTCGGAGGCGAACGCAGCCGCCGAGATGCCGGCACTACTGCGACGTGGTCTTCCAGCTTCCACGTTTGTGCTGAGGTCGCGCCGCAAGCGGTTTCGCGACCCCGACGGTGAGGTGGCGAGCACGGCGCAACCGTTTTCGTCAGCACCCGCAGCTGCCACACAAGTCTCATCCTCGGTGGGAGAACCTGTCGTCTTCTCCACGGGAGGTGCTACGGAGGCAGAGGAGTCTGAGGCTGTTCTCGAGGAGCTAGATGTGTTACCTGTGTATGACGAAGACGGCAAGACGGTGCGCGCGCTGCAGACACGTGGTGGGTACCAGCTCACGTTGGACGAGCGCGATTTGCTTGAAAACGCAGACGAGGCGGATGAGGAGGACGCAGTAGACGGTGCAGCTGACAGTGCAGCTGATGACGCAGCGGTCGAACCCTACGGTGAAGACTCGGCTGAGGCAGTGGAGGACAACGTTGTCGAGAGGCAGGAAGGACCCGACGCGGATGCATCGGACGTCCTCGCCGCACCCGCCGCGGAGGAGTGGGGAGACCTCTTCGATGACAGCAGCGACAACGAAGACGAGGAGGAAGAAGAAATCGATGAAGCGATCGTTGTCGCGGTCGCAGAGCAGCTAATGCGGTGCTGCGAGGCTGACGACTTGGACTCGCAGATGAGCTGCGAGGCAACTCGCTTCGTTGCGGCCGCAAAACCGCTTTTAAAAGATCTTACGGAGGAGGCGATTACACCAAAAGAGTTTGGACAGAAGATTGATCGCGACCTGCGTCGGTTTCAGCGCGTTTACCGCAGCGTGTACCGCCCACGCGACTCCCCGATTGTCATTGATGGCGTCGTCATGGATATGTAGTCGTGGCCCATCTCCTTTCACATTGGTGCCTGACGCGATGGATCAAGTTCAAGGCGATTGTTAAATCGAAGGTAAATCAGCTTTTTATCTTCTCCACCGTGTAACTGTTCCTCTCGCAACCCGCGTAAGTTGCGTGTCCGCATGTTTGTTGTGGTTTCTTGTGTTATTTTTGTTCTTTTGGAACTTAAATGGTGTCGAGTAATGCCCTTAAAGCGCAACGAAACGAACGGAAGCTAACTAAACTGACCACATATTTTTTTAAAGTAATGTAGCCGGGGCGTGCGTAATTCCAGCTGCACTGCCTTGATAACAGTATCACCCTCCAGCCTTCTGTACGTGTCTGCGTGGCAGCCCTTTTGCACCTTAGCAGCGTGGAGAGAAATGCTCGCGCTGTGTTTACTCATCAGCTGTGTGCACTTGTGTGGCTGCCTCGAAACCCTTCTGGGACCTTTTTTTCCCCTTTTGCTCTTTGGAAAGCCTGTTTTTCTCCTTTCTACACCTCTCCTCCTTTCTCGCCACTCGCACGTTTTCGCTTTATTTCTGCCCCGCATCGGGGCTTCGTGACGTGCGCTGTGGAACTCTCGCGTAAATGTCTCACGTCCGTGCAGTGTAATTGCGTAACGTGGTGAAGGTGTCTGGTTTAATTACTTTTTTTTTCTAGTGATTTAATGCGCGTTGTTGCTTTGTGGTAAGGTATAGAGAAAACATCAAGGAGTATTACATCAAAGAGTTTTTCTCCTCTTCAATCGTTTTGACGGACCTTCAGACTTCCACGAACTGCTTACCTTCGACGCGTGCAATTTTCTTTTGCCGTCAATCGTCGTTCGTGACGTAGAATCAAAAGAGGACAACTCGGTGTGTGTCTTTTCGGGGGGAGTTTTTGCTCGCACATGACGGTCAGCTTGCCATACAGCCGCTTCCCACTGTGTTAGATTGATTTTTTTCTTCTTCTACTCTTTTGCGCTTGAACAAATCAGCGGTCTCGAAAAGAAAAGTGAAAGGCTAAACTGTGCGTTGCTGGAACTGCTGCTTCTCTCTTACCTTTCGCTTACGTTTCTTTTGGCTTAAACATCCTTCTCTCTGTGTCTTTTTGTTTTTCTCTCTCAGGAGAGTTGCATTACACGCCTGACAGAAACGGCGTACACGCAAGCCAAAGAAAGCATACTCTTTTGGCGTTTTTAAAGTCCATTTTTTCCTTCCTTTCTTTTTACTGCTTGTTTAGCAGTCAGTGTGCGCTTCACAGCTCATTTTGTTTTTGTTTTTCTTCTTTTTCATTCTTGTCCTCCTTCTATCAACTCGGTGCTCATCTGCTGTTCCTTTGTTTGCTTGCCTCACAATTCCGGTTGCGCTACGGTGAACGTCTAACGCTTCCATTTCTGTTGTGTTGTGTTTGTTGTTGCTGCTGCTGCCGCTGCTGCTACAAAGACAGAATAGAAACGACACCAAGAGGGAGGAGCAAGGAAAAAAGAAGAGAGTTTAATAGCCCAGCTACAAGCGCGACGCGTGTCATTGCAGAAATTCAGTATGAATCCGTCGGCCGCCGCGTTTGTTCCTAAGAAAGGAGAAAAGTCACCCGCGAAGGGCAAGACGAACGCTGCTGCGCATCCTCCATCACCGCCGCTCGCCACGAAGCTCAGCGCTGCTGCCCAACCTTTTGTGCCCGTGGCCCCAAAGACGGACGGACCGGTGCCCGCCGAGGAGTTGAAGCCAGAGGTGCGGCCGATGGAGGTGCCGAAGCAGGCGACCGCGAAGACTGCCGCTGCTGAGTCGCCTGAGGGACCGGCCAAGGAGACCAAGGACACGAACGACGATTCGCAGCTGGACTGGCTGCCCGAGGCGCAGCCCGTAGACTGGTCGGAGAGCAAGCTGCCGAAGCTGTTTGGGTGTCACAACACGGCTGCCAAGGCGACGTCGACGGCCATTCATCTTCACGCCTCGTGGGACCTCTATGCCGATGAGCACCAAAGCGGCAATGGCTCCCCTGCCCTTAGCTCTCCTACCCAGATGATGACCTTCGAGCCCATCTTTGTGGCCAACGTCGCGGATGTGGAGCACTTCTGGCGCTTGTGGCGCTACCTGCCCGCGCCGTCCGCGCTGCCGACGCTCTTCACCTACTCGTGGTTCCGCAAGGACGTCCGCCCCGAGTGGGAGCACCCGCGCAACAAGAAGGGCGGCACCATCACAATCGTCGTGTTCGACCGTGACCGCTCGGGCCTTAGCGACAAGCAGGTGCTGGACGACGTGTTTATGGCCATGCTCGTTGGCGCCGTTGGCGAGAGCTTCCAGGAGTGCAGCACCACTCTCAACGGCATGATGCTCAAGGTGCGCCCCAATAAACCGGTCACCCTGCAGCTGTGGACGGCGCATTCAGAGGTGGGCAAGCTGAAAACCTTCGCGAACAGCGTCCGCGACACGCTGAGCAAGATTATGGGTGCAAAGACGCTGCAGAAGATGGAGTACTACTCACACCATCAAAAGCAGGCCTCCACTAATAGCCTCGCCGCCCGCATGAAGGCGAAGATCGCTCCGGACCACACGTTTTAGTAGCATTCAGCACGCTTCCGCGTGTATATATATCTTAAATAAACACCTACGCACACTGCTGGGCGTCTCATAAACGCAGCAGCAACAAAAAACAAGGCGTACGCTGCATCATCTTTGCGAACGCAGTCTCGGGAAAAGTAACATCGGCGTACGTGTGTTTGAAAGGCAAACAGCTGTGCTCGTGTTTGCCTCTTCTTTCCTTCTTTTTTTTTTCCTGCTGCTGTGTGGTTTATATACGTCCCATGAGCGTTCGACAGAATTGGTTGTCGCTGCAGCGGCAACGCTTTGCGTGGGAAAGGATTTCCTTTTTCTGTCTTGTTTAAATTAAAGAAAAAAGTGAAAGGTGAATGGAAAAAATATGTTAATGAACTAAACCAGAATTGAAGGTGCACTGCTCCATTTAGGAAATTGACGTGCTGGGAGCTGCACAGGCGTTACGGTACTTTTTTTTGTTCGTTGTTAGGCGGATGGTGATTTGCGGAAGGTTGTATGGAAACACACAGAGCAGAACAAGAGGGTCTTGGACGCATATGCAACACACTCGAAAGGGGAGAAAGACTGATTTGGCGGGAGCTAGGAAGACAGAAAGAGGGATTTCGATGCTTTACAGCGGGGCAAACGGCAAATCGGCGCGCGCAAAAAAACGCACCTTTACCATCAAGTGCGCCGCAGGCGATGGCTATCTTTTCGTTGGTTTATTTGTCTTCAACGTTACCAATGAATTCTTCAAAAAACACAAAAACAGCAACGTGGGGGACGACAACTGTTTTTTTGTCGGCTTATTTATTCTTTTCTCTTTCTTCTGGCTTTGCGTACAAATCTTATGCATTGCCGCGTTACTCGTATGAAATGTTGCCCCTTCCGCTCTTGTCTTCTTCAGTTGTCTTTCTCTCTCTTTTTCTTCTATCTTGGCACTTTCTTTCGTGCTTTGTTTTTGTTTTGTCTGTGTGTTCGCGTTGGCTGTGCGCGATGATGTGGGAGCCGGTTTTCTTCTGTCTCTCTTTATAACGGTGTTAATAAGCCAACTTCTCATTTTTTTTTCTTTAGTAATACCATCAAACGAAAACGAAAAAAGGCCCTTTCTGGCAGCGGTAGTCGTTTTAGAGCCGTGTCTAGAGCTGCGATGCGCCACGAAAAGGAAGGCGAACATTGCTGTAAAAGGCTTTCTGTGGAGTTTTAATCTGGTTGCTCGAGAGCTCATTGTTGTACATGCATGGGAGTACTTCTGACAGCGAAAAAAAATAATAGTAATAATAATCTCTCCACTGTTGCATGTACTCAAACAACTGCTTTCGGCATTCACAATGCACCGCAAAGAGGTGCGTGGAGCTGCTCATTTGCGATGCACATCTCTTATCAACTACCCTCTTTCGTCCCCTCTTGGTTGCTCTCGTAAGGTGTTATCAGCGCCACACTAGAGTAACATACATATAGGCCCTCGTTTTTTGTTTTACCTTCGTTATTTGGGCTGCCCATACAGTAGCAGTAGTCGTAGTAAAGCAAGCGTGAAGGTTCTTCTTCCTGTTGGGCCTCTTCTTCTTCCCTTTTCAACATTCTTTTGTTGACTGCAATCGATCTTCCACCGCAATACACCACGCATTTTGACAGAAGGGCAATATATATCTATTCATTACACTATAAACACCCTTAGCACCGCTTCTGCTTCGTTTTTCCTTTCTGCCTTACTCGTTGAGTTGACTTACTGCGTTGGCTTTTTTATTTAAATTCGTGTACGTGAGTACTTGCATTGGTCGCGGCGCCTCTTCTCTTTTATCATTTTTTTGTTGTTGGTGCATACACCCAGCTCTTATCCTTGTAGATCGTCAACTCGCTCTTTCTTTCATCATGCTTCGCCGGCTCTGCGCTGCTGCGGGGCCGCAGATGAGTGCGCGCGCCAAGGTGGCGATAGCTGCTCGGTCGCTCACCTACACCCCTCGGACACGTGATGTGCAATTTTTGTATGAGGAGGTGTTCCACATGTATGATCACTACGGAAAACTAGCCGGCAAGGACGGCGCCTCCCGTGAAAACACGGTCACAAAGGAGCTGATGGACGCCTTGCTTGAGGAGAGCTCGAAGCTGTCCACGCAGACCCTCTTCCCTCTGTACGAGCCTTCTGACACGGAGGGGTGCAAGCTGGCCAACGGGGTCGTGACCACACCGAAGGGCTTCAAGGAGGCGTACAAGGCCTACGCCGAGGGCGGGTGGGTGGGCATCAACGACCCGGAGAAGTACGGAGGACAGGGTCTGCCCGTATCTGTTGGGTTTACCACACGCGAGATTATGTCGACCGCAAATTGGAGCTTCGGCATGTATCCGAATCTCTCGCAGGGCGCGTGCCAGACGCTACTCAAATGGGCAAGCGATGAGCTCAAGGAGGTGTACCTGCCAAAGCTCGTGTCCGGTGAGTGGAGCGGCACGATGTGCCTGACAGAGCCGCAGTGTGGCACCGACCTTGGGCAGGTGAAGACGAAGGCGGAGCCGCTGGGGGATGGTAAATCCTACCACATCACCGGCACGAAGATCTTCATCTCTGCCGGCGACCACGATCTGGTGGACAACATCGCACACGTCGTGCTCGCCCGCCTGCCAAACTCAAAGCCCTCCACAAAGGGTCTGTCGCTCTTCCTCGTTCCGCGACACGTCGTGAAGCCGGATGGCACGCTGGAGGCGAAAAAGAACGTCGAGTGCATCGGAGTGGAGAAGAAGATGGGCATTAAGGGCAGCGCGACGAGCCAGCTCAGCTTCGACAATTCTGTGGGCTACCTGATCGGCAGTGAGAGCGAGGGCATGAAGGAGATGTTCACCTACATGAACGCGGCTCGCATGGGCTGCGGGATGCAGGGCGTGAGCCACGCAGAGTTGGCCTTCCAGAACAGCCTGCGCTACGCCCGCGAGCGGCGATCGATGCGGGCGCTGAGTGGCACCAAGGAACCCGAGAAGCCGGCGGACACGATCATCTGCCACGCGAACGTGCGTTCGAACATACTCTTCTCCAAGGCGGTGGCGGAGGGCGGCCGTGCGTTGATCGTGGACGTGTCCCGCATGCTGGATCTACACTTCGCCGCGCCTACCCCGGAGGCGGCAGCGAAGCTAGACAACGAAATCGGCTTCTACACGCCAATTGCAAAGGGGTGTTTGACGGAGTGGGGTTTCGAGGCGGCCAGCCGATCGCTGCAAGTCTGGGGCGGTCACGGCTACATCAACGGCAACGGCATGGAACAGATTCTGCGTGATTCTCGCATCGGTACCCTTTATGAAGGGACGACGGGAGTGCAGGCGATGGACTTTATTGGCCGCAAGGTGCTCAGCTCCAAAGGCGGCAACCAGGCTAAGAGGTTCGGACAGCGCGTCAACAAACTCGCGCGGGCGCACCTGTTTTCCTCCGGCCCGCTCGGCAGCTACGGCCGCCATCTGTGGCTCATGCAGAAGCAGTGGCGCATCGCGACAATGAAGATAGGCTTTATGGCGCAGAAGAACCACGACGCAGTGGCAGCGGCCTCGGAGGACTTTCTGATGTACTCGGGCTATCTCACACTCGGGTACTACTGGCTGCGCATGGCTGAGGCGGCGCAGAAGAAAGTCGCTGCCGGACAGGACCCTGACGGCTTCTACCAGGCGAAGCTGGACACCTGCGAGTACGTCTTTACGCGTGTGTTGCCGCGGGCCGACGCCCATTATAAGATGATGCAGGAGCCGCCGGCGCTGTGCGCCTACAAGCAAGAGAACTGGGACATCCAATAGACTGTTGTAGGTGGTACGCACGGACACTAGCCGTCACGACGACGATGGGCAATGACACAACACTCGTTGATGTGTGTGTGTGTGTGTGTGTGTGCAAGAGAGCAGAACGCTTTTTTTTTCTTTGAATCTGTTTTGCCTCCCCGGTAGTCTCCGACTTGCTACCTATATCGGTCGTTCCTTTCTCCTCTCTCTCTTTCATTCGCCCCCCTCCTTTCCATGCGATCGGTGCTCGTCTACTGCGTAGCTTTCAATTATATACGGAACTCCGTGGACGCTGCATATGACATATAGGAAAATGCCAACGTTCTTTTGTCTATTGTTGTTGTTTCACTTCTTTTATTGATCACTATGCCCAAAGCATCGTTGACGGTCATGATGGTCAATTTGAGGTCTTTTCAGCGATGCGCCTTCGCTCCTCATCAGCTTTTTGCTTTTTTTTTTGTTGTTTCTTTTTGTTCTTCTTTTCGCGGTCGAACACGTTTTTTTGTTTGAAATCACTTCTTCCAGTTATACTAGTAGCAGAGTTGTTTCTTCACACAAAACGAAGAGCATGCCTAGCGAACATTTTCACGTTTCCACTCCGGGTGTAATAAGTACTGGTTGTCGTCTCTGCCCATCTGCTGTTTCTGTAAATCACGGGCATCGCCAAGGTTCCAGATTCCTCTGTGTGTCAACGTCAACGGTGCACAACTATTTCTGTCTCTTTTGTTTTTGCAGAACGGCAAGTACTGAATTGGAGAACGGCTGCTGCGAATGTGCCAACTGTTTCTTTCTTTCATTTATATGCTCCAAGTATTCATTGCATGCACGAGGTACCTGTCCTACTACTACGAAGAATACGTACAATTGCGGTGTGTATATGTGTGTGTGTAGTGTGTGTGTTTACGGCCTTTTGGGTTGGAAGGTTTAACAAGTTGTGGAGGAGTTCAGTGTTCAATTGCATCCGGTTTTCAGTCTCTGTTCTCTTCTACTGAACACAAAAAACAACAACTCAGAATTCTATCAGTGCTAAGAGGAAACCGTTTTCAAACGTCCGTCGCTGAGGCGCAGCGGTGTCAATTTTTGCTGACGACACACAAACAAGAAAGGTAAGCAGCGTCTCTCTTTGCCTTCCTTACATTTCGACTTTTTCTCTCCCTTCTGGCTTCTTGCTTTTGTTGTTTCTTCTGTTTGTTCTACTACTGGCAGTGGTCCTTACTGACCGGCGGCTTCTCGTTTTCTCTCTTCGACCACCATCTTCGCCGCACGCAGACAGCAAAGAACTGCTCTACGCTCCCGCGACTATTCCATCACAAAGGCGCCTCGTCACGCGGAGGCCTTCACGTTCTATTCGTTTTACGTTTTCTGAGCCACACACACACACACACACACAAATAAAGAAAGGAAACTCTCTTTGGTTTGATTTATTCCCTTCGAATCCTCGCTAGTCAGCAATGGACGCCCGTGCAAGTATGCGGGCGATGCTGGAAAATGCGCGGCAGTCTATTCGTAACCGCGCCACCAACGTCACTGGCGCCCCAGCGAGGACCAACGTGGCGACCATCGTGTCATCGTTATCGTCGCACCCGCACAAGCCCGCGGAGAGCCGAGCTGCGGACGGCGCCGAAAATCTTCACTTCACAAAGGACGTAACAGGCGGTGCCGAGGGTGCCGCCGAGGCGAACGCCCTCAACGCCAAAGACAATCGCATGCAGTTTGTGCAGCACTATTATCGCCTCCTCCTCGCCTTCATCGAGGACAAGTCAAAGTACGAACTGGAGCTGCCGAACTTGTCTGCCCTCGACCGCATGGTGGTGCACGCCCTGGCGGAGAAGTGCAATCTCTCGCACGAATCAGCCGGTGCACGCGCGGACCGTGTCATGCACTTGAAGAAGGATATTCTCTTCTTCCAGCACCCCGAGGCCGCGCAGCAGGTAAATCTGGACGAGATCATTGAGAAGGTGTCGTGGAAGGAAAGCAAGTACCAAATCCGGTACGTCCGCTCCGCCAACCCGGCGCAGGTGGCCGTCGGTGACATCGGCAGCTACGCCGACGAGGACGCGCTGCAAAAGATTGAGCGCTTTCGCCGTGCCACCGACGAGTATCGGCACGCTACTGACATGGGCTACACCCAGCAGGAGCTGCTGCTGGCCGAAGCCGGAGAGCAAGCGGAGGACGGCGAGGAGAACTACGCGGCGCCAACGAACGTGGAGGAGATTTTGAGTCGGCCCGATCCATCGGTGCTGACAATCACGGCGGGGGCTTCAGGAAGCGCACCGACCTCCGCGTTGACATCGACGTCGCCCCCAACTGCGAGTACGGCGGCGCGTGCCATGAAGGCGGCAGCAGCGACGCCGTCCTCTTTAGCCAAGACGGCTAAGCCGGTAACGACGACGGTGTTTGACGAGGTGTGCCGCGCCTGCGGATCACGCGTGCGACTGGATGGCCCACCGCAGGGCTGGAAGTGCAGTCACTACTGTGCCCACTGCACCCGGCAAACCATTTGGAGTCTGGAGGAGGTGAAGATACAGGAGACGAGATCGGCCGCGCAGGACACGAGCTCCCTTAAACGCGGGCGAGACGCAGCCGACGCAGCACACGCCGACGGCAAGAAGACGAAGCGGCCGCACGGTGAGGCGGCGGTAGAGCAAATCGATCGAGAGGAAGATGCCGATGAGGCTGACGGGAAGGCGCAGGCTTCTGCCGATGGTGAAACCGCCAGCGACGAGGAAGCAGAGGAGGGGGACGACCTCACGGTTGAGGATGTCATGGAGGTGGCGGCCACCAACGACTTCAACGCAAAGGACATGAACTGGCTGCGTGAGTTTGCCTCCCGCGCGAACGCACATTTGAGTCGTCAGATAGCGTTTTGCATCGACTTCAGCGACGCGGCGGACATGCCTATATTTGCCCGCTACCGCAAAGGAACGCCAGCGGTGGAGGAGGAAGGGGAGGGGGAGACGAACGTCTGGTACGTTGTTCTTCGTGAGGTGCGTGACCTCTCCTTGTCTGTGTCCGATCTGCTACGCGAGGTACTCAACGAGGTCTTTGCCAACCCGTCTGTCCCGAGGTCGGTCGACGCTCCGGTTGTGGAGGAGATCCAAACGGAGGATGCAGAGCAGCGTGCGATGGAGCATCTTGGTGTAGCGTTTCCGAATCTCTCTGTTTACGGAACCGAGTGTGTGGCGGTGTGTCAGCTGCGTCCTGTCGTGCGGGGTGCTTCTGTCCCTCGGATGCAAATCAAGCCGGCGGCTCTCCGAGCACTGCGTCAGCGCTACGGGGAGCGACACGTCTTCGCTTCTCCGTTGCTGGAAGAGGCCGTGGCGCACGCGACGGACAGCGTTTCTGCCTAATAACTACATGCACACCTCGCTCGTTTTTTTTTCTTTTGCTATTCTTTTCAGTATTTCAAACATTAGAGCCATGTTGATGAGATACAATTGCAGCAGAGCTGTATAACACACACGTCTAAATCGTAAAGGTGCTGTTTCTCTGCTCTCAATTAACGGTGGATCGGAGAGAATATATATCTATGTCTCGCGGAGCTAGTGTCAAGCGCTCTCGAGGCCTCATCTTGAAAATTGTCATGGACATTCTTTTTTGCCGTCGTGTGCCGCTTTCCGTTGTGGCTTTCCTGGTTCATTTGACGGATGTTTTCCACACGTGCGCACGCGCTCCGAAGCGTTCCTTTTAGTTTCGGGTTTCTGCTTCTGCGGGTCTTTATTGCGTGTCGTACGGATGCACCTCCTCAGCTCCTCCTCCATCACATTCTCTTCCTCCGTCTTCGCTCGTGACTGCGTCTTTCAATTTACTTCTGCGTTTATCCTGCTCGTGACCGAGTATCATTGGCATTATCCTTCTTTTTACATCTCGAATAGACAGCCAACAAAGCAGTCGCCTTCACTCTGAAGGGACAGGCAACAGAGGAAGCGGACTTCCCACAGATACCACAACACACCACATCGTAATACGCGACCATCATCTTTTTTTTTTCCTTTTCTCTGCTCGCAGATAGTGTTATTGACATCACTTTTTTTTTTCAAGGTGAGAGACATGTAGCGGTGCGCGCGTGTAAGTTTACCAGCAGGACAAGTTATTTTGGCTCGCGATGCTTTCAAAGCTGCGCCTGTGCAGACGAGCCTTCGACCTGACGAATGCGAAGCGAAACGTTGGTGTCGCGTGCCGTTGTATGAAAAGGAGAACGACACGAGGGTGTTTGCTGATGGCGACCCAAGTCCGTCGCTTCCAGGCTTTCACTGAAGAGACTGGGAAAATGTATTACAGCACCACCAGCCAGTCTCGGTTTTCAAAATGTGTCGACGGGGAAGAGGAACGTCAGTACACCGCCACCTTCGCCACAGCCGCGGCAGCAGTTTCTTCGGCTTCGACGTTTCCTCCATCTCAAGCGCCCCTCTCACCGTACGACGTTGCCTCTGGGACTTCACAAGACTCCACAGCCAGGCAGCCAGAACTCGCGATGAAAGACTCGACAGCGCCGGGATCATCGTCAGCTCGCGATCAGCAGGAAGGAGCCGGTTCTTCAGCGGAGGGGAGTAACTCAGAGCTGGCCACCCTCTTCGAGTCTTTGCTGGACTCTGCGCAAGCGCCTTCAAGTGTACAGCAAGCGCATGCGTGCATCAACAACGCGGGCAAGGCTACGACCGCATCTAAACTTGCTGCCGAGCGTGTTTCTGAGTCCGCACTGCCGACTCCGACTCCGACTCCGCTGGAGCTGCTGCCGCCTCGACCAACACAAGCACCACGCGTATCTCTGTTCTCGCGTTTCCGCACCGACTTCGGCACAACGGACGAGGGGCCTTTTGATGCTTCGTTGCCGGCCGAGACTACACAGCCTCCCGGGGTGTATTCGGCGTTGTTCCGTGAGTCCTTCGTGAACCCGTTCAACGGACGCCTTATCCGCACAAACTCCTCCTCAGCGACGCGACTCTTTCGACTGGGCTTTTACCGCAGTCGAACCAACCCGCTGCACCTAGAGTGGAGTCCTACGGAGTACGTCACGGCGTTGCAGAAAGTGTTGGCGGAACAGCAGAAACGCTTTGAGAATCGAAAGAAGAGACTCCAGCGTCAGCAGCGACGAGAGCAGCGAGCCGCCCGCGCTTCCGCGTCATTGCTGAAAACGACAAAGGGCGAGACGGAAGCTCTGGTGTCAAATGCCCATCCTACCAGTGAGACAAGCGCTTCGGTTGACGTCCCAATGACGGACGCGCAAAATGCGAAGCAATCGAACAAGGTGGAAAGTACGGTGTCGTGTGAGCCCTTGCTCCCTGCGGAGGCGGTTGCAGAGGCACGCGCCCAGCTGCTTCGTCCCTTGCGCCGCCTCGGGGCCGATCATTGGATGAGCACCGTCGCGAACATCATGGAGCGGCAAGACGTCTTCACCTTTCTGAACAAGGAGATGGAGCGGCTGTACGCGAACCTGTGCACCGCCTTGGTGCCACCGAAGCTCGACACCCCGGTGGATGCCGCGGTGGCGGACATCGAGCTCACGCGAGATCAGAAGCACGTCATGCAACTGGCGCTGAGCGGGTTCAACATCTTCGTCGGCGGGAGCGCCGGGACGGGCAAGACGGTGCTGCTGAAGAGCATCTTTCGCGAGCTCACTCGTCTTGGCCTCCGCGTTGCCATGACGGCCACCACCGGCGTTGCGGCTGTCCAGCTGGGCGGCTGCACCTTCCACCACGCCTTCAACGCGCCGGTGGACGCGACGCCGCAGCGGTGGGACGCCAGCGCTCTCCGCGCGGTGGACGTCGTCATCATCGACGAGGTGTCGCTGCTGGACGCGAGCATGTTTGATGCCTTCGACATGGAAGCCCGGCTGGCTCGCATGCGCCACGTCCCGTTTGGTGGTCTTCAGGTGATTATTTGCGGTGACTTTCTGCAGCTCTCACGCGAGGACACGATGCCGGCGTACGAGAGTGCGGCCTTCAAGTACCTGGTTGCCGTGCGTCTCGTGACCCCGATGCGCCACAGCGCGGGTGCCCCGCTGCTGAAGCTGTTGGATGAGCTGCGCCGTGGCGAGTTCAACACGGAGCAATTCCAAGCGTTGGACCGGCCTATCCCGGCCAGCACGACCCAAATCACCTACATCTTCCCCCGCCGTCGGGAGGCGCAGCAGCTGAACGAGGCGAAGCTTGGAGAGCTAGAGTCGCGCGAGATGACCTTCACTCCTCAGCGCGGACCGCTGCAGCTGTGGGGCACGTTTACTCCGTCTGCTTTGATTGAGGTGGCGCGCGATGCAAATGGCATGCAGAAGCCTTTGCCGCGCCGGGAGCAGGTGCTGGATGCGATCCACACTGAGGCGCAGCGCATTCTCGGCAACGAGGGCGGCGGCACGGGTCCTCTGCCCCGTGTTGCGGACCATGAACTGGTTCTCATGCTTGTGCGATCGGAAGGCACAACTTCGAACACGCGGTTCATTCTGCGACTGCGCTGCCGTGATTCAAATGAAACAGCAACGGCGCCCACAGCGACGACCGGTGCTGGGGCGCCGGACATGCACGAAGAGTTCTCGAACCCTCTGACAGCAGCGGCGCTCAGGGCGTTCACCCCCATGGTGAAGCCCAGCAAGGTGAATAGCATGCTCCCGCGGGCGCCGCACCGAGCGCAACGCGTCCTATCGCCCTTCTCCGAGTCGGCGTGGGAGCAAATTGCGGCTGCCGTCGCGACGCGGCTCGGTGGCCGCCTCATCACCATGCTGTCCCCCGAGCCACCTTCCATGGTGCCACTGAGTGTGTCGATGACGCTGGCGGACATGACCAGCCCCGACATCGCCCACTCCCTCTCGCCTCTGCGGCTAAAGCTGGGCTGCCGCGTGATGGTGAACCGCAACCTCTCTCGCACCGTGTCCAACGGCAGCGTCGGCATCGTCGAGGCTTTTGCCCCACCCGATGCGGCGCTCTTCCCATGCAGCACCGACCGCGTGCGGTCCAACGCCTTCAAGCGTCTTGCAGAGGGCAAGCTGTTCGAGCAGCTTCCGGTTGTGCGGCTGCTCAGTGGCGAAGTGGTACAGGTGCCGCCCGTCTCGCTGCTTGTCGGCGGTACCGCGCAGAGCTACTACTACGGGCACGATGTCCTCACAATACCTCTGCAGTTGGGCTACGCGTTCACCGTGCACAAGGTTCAGGGTCTGACGTTGCAAGGCACCGTAGTGCTCGACTGCGAAAAGTTCTTCGACTGCCCACACCTCATTTACGTTGCGTGCTCGCGTGTCCGCCAACTAGACCAGCTCATTGTGCGGCACGTTGAGCCTCGCATGATCATCGTGCGGCGCAGCGCGCTGGAGTTTTCGGACCACTTGCAGGAGGCCTTCGCTTTGAACACGCATACCCTTCCACCGACGTGCGTGCGAGGCACATGGACTCAACAGACTGCACAGCGCATTTTGGCCATCTCAGAATAGATTGGGCTGCTATGTTGTTCGCCTCTAAAAAGGCCTTTGCAGAGGCGTGTAGGCTATATATATGTTCATCTCTTTTCATCTTTATTTTTCACAACTGCTCATGTTTACTGCTTCTGTTTTGTCCTGTACTCCTCTTTGCTCTGCTCTGCTGCGCTTGGCTCCCCATTCGCCGTGCCAGCCGTAAACCGTTTCCCCCCCCCCCCCTCCCCCCTCCCCTCCCTAAAAAAAACGCCAATATAACCACGATGACGACGTAAACATGTCTCTGTGCCGGGTTGGCGCCTTCACAACCGCGGCTTCTGTGGGAGCGAGTGCGTTTGGCGCACGACGCTGTGCGAAAGAACTTGCTCATGTGGCTGCTTAAAGACGCACGCGCAGGACCAAACAACACTTTGCCCTCGTAGCGGTAATGAATGGGTGCTCTTACTCCACTGTGCTCCGCCTTTCACATCATCTGCTTCTTGGTTGTTGTTTTATTTGGCCACGATTACCGATCTCGCGTGGGTATCTGTGATGTTACCTTTGGCAGCAGCGTCGCCTTCTATTGGCGCGGAAAGAGGACAGGCCAACTGTCAGACGGGGGACATCTGCACACGACATTTGTAGATCTTCACATATACAAAACATTAACTTTGTGCTGAGTATTTCTTGTACGACTACCACCTATTTTACGGTTGTTTTTCCCTTCCTTGCTTTTTGATAGAGTTAGAACTTGATACCTTATTCTTCGTTCTCTTTCTTCCCCTTCCCGTTTGCGTAGCCATTTTTGCGTTAGCGCAAATCGGAGCCCTTTTTTTACCTGCTAGACGATCAAAAGTGCCTCAGCATTTTCGATCTACTTACGAGGTCACGCAGTACTTACTACGCCGCCGCCTCCTTTCTCATACTGTCATTTATCGACTTATATACAAGCACGAGTTTACGTAATGACAACTGCTGGCCTCTCCCGCGCCTACGCTGTGCTACGTCAGCTCGACGTCTTGCGCACGGACGACGTCCTTCACCCGCTTCCTTTTCCCTCATCACCCCTTCGCAGAAAACGCCCGGGAAACGTGGCGCAAAGTCCACCGGACCGATCGCCGCTCTGCGTAGACGGAGGCGTACGAAACGGGCCGCATTCTGTGGGATCAGATGGAGTGGTGCACTCGCCGCCTTTACGCGGCGCCAGTCCTCTGCAAACCAATCCTTCTGACTTGTCCTCGTCAAGTCACTTGAAAGGTGACTTTGTGAACGAGAAGCGCCGTGTTCACACAACACTTCCGTTGACTGCAACGAGAGAAGCGTATTTGATGCCGCCACCGCCTTCCTACAGTGACACCATGTCGGAGTGTCCTTTGGACAGCACCACAACCACCGCCACCAGCGTTGCTTCTCGCGCCACGCAATCAGAGGCGCACGTAGCAGGGCACGCGTACGCCACACACCCCTACGTGACGGCGGGTAAGCATTCCTCCTTGCCTCCTCCTCCTCACTTCCCACCTCCCAAATCACAGACGGACGCGAGAAGATCCCCTGTTGCATTGGATGGTCTGGCACCATCGTCTCGTACGGTGCTTACCGAAGACGATAGAGGACAGGGCATCAACGATGCTCGCAGCCCGTACACCGGACACGTGTACATGCACCACAGCCCGAAGTCGTCGTCACCGCGCTGCATGCGAGTGCCGTCCCCTGTTGTCCTGCCTGCGCTCTCCACCAGTGAAGCGGACCACATTCTGGCCCACGCCTCAGCGACGCTAGAGGACTACTTTGATAAGGATGACATGCCGTCTGTGCTGGCCAGCGTGGCGGCTGCAGCGCGCGAGACGGACCCACACCGACACCCGTTCTCAAGGCCGAAGGGAGTAGGGCAGTCCAGCGTCTCCGACTTTGCGACGGCGCCGCGAGAGGTACGCTCGGCCACCTTCACGGACAGCGCCGCCCCTCTCTCCTCCCTCACCACTTCACCCCCTTCGCGAGGGGCAGACAACGGCTTTTATGCCACCACAAATAGCGCACGACAAGGACGTTTGCAGTCGATTCGCCGCTCGGTGGTGGACGGAAGGAATGACGGAAATGACGACTGGTATGAAAGTCCACGATCGGAAGCGCGTGGCAGCCACGTTAACGACGTGCGGCCGATCACCATCACGCCAAGCGTGGAGCGGATCTTGGAAGCGGTGCAATTGAGTTCGCACCACAGCGGAAGTGGAAGGAGAGAAGACGACGCGGGTGTGTCTCTTATTGCATCGAAGCAAAACGCCACTGGTCCTTCGAAAACTAACAAGAGGGAGGACGTGTACGACACCTCCACATTGGCAGATCGTGCGTGTAGCAACGGCCTGGACGAGCGTTTCTCACCGATCGAGTTGCACGACTCACCCAACTCGCTCACGCATGAGCAGCAGCACTTTTCTCCGAGCTTGTCCTCCTTCTACACGGCGACTGGTCGCAGCCGGGAAGATGGAGACAAGCGACGCGACCACGCCGCGCAGATTACCGCAGTCCCTTCGTTGTCGCTGACGGACCAGCACCGGTATCCGATACTGGCACCCACGCACGCCGCTGCACCCAGTGAAGATCATGCTCGCGACTTCAGCAGCCAAGACGAAAAGGAAGAAGACTACGACCAGAGGACGGGGACACGGAGTGCGACACGTTCCGCCGCGCGCGATCGACCGCCAACTCCTTTGACGGAAGAAGCGACGGTCGACGAAGACGATCCGCCCCACCTAAACAATAGTAACGGCGGCGATGATGGGCAAATGGTGGGAGGCAGGGAAGACAGTAGTACACCCGACGATAACAAAGAACAGAGGGTGGACAACGACACGGAAGCCCTGCAGGCTGTTAACTGCGAAGACACGCCGCAAAGCCAACAGCAGTCGGTCGAAGTTGTCACCAACGACGCAGTGGATGAGCAGCCGTCCTGTTTCCCATACGAGTTCACGGATGCGCTTCCCTTCTTGGACTATTTGGCGCGCGTCAACGGAGCCACCGCACCCGTGCTGCTGAAGGAGCTGGTGGCAATGGGCGATGCGTGGGCGGCGACGAGGAAGCGTAGAGAACAGCCCACCAATAAGGCGAAGGCGGAAGACTCCACTGGGCCGGTGGTACAACGTGACGAGGACGAGGTGATTGATTACCTTGCTGTGAGCCTTCTGTTGAACCAAACTACCGCTCTGCAACACATCGTCGTGCCGCTGCTGCGCGCTCAGCTCAAAAGTGCTCTACGCGTTCTACGTGATATGGAAAACGAGGGCGGGAACGACGGCACACCAGATCGGGGACCGTACACCCACTATCACCTAGACGGTAGCGCAGAGGAAGGGAGGGATGAGGAGGAGCACGAGAACGGTGGCGGAAGACGACTTACGAAATCCCCAGCATCCGCTGCACGGGCCGCTAACCTCAACTGTGCGCTCTGCGCCGTGATTGGGCTGGGCGGTGCCGCCTCCACTCTGCTGCCCCTTCTGTTGCAGCTGCTCCTTCAGCTCCCCCCGCCGACAGCCACCTCCCTGTGCGACGTGCGTCTTGTAGGGCTGGCGATTCGCACGAGCGGTGCGGCGGAAGGTCTGCGTGCGCTGACGCGTATCGTTGAGGAGCGGGCGGAGGCCTCGCACGTCCTGACGGCAGCCGCGTACGCCCTTAGCACCTACGCCTATGAGCTAACCGGGCACACCTCCGCGGTGTGCGTGCCCGCCGGCACGTTGCAGCGTGCTCGTGAAGACGCGCTTTACCGTCTGGTGCCGGACCCGCAGCTAGCCTTGTCTTCGCGGTCGCTTATCACATCTGTTGCAGAGGTAGAGAAGGAGCTTCGGCCTTTGTGGAACGCATCCGCTACGTTGTGTTCACCATCCTCCCCGACGGCGCCACCGACGGGGATGTCCCTAATGCGCATTCAATCGCCGCCGCCCTATCACCCAACGCACATCGTCATCGACGCCGAGGCGGCGCGACAGTCGCTGCAGATGTTCATTGCCTCGGACAAGTTTCGTGGTCGACGCGACCACCCTTATGTGATGCTGCTGCTGGATGACGCACTCAACTCGTCCCTTCTGTGTCCGGTGATCGCGGAGTCCTCCGACGAACGAACTTTCAAGCCTATCTGGGACCGCATGCGACGTGACCTTCACTGCCTCCTCTGTAACCACCGCGCAGCTGGTGAGAGCAGGCAAGCGAATGTGACGACGAGCGGCTTTCAGCGTCCTCTTCTCCTCTACTCCATTCGAGATTTTTTTGCGGACGAAAAGGACATGCTCTTTGCGGTGGAGGCCGCCCTGGTCCACGCCCTCGTCTCCCGTTCCGCACTGCGCTTTCAAGAACAGGCGCTCCTCTCCCTCGCCGCGTTACCGCCGGAAGCGCGTATGCACGTGGTGCAGCCTGTCACCGACTTCTTTTTGAAAGTGGCTCGCCGGTACCAGCTGCGGCACGCCACCACTATGCGTCGAGCGCGTGCCACTGCACAGATCAATAGCGGCGGTCACACGCGGCGCTACGACGACTACGGTGGCGTTGAAGGCGCGGCAGAGGAGGCCGTGGTAGTAGCAGCAGCCATCGCGGCGGGCACGGTCTGCGTGAACCCTCTCACGCCGGCGTCGTGCACCCTTAGCTGCATCGCGGCTTTGGTGCCGGTGCTCACAGAGCTGCTGCAGACCTCGCAATGGCGAGTGCGGCACGCGGCGTGCGTCGGACTTGCCCGAATGGGGCCGCACACGGCAGACCCGTCGTCCATCGTGGATCTGTTTCTCTCTCTGCTCTCGCCGGCCGGTGCTTCCTCCTTTCTGGCGAACTCGACGGCGAGTGAGAGCTACCTGCCGGCTCTCCAGCCAGCTACAATTGCGTGGTGTCTGGTGCAGCAGCAGCAAGGCGGCGTCCGTGCTCTACTGCGTGTGCTGCAGGACACACAGGAGACGCCACCGGTGCACGACTGGTGCGCCTTCCAGTTAGCGGCCGTGGATGTGTACGAGGCGTGCCGGGAGGTCGACAAGGCCGACACACCCGAGGCTGACGCTCTGCTGGACGAGATGGTCCAGGTGCTGGGCAAACTCATCGCCATGCAAGGAGCGTTGGAGGAAGATACGGTGGTGCTGTGTGTGCGTGCGCTCGCCGAGGTGGTGCACCGCACTGCTGCCGGTGCGGTGCGGATTGCGTTCGGCTTCGTCTCGAGCGCCATCGACCCACATGTCGATGTCTCTCCTCCACCCTCTCTATCGGCTCTTCCTCTCCAAGCGGCACAGCTGGAGCAGGAGGCGGCGACTTACTACGAGAGCGAACCCCTCAACTCGTGCTTCACGGTGCTTACTTCTGTTATGGAGGCTGCCCTGTTGCCCACAAATGTGTTGAAGGCGTTATGCCTGTACCTGTGCAAGTACGGCGGTGCACATGGTGAGTTGTACGTGTGCGAGATGCTGCTGGAAAGTACGTCGGTGGCGGCACGCTCGGCCGCTGCCTTCGGTCTGCGCGCCTGTGGAGCGAAGGTCATCCGCAGTGTGGTGCTCGGCATGAACGACGCTAGCTTTGAGGTGCGGAGGGAGGCGCTGGACACGATGGACGTCCTTGGGGCACAAAACGTGCTCGCGGTGCTGCATCATCGTCCTGCCGAGCATCGCCACCAGGTCCTCGCGGCGCTGCGAGACTGCCTGCTGCGGGACGCAGGACGATCGGTGGCGCGGAAGGCGGCCGACACAGTGTACCACGCGTTGGCCGGGGAGGAGCAAGACGCCACGGAACTTCTGCTAGCGTAACATAAAGGAAGCGTTTCTTTCGTTTGTTTGTTTTCCCGCGCGCAGTCCCGCTGACAGTATTTTCATCTGGCTCAAGGTAAAAGTCGCCAGACTGCGTTTTCTTCGGGAAACCCAGCGAAGCTCAAGGCGTGTATCATCTACACACGCGTGTGTATCAACATTAAAAGAAAAAAGAGAAGTGAGAAGTGAAATGGCAACGACGGCAATCGTGTAAGAAGCGCGGTATCTTCGAGGACCTTGCTCATGTAGGCTAGCTTCTCCTTTCCACAGTATTTCAACCAATAAGTTTTTTTTTTAATCCCCGAAAAGGTTTCCATGCGCACCAGCATGTATGTCGTTTGTTTCATTATTATTTTTTTGGTTGGTGTTCATAGCGTCTCTCTGACCGTTTCCCTCTCTCTCGCTCTCTCGCTTCACCTCTCCGTTGTTGCTGTGATATATCGCTCTGGCTGACTTGCTGCTGGCGTGAGCACGCCCGGTTACAAAAGCAGCGAACGTCTTGGTTCTGTCCTGCTACCGCCTTTCTCTCTCTCTCTCTCTCTGTGTACGGGGAGACGAACTATAATCGAAACAAGGCTTAAGTCGACGTAGGCGCTTCTTTTTATTAGTGGCTGCACGCGTTCTGACCCCATCACATTACAACGCTGTTGTTGCTTTGGATTCAATCAGCGCACGTTTCCACCAGCGCACTCACACACCGTAACTACGTGCTTCAAAGAGGCGCTCTCATTATATCCGGGGCAGCATTTCCCTTTTTTTTCTGGCTGCTGAGCAGCCGAAGGCAAATATATACCTGCTACTCCTCTCTTGACTTTTTGTCATACAGTCAAAACCAAAAAAGGGACCGGATAACTTCGTCGACGGTGAGTTATTATTATGATTTTTTTTCTAATTCTTAGACTCTCTTGTCTTCCTTCCCTCTTTGTTGATCTCATTCATCGACAGACCTTTCTCGTTTCGTTTAGGCCGTGTGTGTGCACAGGCAACGCTTAATGGCGAGCAAGACTGTGGCTGCCCTCCGCCAGGAAGGCAATCAGCTTTTCGAAAGCGGCAAGTTTGCCGAGGCCGCCGGTGTCTTTCGCAGCGCTGTGTCTCGTTTTCAGTCCGATCGCCGTTCGGACAAAGCGGTGGTGGATGAGTTCGTCAAGGTGGCGGGAAACCTGTGCGTGTGCCACCACGCCATGGATGACTGGAACACCTGCGTCTCCACCGCACGCGAGCTGCTGGCCATCTATCCCATTATTCCCAAGGCATACGCCGCCATTGGCATGTGCATCGTGAGCCGCCTCAGACAGCAGGAGGCGGAGCAGCAGAACGAGGATCTTCTCAACAGTCCAAACATTCCTCCCCGCTCAGGGGAGGAGGTCCGCCGCGATGCACGACGGTACCTGGTGAAGCTGGGCGGCGTCCTTTGCACCCCGGACGACGCCCACACGTACCTGTGCCGGGCAATTCTCCTGTCGGATGCACAGCTACAGGTGGCGCTTGGCCCCTATCTCGAGACGGCGGTGCGGTGGGTGAGCGAGGAGCTGCTCTCAGCCGGGCTTTCGCTGGAGCGGGAGTACGGCGACGGCGTCCTTGGCGAGCTGAGTGCACTCGAGTTCTCTCTGGGCGATGTCCCCGCCCTGCTCGATACGGCCCCGGTGCTGTCTGAGCAGCAGTCTGTTCGCGTGCTCGATGCCAATAGCTTGGCGCTAGGTGAGGGCGCAGCGGCAGGCCAACGAGTGGAAGAGCTGCCGGCGGTGGAGGCGGAAGCAATCTTGCGCACCATCCGTGAAGGGCAACTTCTCGCGCATGGAGAGGAGTCAGAGGCGGGTGCTTCTGACTCTGCCGCTGCTGTGCGACAGGTGGGACCGCCACGTGAGCCGATTGACTTCTTCCTCTCTCGGAAGCCCATTCCTGTTCACGTCTGCCATGCCGAGCGTGGCGGTATTCCACGCGGGCTGACGCTGGCTCGTGCAAGTGGTCCGTTTGCAGTAGCTCAGCACCTTCAGCTGCCCCTGCCGACCGACCTCGAACCGCTGCCAGTTGGCGCTGCAGCTGGTGTTGGTGTCGATGGTGCTGACGGCTCGATGGCGGCGCCGATGGTGTCGCTGTTGGGTGGAGTTCATCTTGAGGAAGAGGTGCGTCATGTGGACCCCAGCGTCGACGGTGTCACGGTGGCAGGAGGAGGAGGCGGCGGCGTTCACGCTTCCTCGATCTCCCACGCCGCAGTGGCCATGGACACGTTGTCCAGCACACCCGAATCGCCACCGCTGCTAGCGTGCAACGCGTGCGGCGCAGAAGTGAACCCGTTGACGCTCGCAGGATTGCCTCCGACGGGGTGCTCCACGTGTAACGGCGTCGTTTACTGCAGTGCGGCATGCGCGGCGGCGTACCGACCGCGGCACGAGCGCTACGAATGTGCGCTGCGGGTGGTGCTGCAGGCGCGAGTAGCGGCATTGGCCGCGGCAGCCATAGCCGCAGAACAATCCTTTACGCAAGAGGAGGCACCGCTGCCCGCGGGCGAGGTTGTCCCAGGGGCGGGGTGGGACTCGCTCGACTTGCATCGACGAGTGCTGCCGCTCTGCGTCACAGTGTACAGCGGACTGCAGAGTCGCGCCGCGGAGAGCGCAGCCGTGCGGGCGAGGGTGGGGCTGGGTGCGCAGCGTCGTCTAGTGCACTGTCTTCCCTCCGACGTGGCCGACACCTTCACACAGTGGATTGAGAGTGGCCACTGCAGCGAACTTGCCAGCAACACCACGTCGGATGAGAGTAACGGGACGTGTGAGGACCATGAAGGAGCTACAGGAACAGCAGCAGCAGCGACAATAACAGGCCTCCCCACGTCGACACTCGACGGTTACGGTGAAAGCACCTTCGACGGTACCTCATCATCATCGTCCCTCTCCGCCATGGAGTTGCTCCACGCAATCTTTTTCATGGTGCGCCAGCACGGCGAAGATCACCCGGAGAGTCGCAGCAGCTCCTTCTACGCTGCGCGCTTGCTGTTGCGCCATTCCTGTGAGCCGAACTGTGTCTGGTCCGACACACTGCACGGTATCCTGACGGCGCGATACATCTGCAAGGGAGAGGAGCTAACGATGGCCGTTGTGGATCACTTTCCGCAGCACTGGCCGTGGCAGATTCGACAGAAGTGGTTTGTGCATCATCATGGTGTGCCATGCCAGTGCGCACGGTGCTTACGGGAGGGCGCCGATCTCAACGACGCACGCGGGACGCTGTCCAACGCGCTCGTCGAGCAGCTCCTCACGGGAGATATTCTGGACCACCCATGCCCGACGCCGGCACATCAGCACCCGACGCACCTCTTCCACCGACAGGTGCAGCGCCTGGTGGAGCAAAGCAAGTCGCGGCACTGCAACATACCGGCGCTTTTGCGAAACATCGACGAACTGCGTGCGCAGCTCCGCGAATGCGTGTTACCGTCTCACTATTTACTCGAGGACTTACGACGTGCCCTCATCAACGTGGCCGAGCGGGAAGGGCAAACGGCTACGGTTACATCGGAGGGCCAGGAAAGTCTCTTCTTCTGGGAGGCGCTGTGGTCGGGTGCGGTGCCGGCGAAGCGCCTGCAGATCCGCGTACTCCCAAGCCTCTTCGAGTGTGGCCGGCGGCGACGTATTCCCCCAACTCAGCAGCGGCGCCGGCGACGCACATCGGCCGTGGCGGGCGCTGGTGCACCACCGAACCCCACGCGTCAGGAGGAAGGGGCGGCGGGAGGGACAAACGCCACCGCTTCGCCAAGCCCGCCTCCTCCGTTGGATGGACGCCGGGGCAGTGGCGCTCGAACCCCGCCGCCTTTCAACACTCGTCTCTCGGGCAGTGACGGTGATGACGATGCCAGCAAGGCACGCTCCGCAGCGGCGGAAGCGGCGGCGGTGGCCGCGCAGTCGACGCCGCCACGAACGGCCCAGCCACCCCCACTGATCGCGACGAAGGATTTTAGCTGCGGTCGCAACGTCGTAGACTTGTTTTACGGGTCGTACCAGACGTGGTACATGTGAGTGTGCAACACGAGTGAGAAGGAGCCGTGCGTTTGTTTTTTTATATACACGCCTCTCTACTGAATGAGAGAGGCGTCTCGCGCGGGGAGCGGGAAGGGGGAGATCCGTTCTACCGTGTTTATTTCTATATGGACATCCTCTCACACGGGCATTTCCCGTGCCCCGACCTCGGACGGCCGCCCCTATCCGTCGTCTCTCGTTTTCTTTAGTTATCCTTTTTGCAGGTGTACAACGAAACGCCAACAACAATACCGAGAAAAGAATGAAACATAAACAAATTCGGTACGATTAAGAGAAAGTGTGGACGTTGTTGGTTTTCCAATTATCCACGCTGCGCTGTTTTTTTTTTTTGTAGGTATATAAATCCATTACGGTGTGTTGCCATCGTCAAGGAAGATACATCCAACGCGGTTGCATCCCACTTTGCTCAACAGTGAAGTTACTTCTCCTTCCGACATCGTTGTGTGTGTGTGTGTGCGTGTGTTGCAAACGTCTCCACATCGCAGTTACAGTGTGCCTTGCTCTCTTTGCAAATGAGTACATCTCTCCCACTTCTTTCCTTCCTCTTTTTTCTTTTCTCTCCCCTGCGCGTGTAACTGTAAAACGGGTACGACATCGCGAAAACAAAACCCATCGTTATTCGCAATCGCGTTCAACGTCAAACCAACAATAACACAGAGGAAAGGAAGCAACCATGGGTAAAATCCGCACGAAGACCGTGAAGCGTGCTTCTCGCCAGGTGGTGGAGAAGTACTACGGCAAGCTGAACCACGACTTCTACCAGAACAAGCGCGTCATCATGGATGTCACGATTGCGCAGTCGAAGAAGCTGAAGAACAAGATCGCTGGCTACGCGACCCACATCATGAAGCGCCTGGCCCGCGGCCCGGTGCGCGGCATCTCTCTGAAGCTCCAGGAGGAGGAGCGTGAGCGCCGCATGGACCACGCCCCCGCCACCTCCGATGTGGACAGCGCGATTCAGTCTGGTGTCAGCGTGGACAAGAAGACCATGCAGATGCTGCAGCGCCTGGAGATCGGCGTGCCTCGCCGCGTGAAGCGTGTCGATGCGGCTGCGCCGAAGGTGAAGATCGCTCCTCGTCGCAACGTTCAGAAGAACAAGAAGTAACTGCGCGAGATACCTTTCGTTTGGCAGTATTGTTGCAGACAGTCAGGTCACACAGCAATGCAAGCCACGCCGACACAACGTACCATTGTCATCACGGTTGTTGAAGGAAGAGAGAGAGGGAGGAGGGGGAGAGAAATACGCACCACGATAACAAACAGCAAATAGGAGGAAGTAGAAAACAAGAGCAAAGTTGTAAAAAAAAAGGGAGACCTAGAGGATGCAAAACAAACGCCGTAGTGACCCTCATTGACGCACGCACGCACGCACACCGTTGTCGCATGCTGGAGCTACTCCTTCAGGAAGATCGACAGCTGTGTAGTTTTGTGGCCTTCAGCGTGCGGGAAGTCTTCTAAAAGGGACTCGTGGTTTGCCAACAATCACGAGGAATGCTTGTTTCATCACCCCACAGTGCAGAGTAGCGGGGATGGGAATAGAGCACAGTACACAGAGAAGGTGTGTTGCATCTTTCGCTGTTTGTTTTCGTTGTCGTAAATGAATGAGAAAAAAAAATAATAAAAGGATGGGAAGCTTGTGTGGGGCTCAGCGCAAGAGGGTGACACCATCAACGGTCCTCGCTGAAACGTAAGCAAAGAGGGGACAAAGTGACGGTTGGCAAAGGACGAGGGTGAAGAGAACGCGAAGCGTAGCTTTCGTTGCCTCCCATCCACTTCGCCGCCTTTGTCAGCTGGTTTTCCTTTAACCATGGGTAAAATCCGCACGAAGACCGTGAAGCGTGCTTCTCGCCAGGTGGTGGAGAAGTACTACGGCAAGCTGAACCACGACTTCTACCAGAACAAGCGCGTCATCATGGATGTCACGATTGCGCAGTCGAAGAAGCTGAAGAACAAGATCGCTGGCTACGCGACCCACATCATGAAGCGCCTGGCCCGCGGCCCGGTGCGCGGCATCTCTCTGAAGCTCCAGGAGGAGGAGCGTGAGCGCCGCATGGACCACGCCCCCGCCACCTCCGATGTGGACAGCGCGATTCAGTCTGGTGTCAGCGTGGACAAGAAGACCATGCAGATGCTGCAGCGCCTGGAGATCGGCGTGCCTCGCCGCGTGAAGCGTGTCGATGCGGCTGCGCCGAAGGTGAAGATCGCTCCTCGTCGCAACGTTCAGAAGAACAAGAAGTAAGAAGCTTCAGCGCCGTCTTGCCGCGTCCTGCACCGCGTGTGTAGTTACCACTTTTTTTTGCTTATTTGTCACTTGAACACCATTTAAAACTCTAAACGAGCCCCTCGATAGATCGGCGACCCGCATAGCGGTTGCTATGTGAGATGCTTCGTAACAGCCATGTGACCAACTCTGTCGCCAACATCATCAACGCCATACATTGGGGCTTGCCTAACCCGCCAACGCATCGGGTCTCCTAGCCCTTTGCAAGTACTGTTGCTAGCTTCTCGGAATGATGATGAGCAGCAGTCTTCACTTTTTTGTTCTACATTCTTCTTTTCTCCTTTTTCTGTGTAATATTCATGCGCGGCTTGTCGTTGCATGCGAGTGTGTGTCTTCATAACAGGCACCACACGTACGCGGTGGAGTATTTCTGCGTAACGCGATTGGATACATCTCGCATTTCTTCATTTTAACAGGCAGCAGCGTTCATTGTCGCAGCTACAGAACGTTGATCAAGCTGTTAGGACCAATTCTAATTGGGGGTGCTGTGATTCACGTAGAACTTGCTATAAGGAGTTGTCTTCCGCGTGCCATGGCGGATCAGCTGCGCTCCTTCCGCCGTTACAGCCGCATCTTCCCCTCCGTGCCGTATGGCCGGCACGCCGCGCGTGTGGGATGCTCGGTTGTAGCGGATGCAAAGTCGGCCGTCAACTCGTCGTCGTCGAAATACCACGCCAACGGCAGCTCCGTCAAAATTCTAGCTCTGCTGTGCTCCAAACAGCCCCAGCCCATGAACACGGAGGCGTCGGTGCCGAACACTGCCACGCCTCCTCGCAAGCGAGTACGCCACGACTCTGTCGAGGATGCCAACGCTGAAAAAGTACCGAGAAACGAATCGGCATTATCGAGCGCAATAGGCTCTGTCGCGTCAGGAGGTGGTGCAAGCACCTCGAGTGAGCTCCTCTCCGTATCGGCCGTGGAGGAGCGCCACCGTACGCAGGAAAGCAACGACGCAGCACCAGAGCCGGCAACCACGTCTGCAGTGAACACGGAGGCTTCAGGGCCGTCGGCGAAGTCGCATGTGTACGTGCGGGTGCAGTACGATCGCGCGCTCATCGCCACCCTGCCCATTGAGGTGATGCGACAACAACACCCGCAGGTGCTCATCGACTACCTCTTATCGATGTCTGTGTGGGCGTAGAACGAAATCCAAGCGCTGCTTTCTTTTTAGGTCACACGTGCGCTGCGTTTGCAGGGTGTATTTAAAGTCAGGTCTGATTTCATCGCGTAAAGCGATGCCTCATCAGAAGTCAAACGACGGAAGCCTTTCTCTGCTTGTTTTCCTTTCACTGCGTGCCAAAAGGAAAACTCTCGAACACATTTTTGTTGGCGTAGTGACTTGAAGCCGGTTGTCTGTGTTGTACGGCCTGTTGCCAGTGGGGGGCTCTCTTGTGAAGCGTCGCGAAACGTGGTCGGACATCACACGTCACGTACTGCTCCCAGGAGCATCTCCTCCCCCTCTCTCGTACTTTTCTTTTTCTTTCCTCCTTTCCATTTTACTCTACACACATATATATCGATTACATAACCGCACAGTTACACGCTTTTTTCTTTTCCTTTCTTTGAGAACGTGGAACAACAACAAAGAGCACATTGAAGAAAAATGTCGGGCTCTGGAGATGATGAGCAGGCGATGAAGAAGCACCGCTGGGAGGACCCAAGCGGCGACGGAGATTCCAGTTCCGCAGCGCCCCTGCCGAGCACAACGCGTTGGAGCTCCGCCACACCGCGGCAGTACGGGTTGGACACCCCGCGCACTACGACGTCGCTGTCGGGCGAGTCCTCCTCCTGGCGTGGCATGGCGACACCGAGCGCCACGCCCTTCATGTCCTCCGATTACATTCAGACACCTGTGTTCGGCTCGGCCAGTGGCAGGACGCCGTCGATGCTCACACCTGGACAAGACAGAGGTGCCGCCTCCCTCGGCGGGAGCACGCCGATGTTTGCCAGCGGCAGCACGCCGCGCATGGGTGGGGCAACGCCGATGTTCGGCGGCGCAACGCCGGCTGCGGGCGGGTCCTTTGGCGCGACACCGAATTACCAGTTTGAGGGCGACACTCCGCTTCAATCGCACTTTGCGTCCTCTGCGGAGACACAGTCGATCACGACCGCCGCCATCGAGGCAAAGGCGAAGACGTTAGAAAAGGAGTGGCGGCGAAAGAACAAGCGACTCACGGCGGAGTACCTCGACAGCATCCTGCCGACAGAGTTCTTTGCGGTTGTGCCCGTGCCGGCGGACTACAACCCACTGCCGCCGGAGGAGCCGAACTTTTATGAACTGGCTGTGCGATCCATGGACGTGTTTGCCATGCAGGGTGGCGATGCCGCCGTCACAGCGGGCGTGGACGAGAAGGGGCAGCCGTTTACTTACGACATCCCTGAGAACATGGGCGATGGCATGCCGGCCATGAAGCCCGAGGATGCGGCGGTGTTCGTGGAGCTGCTCAAGTACCACAACGTGGAGCGCATCCCCGATGAGCACCTGCCCTCCTATCTCTTGATGAAAAACCTCTTCAAACTGAAGAACGGAGACACGCTTCAACGGCGCACTGGCACCCGTTACCTGCTCGATAAGGCAGGCATCTTTGGCAGCCACTTCATCTTCCAGCGCCTCATCTACATCTGGAGCTCTGACATTCTGAACCTGGAGGAGAAGCACTACTTTGTCGAGTTCATCAAGTCACTCCTGCAGAACATGGGCAAGGAGGTGCGGCAGTCCACAAAGGAGGTGGTTCACTTAGTGGAGCCGCTCCTCACCGCACACGAGCGCATCCTGCGCGACGACGGCAAGCAGGTCCTCACGCTGCTCACACGCGTCGTCGGCTTCCAGGCCGTCTTTGAGGTGATCCGCGAGGACTTCGGACACGAGGAGGCCATCGTACGGCGGCACACGGCACGCGTGATGGCGGTGGTGGGCTACGCGGCGGGCGCCGAAGAGGTGACCGCGGCGCTGCGCGACATGTCCTACGCCCCTTCCGCCCTCGCCCGGCAGACGGTGGTGCGAGCCATGGCAGAGCTGGCGAAGTTGGTGGGCCACGCGCTGATGGCCGCCCTGCCGGAGATGGTGGCGATGCTAGAGCGTCTGCTGCGGGACGAGAAGCGGGTGCAGCGTGACGCCGCCCTCGCCGTCGCGGCGATTGCGGAGGCGACCGCTCCGGATGGCATCGAGGAGTTGGCGCCGCTGGTGGATGTCATCTGCGACGAGTGCGTGCGGGGTATCGGCAGCACCGCCTCACCCTTTATCCAGGCCTTTGGCGCGTTGGTGCCGCTCATGTCGTCATACGACGCGCAGGCCCGCACGGCGGCGATGATGCCGAACTTGGTAAACCAGTTCAGCACCCCAGAGGACGAATTTCGTCGGGTGCTCATCTCGGTGGTGCGAAAGTGCGTCTCCGCGGAGGGTGTGACGCCGCAGTTCATTCGCCAGACGATTCTGGAGCCCTTCTTCGACGGTTTCTGGCGGGTGCGCCGCCTCGCCGCCGACCGGCAAACCTCCTCCAGCCTCATCGCGACAACGGTGGAAATTGCAAAGAAGCTCGGCAGCGTGGACGTGCTGGTGAAGCTGTCGCCGGAGATCAAGGACGAGAGCGAGGAGTACCAACGCATGGTGCTGATGGCGATCAAAAAGGTCGTGGACACCACCGGCATGGAGGCGGCGTCAGACACCCTTGTCACGTTCGTCCTGGATGGCGCCATCGCCGCGGTGCGGCAGGACGAGCTGGGCGTGAGCAAGTTAGCGATGAACGTGCTGGCCACCATCTGCAACGCGCTGGGCTCGCGACTGCGCCCGTACCTGAAGCAGGTCTTCGACCTCATCCAGCGCCGCCGCGAGAACCGCGAGGCCACCATGCGTGCGCAGACCGCCGATCTTGTCTCGCTGATTGCACACACCGTGATGCTGGCGGACGGAACCGTCTTCCTGCAAGATCTGGGCCGCAGCCTCTATGAGCGGCTGGAGGACCCTGATGCCCGTGCACTGAGCTCCAACCTACGCGCCGTCCGCGCCATCTTGGCAGAGCTCGGCTCCCGCCGTTTCAAACCCTCCGTTCGCGAGCTGCTGAAGCGACTGACTTTTGTTATTAAGAGCCGCAACAGCGCCGTACAAAACAACGCGATCGCGCTCATCGAAGACATCGCCACGAACTACGACAGCGACGTGGAAGCCATTCACCTGCACGAGTTGGCCACCCGAAGTCTGTTCGACCTCCTCGACGCTCCGAAGCGCTCCACGCGCCACGCCTGCGCACGCACCTTCGGCGTTATCGCGAAAAAGATTCTTCCCTTTGCGATTATTTTGGAGCTCGTGGACAACTTCCGCCAGGACAAGCGAAAGATACGCATCTGCACCGCCGTCGCCCTTAGCGCCATCGCGAAGGAGTGTGGCCCCTTCACGATCATTCCGTACTTGCTGAATGAGTACAAGATCAGCGAGGGGGAGCAGGTGGCCATCATTGTGCAGCACTCGGTGCTGAAGGCGATTCGCTACATCTTCGAGGCCATCGGCTCGGTCGGCAAGGAGTACGTCTACCCTCTTGTTCCGCTGCTGGAGCGTGCTTTGACGGAGACAAACATTCAGATGCGTCGCATGGCGGTGGAGGCGTGCCGGGCCATCCTGCTCGCTGTCGCCGGCAACGACGGCTTCGAGGAGATCGCCACGCACTTCCTCAACTTTATTCACCCCAACATCGTGGAGTTGCTGTCGAAGAACGAAGTCAAAATTGGTGAGGAGCGGCTGAAGATGGTGACAGCGGTGGTCAGCTATTACGAGGCGGCGCGTGTCGTCATTGGGTCAGGCACGCTGCTGCAGTACCTCGAGCAAGGCCTCTTCCACCCGGCGCAGAAGGTGCGGGACATCTACCGGCGTACCTACAACATCATCTACGTAGGCAGCCCGGAGAGTCTCATTCCTTACTATCCGCGCATCAGCGACGACGCCACCCACACCTACGTGCGCCACGAACTGGAAGTGTTGCTTTAAATGAGGAGAAGGACGATTTGGTGCGAGATGTGGACGTGTGCGCGAACACGAATTTGTTGTTAGTGCTCCCCTTCAGCTTCGTATTATAATGAGGTCATAGCAAAGCAAATGGCAAATATAAGGAGTTGCGCCTGTCTTTTTTTTTCTTTTGACCTTTGAATATTTTTTGTTTTGGTTTCTGGCTGCTGTTATGAAGTAGGGTGAGTTCCTCACACACGAGTCCCTCACTGCTGGACAGTCGCGGTGCTCCCGTCTCTGCACCGATCTGTCAGATGAACAGCACCTTGGCAGGTTTGTGTGCCGTATCTTCATCTCATCCGCGTATTCCGGACGACGGCCGCTACTCTCTCCCCCTTTTTTTTCTCTCTGCTCTTTCGATTCGCACACCTCAAAGCCACCAAAACCGCTGTTGTAATAGAGAGCTGCTATTCATTTCTACAAGTCGCACATCAGCGGCCCACACAAGCGTCTTCGCACACACACAGACATAGGCACATACGCGTCCTTGAGCTTCTTTGTGCCGCATTCCTGCGTAAAGCTCTAGCGGGGTTGAAACGTTGCCGACCTTACACACACGTCGGGCGAAGACGTCGCACTCCCTTCACACGCACACCACGTTCTAAAGAAGAAAGACGGTCTTGATGGTCAACAACACCGCAGGAAACTGACCTCTCTTTCCTTTGTGCCACTTCATCAGTAGAGCGTCCTCTTGATCGTATTCTTTTCTTGTCCGATCATCGTTCAACATATATATATATATATTACTTTTGTGTTTTACTTGGTGCTCGTTGACCAATTTATCGCGTGCATTTATTGGTGCTGATACACATTATTCTTGCTCTTCGCTTGTGCCCCCGTCCACCTCTTGGTCAGCGAATTAGACGACCATTGCTCCTTTCTCTCTCACTCAACGTTTTGCATCCAGCGGCGCGTGCCACTCTTTCAACCCACTACGGGGTTTTTCCTTTTTTTCCAATCTGTGGCGTTTTTCCCCCTAGCGAGAGAGAATGGCTGCCGCACACGTCGTTGACTTATCTTTTACTCCAGGCGAGCAGCAAGACTTGGCTGATTTCCAATTTGATGTGGAAATACTGAAGGGTGAAAGGGTAGAGGACGTACAGGAACTGAACATCTCGCACGCACACGTCCTGGTGCTCACCTCTGCCCCTGGGGCCCCTATCAACGACATCCTGCAATATGTAACGGTGCTACGCGCCGCACACAACGAGATCAGCAGCTTGCGTGGACTAGAAGCCTTTGCGTCCCTTGAGGTACTCGACCTCAGCTACAATGACCTTCGTGTGGTCGACGCACACGCGGCCACTCTGCTGAAGTCCTTGAAGCGACTACACACCGTCGACTTTTCGCACAATCACATGAACCTCTTAGACTTGGACGGCTCTTTTGGTGCCCCATCGCCGCGGTCAAACGGTCAAAACGGCGGTAGTGCTGGGGGCTCCTTCGGCTCCTCCTCGTCCATTGCCGGTGCGGGGCGACTTCTCTCCTTCTCCTCCAGTACCCGCGACGCGGCAGGCGGTATGACGTCTCTTACCGCTATCAACTTGTCACACAACGCTTTTATTGAGCTGCCAGACTTACGCAGTGCACCCTTTCTGCAGGTGGTGAACGTCAGCCACAACAAGCTCGAGGACATCGCGGACCTGGAGATGCGACTGCCGTTGCTGACATTGCATTCCCTGCTGCTACACGCGAATCGGCTGCCGAACGTCACCGCGCTGGTGCCGCTGTGCGCACTGGCGGCATCGTTGAAGCACATTCAGGTCTTCAACAACCCTTTCACCTTTGTCAATGGAAACAAGGCTGAGGGCATCGATGCGGCGCTGTGGTGGCGGCCATTTCTGCTCTTTCTTTGTCCGCTACTCATCACAGCCGATCAGACAGAGTTGACACCGAGTGAGCGCCGCATCGCGACGAAGCGACTCTTCCGCGAGCACGGGACGCTGTCAAAGAACTCCATGGAAATCATGAACCCGCAGAACAAAGACGCGCTGGTGGTATACTTAAAGCGACAGGGCGAAAGTGCGGAACCGCCAGCAGACGCGCTTGGCACGATAAAAAAAATTATGGAAGAGGAAGAACGAGAGGCATCAATGCCCGGTGGGGCTGCCGAAGGCGCTGCTGCGAGCGACCAAGAGGACGAAGACGAGTACATGCCAGACGTGGTCGTACCGATGTCGCGCATGAACAACGAGCGCGAGTGGGGTGTGAGGGAGAGCAGCGGGGCGCGCACCAAGGGTCAGACTATCTCGTACCACACAGATCCGCACGAAGAAGTCTCGCTATCAACAGCAGACGGGGTAGCGAACGCTCCGTCCACACGCACCTCCACGCGGGCCTCGACACGTGTCGTTGTTTTAGACCCGGCCTCGCACCAGTCCGCCGGCTCGACGGAGAGCATTCTCAGAGGAAACTACCAAAGTCATCGTGCCAAGGCTCTCCCTGTCACCACCGTCGTGCGAGCTCTACAGCAGAAGACGCGCTCGCTCGAGGAGGTGGTGGCGGTGCTGTGGCGCAGCGACCTGGCTCGGCGTACAGCGGCAGCCATAACGATTCAGCGCCACATGCGCGGTGCGCTCACCCGCCTGCACCTCTCTGAAGATGATGCGGAGAGCTGCCGTTTTATTCGCTATCAGCTTCAGCAGGCTGCGGTTGCGATGAAGGCGCAAAAGCCGCAGGCAGCGGCTGCCACTGCAGCTGGCGTCGGCCACTCTAGCGGCCCCAGCGCTCGCACCGCCGCGGGGCACGGTGCACGTCAGCCATCTATCGAGGCCATCGAGGCAAGCGGCTCCAATATTGAAGAGGTGCTCGTCTCAATGCGCAGCCTGGAGGAGGTGATGAGCAACATGTGGGTTGACCTTGAGGAGTACCGCGCCATGGCCGACAGGGAGCAGCGCCGAGCCGCCCTTCTCATTCAACGGTGGTACCGCGGCTATTGCGCTCGGCGCGACTTTGGCCGCGTACGGCGTTCTTCAACTTCTCTTTCTTTCCCGTCGTGCAAGTGCGCTGGCGAGACCGCTTCTCTCCAGAAAGAGGTGGCCGAGCTGCGACACGAGGTACGGGAGCTGCGGGAGCTACTGACGCAGTCTGCACGCCAGCAGCGCCTGGCCGCCTATGACGACCCGGAGAAGGCAATGGACGACATTGTGCGCAAACACGAGGCGCGCCTGAAGGCTGATCGCAATCAAGAGGAGGACTTGCACCAGCACGGTGGCAGCCGATCTCCGAGTGCCACGCTCAGCGTCACGGCGGCCGATGTCGACGCACCGCAGGGGGGGGGCTTGCGTCACAGCACGCCGCGTGGCGCGGCGGTGGGGGCGGTGTTGAAGGGCCCCGGCCAATTGAAGGCGCCGGCCCACCACACGCCGCAACAGCCGCTCGTCGGGAACTCACCGCCGGGTGCGAAGTCGCCGCTTAGCAGCACCGGTTCCGGTTCTCAGGCGAAGCGACTGGCCACGATCGCGAAGCGCAGACCAGGGGGCGTGACCTCCTCGCATACGGAATAGAGTGGTGGTGATTGGCCGCACAACGCAGAAGCTGAATTCATGGAGGTTTTGTTTTGTTTTCCGTTTGCCTTGCTGCCGCTTAGTTACCCGTGCGAGTGCTGTTGTCGTGTCGAGTTGGGGGTGTCGTTGCGCCCCCTCCGAGTAGAGAGCACCTTTTTTTTCCTCACGTCGTGAGATCTATCTCGAAGAGGCGCGCAGCAATATAGACGGAGGCGTGTGTATCGATATCTGCGGTTTTTGTTTTCTCCTGTTTTCTTTCTGCGTCCTGGCGGAGGACGGTGCTCAAGTCCCAGGACATGTTCCATGTAATTGGGGGATGAAAAAGAGATACTACGCTATTACCATTAGAGAAGAAACATTCTTTGAGAACAACGACAAGCATGTTAAGAGAAGAACACACGAAAGAAGCGGAAAGCACTCTTCGGGGACTGTTATGTCGAGTGAAAGAGAACGAAATGCATCTCATTTTATGCCGCACTGCCCAACAAACTGCTGCGCCGAACGCCTCTCAATGCGGGTACTTTTAACCGCGCTAACAACGTCACATCGATTAGCGCTGGTGTTATTATTGTTTTAATTACTCTCCTTCTCTATGACGTAATTCATCTATCCCATTGCATCCGCTGTGTAAAACTGATCTGCCTTCTTTTGTCTTCGCCGGTCTCCCAACGCCTTCTGCTTTCGTTCGGTCCTCATTGCAATCATGAACGTGTGTGTTGTCCGTACAAGGTGCTTCACAACGCGATAGTCGCGCAGCACTTTTGTTTTGCTACTCCTAACTGCTGATTGGACACTCTCTTCCCTCGGCTGTTTCAAGTACTGTTCTCGACGATGGCGCCAATGCTTTCACACACGCCTCGGCGTGTGGTGGACAACTTCTACCAGAACAGCTTCAAGCAACTTAGCATGGTCCAACAGAAGCAAGTGGGCTTGTTAGTCGGTGCCGCGGTGGCCGACGCGGCCGCTCGACCACTCAACGCCTACACACCCGAAGAGGTGGAAGCGTACCTTCAGCGTGTGCAGGAGGAGAGAAGGACAAGCGCGTTGTCCTCTGCTGATGCTGGGACGACGGCTCCTTCCGATACCGCTGATGAGTCGCTGGCCTTTGCGCGTGTGCCTCCGCGTGGGACGGAAATGGCACCCGTCACTGGTAGCGACGCCCTGTCCAGCTCCCTTGTTGCGTCGCACTCCCTGCAACATCACTCCTTTTCGTATTTACTATTTTTTGAACTGCTTCGCGCCATGAGCAGCGCCCGGGGCGACTTCCCTGTGACGTACGTGCAGGAGCAGCTGGTGCGTGTTGCCGGTGCCGTGCACCCAACACTCGTGTTTGAGCAAGAGCACGCTTCTCTGTTACACACCCTGTGTTGTCTGCTTCCGGCACCCGCCATATACCCCTACGCCAGCGATGCGACGCTGCGGGCGTACCTAGACCCCTTCGTTGAGTTCCTCACTGAATCCTCTGTAAAAGCAGCCGATACCGCAACTCGCCCCGTGGCACCGGAAGACGCAACTCCAGAAGATCCGGAAGGAAAAGAAGGCTCGCCTTGGGAGGCGGCATCAGCGGAGCGCGCGGCGGTACGTGACTACGCCCTCTCCGCCCTCGGCGTCGTAATGCGCAACCTGCAGAGCAACCCCAACTCCACTCGCAATGCCGCCTTCATGGCGGAGCGCGGTGCGACGGCCATCTTCCCTCCAGACGTGCAGCCCTTTGTGCCGGCGTTTTCCAGCGACGTCACGGCGGACGTGCTCCGTATGCAGAGACAGCATATGTGGGATGTTCAGCGGCAACTTGCGTCTCGACAGGCTGCGTCTGCGGCGCAGCGGTGGTTGCCCGTGCGCCGCACCGTGAAAGACGCGGCGGTGGTGTGCGAAAGTCTGGCCATCGCGCGCGCTCCGGTGAGCTTTGCGAAAGGAGTGGTGCAGGCAATCCGACTTGGAGGACCGACATGTCAGCGGGCAATGCTGGTCGGTGCCTTGCTTGGTGCGAAGTTGGGCGTTCGTCATGTACCGCTTGACTGGCTCAGCGCGACACCAGATCACAAGCCGGTGGCGACGATGGCGTTGGAGGTGGCCCAGTGGAGCTGGAACCCACCACATCATTAAGGCTGGGCAGCGAGTTGTCGTTACTGTTTCGTCAACACTTCTTCACATGTCATGGTTTTTTCTTCCACCTGTTCTCACCTGCACTAATAGGTGCTCTCCATCTCGCAACGAAGGCAGACTCACAGTACATACGCACGGACGAATGTCTACAATACAAAGAAGCATTCGTTGTTCATGCGGAACTTAGTCGATTATTATTATTATTATTTTTTGGAAACGTCAGCTTTGTAATTCAGCGTGACGTCGGCACGAAATGACCAGAACATCCAATGCGGAGGTTGTTGTTTTTTTTTCCAACGGTAGCGTCACCGTTCTTGCTGTGCGTGTTGATGGCGTTCATGGACTTTGTTCGTACCTTATCCGTTTACTTTTGCGATCGACCTCATCTTGCACTCTCACACCGCGCATTCTGCTTGCTTTCTTTTCGTCTCCTGCTGCGGCGTTCTCCAGCCGCTTTCACAAAGGAAAACTCGCGCATCACACGAGCAACCACAACCACAACAGCGGAGACCGTCGTGCGAGGACCCTTATCAGTTTTGTTCCCTTTACGCAGCCAAAACAGCACCACTGTAGGTTCGTACCGTTCAATACATCTTTCTTTTCCTTTTTTTTTTCAGTCCCCGGCGATACATCAAGGTAGCACGTGAACCCATGCAGTTCAGCCAGACGTCGTTCTCCTCACCGATGTCGGACCACGCAGGCCACCGGCTGAGTAGTGCACGGCCGAAGCAGTGCAGCGTCACATTTCCACCCATTCACGCGACGCCGGATGAGCACCGCGGCGCCTCCGCACCGGCCGGTGCAGGAACGAAGCGAAAGGATCCACAGAAGGGTGTTATTGGTTTTAATCGTGACCACGGCGGCAATTCGTCCCGCACCACGTCAGCCGCAGGCGCGCCGCGGTCGTCTGCCTGTGCGGCGGACCACACAAACTCGATGTACAGCTCTCCCTTTCCGGCAGAAACCAACTCTCGCGCGGTACCGCCGGCCTCGGCTGCGCAGCTTCGCAAGGCCAACAAAAGTGCCACGCACCGTCCCTCTCGGACGTCTTCCGTTTTCTCCCAAGACGCCTTCAGCGCTCGCGCGTCACTTCGGGCAGGTAAAGATCGCTCCTTGCTAACCGTAGCCGCGTTTCAACACTTTGTAGCACAGGCGGAGGAAGTGGAGGCGGAGGCGAAGAGACAGCTGTGTGAGGGCCACGTCGGTGGTGCTCTGAGCAAGTTAAAAAGGGCGCTGGACCTTGTCGAAGAAAGTGCGACGCCTCCTCCGCGCACGAGAAAAGGCGAGCTCTCTTCGAATGGCCCAGCTGCTGCTGCTGCTGCCCTGCCGCCCCTTACCGCGTCCTCTCGTGGCGCATCCTCGACGTTGGCGTCAGCGTCGATGGCAACGGTCGCCGTCTCCGCTGCAGATGCTGCGGCGTGGCGCACGGAGACATCGCAGCGGCTTGCAGTGATGTATACCGTTGTCGCGAGCAACGCCGGTGTGAGGTGCGGCGTGACGGCGGAGCCGCTGGCGGTGCAGAAGGCCTACTTGCAAGCGGCCATGCGCTACCTCCTCGAGTCGGCGGACGAAAACCTCTTCCCAGAGTGGAAGCGTTCCTCACAGCCCGGCAGTGGTCCCAGCAGGAACAGTCGTTCAGCTTCCGCTCGCTCTTCGAGCGCAATCAAGAAACCCGCCAAGAAGCGGAAGCCTCCTGTGCCATGCTGTCTCGCAGACGGCACGGAGCCGAACACCGCACGGTGCCAGCTGCTGCGGTGTGCGGTGCGCAACAACGCTGCGGTTTGCACTGCGGATCGTTTTTCCCGTGGAGGTCAGGCTCGAACGGCCTACGAGCTGCTCAAGGCTTTGGTGAACGCCCGTGGCGTGTGGTGCGGTGTCGTCCTCTACAACTTGGCCGTCGCTTTCTTGGACGTTGAGCACTACGACGACGCGGCGGAAGCCATCGCACGGTGCATGGAGCTCAGTTTCTTCTATTTGCAAGCAGCGGAAAACTCGCTGCACGACCCATTCAGCACGACCACCGAAGCCGCGTGTGCAATTCACGCTTCAATGGCGCGGCAGATCATACACGGCCATCACTTCATCGCCACCATGGCGGCCTGGTGCGATCCAGCTGGTCCAGTGGAAGTGCAGCACTGCGAAATGGCCATGGGGTGCGCGACGCGGTACCTGAGTCCCGCAGACGCAAAGCAGCACGAGTGCCAACGACGTCTGGCCGCGGCACACGCCAGAAAAAGCGGTGTGTCCCGCCTCGCCGCAGCGCCGTTGCTCCCCTACGTGTCGCACGATTTCACCTTTCCCGGTGCGCCTGCAGGTCGCACGACGTCGAACGGCGCCACAGATCCCCCGGACGTCACAATGCTGGTCGAGGGCCTTTTCTCTCTGTCGTCGTCGTCCGCGTCACCCTTGGACCTCGCGGCTGACTTACCGCCTGAAGTGCTGGCCTACGTGCGGGCTGCGAAAAAGGGCGACGCACTGCGCTTTTGGGTGAAGGAAGCGCAGCGTGGCAACGCCGCCCCGCCGTTTCTCACCGCAGCCGACGCCCTCGCACCGCTGCCTGCTCTTCTTTGTCCATCTTCCACAGACGGCGCAGGGGGGATTGCGGCCAGCGTCAAGGATGCACGGCCGTCGAGTCGGAAAGCCGCAACGGCACGCGGTGACTTGCCGTCCACTTCCCCTACACGTTCGCTGGACCCAACGACGTCGTCGGCCCACACACCGCCGAAGAGCCGCCTCGCCTCGTCCGGCGGGAAATCCTCTTCAACGGTGTGCCGGCCCAGCAAACCGGCGCCGTACTTCGTCACGACGTTGCCGCAGAGCACCTTTCGCCGGTACCGTACCTTGCGCGCCAGTGTCGTCACGCAGATGGAGAATGAGGAAGTCGCAGCGGGGAGCGGTGCAGCTGCGGACGGCGACCAAGAAGGTCTTGCGGCCGGTGTAGTGGATGATGGCAGTGACGTCAACTCCGCAGCTAAGCTGGAGACCGGGGCTGACGTGTCGCCCTACAGCACCAGCGGCACACCTGGGAGAAGCAGGCGCATGACTGCGCTGCTGTACGGAGCTGCCGGCATGTCGCCTACAGACACCCTTTTCACCACGCCTCACGACGCGACGATGACCGCTGACCTCGACGGGGCTGAAGGCGACGGCGGCGGAGCTGACGACGCGGACAACGCGGGAGACTCGACCACCGTCCTTGCCATTACAGTGCGACCGTCGGAACTGCTGCGACAGCTCGACACGGAAACAGAGGTGTGCTACTCCCGCCTCGTCGCTGACCCGCTGGCAGACGCGTACCGTAGTGCAGCCATCCGTCTTCAATCCTGGTGGCGTTCACGGATGGCAAACCACGAACGAAAGAGGCGCAGCGCGGCCGTGCTGCTGCGGTGCAGAGAGGACGCACAAGCGTTTCGCATTCAGTGCTGCTTCCGTATGTGGAGACGGCGGAGGCTGCAGGCGGCGCAGCGAGAACGTAAGCGTCAAGAACGCCTTCGAGAAAAGCACGTGCGTGTCGTGCAAGCCTTTCTGCGTCACCGTGAGAGCCTCGAACTGTGGGGACGAGCCTGTGTGACATACTACCAGCAACTCGTCGCCCGTCGAAAAGAGGAGAGGCGCCTCCACGCGGCTGCTGCAAAGGTGCAGAGCTGGTGGCGCATGCTGGCGGCGCAGACGGTGGTCAAGAAGCAAATAAAAGCCATTGTCCGCCTTCAGGCATTCTGGCGTGGTGTGTGTGAGCGTAGAGAGCAACGACGGCTCCGCGTGCACCGACGCTTAGCGGAAGAAGCGTTTCACAAGAGTCGCCTGACCTCCATCACCTGTGTGCAACGATGGTGGCGCGGATGCCAGGAGCGTATTGCTGCTCGCAAGTGTTTGGCGGAGAAACGGCAAGCGATCGAATCCTATCTCGCAAATGCGCAATCTGAGCACGACAAGGCGTTAAAAACACACTTACTCAATCCAGATGAGGCTGTCGCGGCTATGCGGACTGTCTTGGCTGTACTGGCGGGTGCCCATGACCGTCGTACGCTGGGCGGGACGTATCGATACGCACAGATCCGAAAGCGCGCTGTTCACCGCTATGTCCTGAAGCACCGCGGACGCATCGAAAGGGCGGACCTTGCCAAAGAACGCACCAACAAGTTGCGTCTGCTGAGACGGCGAGAGGAGGGGGCGGTGGCGACGTTACGACTACAAAAGTGGGGGCGGCGGTGGCTTCCACGACGGCGCGCAGCCCGACGGACAGAGATGGAGGCTTTCCAGCACGAAGCTGCAGCGAAGATTCAGGCGACGTGGCGGATGTATAGCATCCGGCAAGAACTGAACGCGTTCTCGGACTTTCTGGCGAGCGACCGTCACCGCTACGCGAGGAGGATTCAGCGTGCTTGGCGGGCGCACCACGCGCAACGAAAGGCGACGCCTCTAAAACAGCAGCGCATAGACACTGACAACGCAAATGACCTGCGGCGGAAAGAGCTGACGCGCGGTCATGACGCTGTCGTGCATATTCAGCCGTGGTACCGCACCCATCGCACTCCTACAGGCGGTCAGCGAAGCGGCAGCGGCCGTTTGCTTTCTTTACCGTCTACTCCCGCCGCTGCGGCACGGCGCATCCAAGTGTGCTGGCGCTCCCACTTCACCAAAAAAACCACGCAACAGTCGCCCTCTGCTGAAGACCTTCTCCCCGCCATGCAGCAGCTCCCGCCCAATGCTGCCTCCGCGTATGCAACATGGATTCAGGCGTTTGCGCGATCTTGGTTAATTCAACGCTCTCTTCGGCGACTGCCTTCACGCAAATCCGGCTCACCCAGCTCCTCACCTCTGAGTCCGTCGTACCGTAAGTTCCAGGTTCCTCAACCACCGACGGTGCCGCCCTGCATGCGAGTCTCTGCCTGCTCCGGCCTTGGTGCAGCAGAGGCGGAAACGGACGCCGTCCTGAACGCGGCGGACGCGCTGACGCTCCGCCAAGGTGGCCCGACGCTGCCCGGTTTCTGTCACACTGGCGGGTCTGCTGCGACGACGCCCACGATGACCGACCACGGTCACCACTCGCCGAGCAGCAGCGCCTTGCCACAGTCCCTTTCCCGGCTGACCAGCTCTACCGACAAGCTGCTCTACTTCTTCTGCACCGACTCTTCCTACGAGCCGTACAGTGCACGACGCCCGCGCAGCCCCTCCTCCTCGACGGCCAGCGCGTACAGCGATGAGGAAGGGACGACGGAGGAAGAAACGGTGCAAGAAGAGAAGGCAGACCAAGTGAAGAAAGTGGACGCCGAAGAATCCACGCACTCCGACTCCGCGAGGAAGATGTCCACAACGCGCAGTGCGGCAGACGACGGCGTGGCGCTCCATCAGTCCCCCACCACGGCCTCCGTTGGCAGTCCCTCAGGGGCCCAAGCAGCTGCCTTTCCCATCCCACGCCCACCCGCGCCGCACCGCATCATGTGCACTGTGCATTGCCGGCACACGCCAGAAGAAATCGCCGCGGCAACGCGCATTCAGGCGGCGTGGCGTGGCATCCGCGCGCGGTGCGACGTGGAGTACTACTATGAGGAGTACTACGAAGAGGTGGAGGTGAATGAAGAAGATGGCAACGCCGAGTGAAAGCGCCAGGGGAATTTGCGCATTGGCACTATGCCTTCCACGAGAGACCGCCAGGTACGCGTATGTTTCCTGCACACGTGTGTGGTGGGCAGAAGTGGCTTTGGCGTTGTCGAAAGAACAACACGTTTTACGTTGACAGAATCCCTCTTTTATGTAAATTATAGTGTTTTGTTTTCCCGGAATTATCTATTCCCGTTTTTCTCCTTTTTTTGCTGTCGCAGTATCTTCACACCACTGAAGCGGCAGCGACGACAGATCTTGGAACATGTAAGGGGAGGGGGGAACCTCGTGCACTACTACAGCGTCTTTTGGATGTACTTCGTTTCCTGTAGCACTTCTCTGAGCTGTGTATCTTCGCGCACATGAAGGCGATTCACTCTGTACACTTGATTGGTGCAACAACTATTTTTTATTCGAAACGAAACAAAAATTAATGTATTTGTTTCGCATCTGCTGGAGTGCGCACTTCGGGTTGGATACTTCGCTCCTTCTGGGGTCTCGTTCGGGTCATGTTCTTTTTCTTTTAATCAAGTTGGGCCCCTCCTGCCCACAGCGCACCGGGTGGCTTTTCTGTACTGCAGCGAACCTCTCCGCGTGACAGGGATGCGTCGTTCTTCTTCCTCTTCCATTTCATCCCTTTTCGTCTCCTCTTTTCACGTAAACTGTCTGCTGCTTGTTGTTGATGTCGCTGAAGCTGCATACATCCGTGCGCTACGTCGTTTGTTGCCGTCTTCCTTTGCAGGGCTGTGACACGATACCAATTCCCCAGTGGTGCTCGCGTGATAATATATGGGCAAATTCAGTCATTAGCACCGAGAAAAAAAGCTGACTTAGGGCATCCCTTTCGGTCTTCTTTTTTCTCTTCCCCCCCCCCCCCTTTCCAACGCTTTATTCATTGACGGAGCAATAAAAAAAAGGCAAAATAGAAATCATGGAGAACGGTTCTCGCTTCGACGAGGATGAGGAAGAGGAGGTGCTTCCCTTCGAGGGGTTGGACAAGGCCTCTGCGCTGCAGGAGTGCCGTGTCTTCAACAACACCCCTCTCGATGAGGAGCGCTCCATCCAAGCCATGACCCAGGTGCTCTACCTCATGTCGATCGGCGTGCGGCTGACAGAGGCGGAGGCGACGGACGTCTTCTTTATGTCAACGAAGCTGATGCAATCGAACCACGCAAAGCTGCGTCGGCTGCAGTACATTTTGATGAAAGAGCTGAGTCCGCTGGTGGGGGAGAGCTTCATGGCGTCGAACGCGCTCATGACGGACATCAAGAAGAAGGGCGACCCCGACAAGAGCTGTGCCATTCGTGCCCTCTACTCTGTGATGGACAGCAGCATGTACAACTCGATGGACCGCACGATTGTGGAGTGCATGACGTCACGCAACCCGAACGTCGTGACGGCAGCCTTAGTGACGGGCATTCACATGTCGCACACGCAACCGGAGATGCCGCGCAAGTGGGCGACGCAGTTGAACGAGGTGATGCGGGAGCGGGCGAAGGCTCAGTACCCCGCCATCGCCCTGTTGCACAAGATCCGCAACAACGACCGACTCTCGGTGGATCGCCTCATCGAGGACGCCACGACAGGCCGCATCCGCTCATCCCTCGCCGTCTGCCTTGTCATCAAGATGTGCACGGAGCTCATGCAGGACGACTTCTCCAGCTCGCTGGGCATCTACACGTTTGTCGTGTCCATGCTGCACCGCAGTGATATGACCGCCTTCGAGGCAGCCAAGTCCATTTGCTCTCTGCGCAACGTGTCAGACAAGGAGCTAACACCGGTCGTGACGATGCTGCAGCTGTACCTCAGCTCGCAGAACCCGGTGCTGCGCTTCGCCGCGGTGTTTCTCATCAGCCGCATCTCGACCGCGCACCCCGCAGCCGTGGCCCCGATTAACGCCGAGCTAGAATCCCTTACGCTGGATTCCAACCGCATCATTGTCACCTTGGCCATCACTTGCCTCCTGAAGACCGGCACCGAGGGCACGATTGAGCGCCTGCTCACGCAGCTCTCCTCTGGCAGCTACATGAGCGACCTCGGCGACGAGCTGAAGCTGACCATCGTCGATGCGATGCGCGTGCTGAATGCGAAGTTCCCGAACAAGTACGAGACCCTGCTCGCCTTCCTCTTCCGTGCCCTCAGCGACGAGGGCAGCAGCTCGCTGAAGCAGAGCGTGGTGGACGCGATGTTGGACATCTCCAAGTCCAACCCCAACTCCAACGAGGTCGTCCTCACCCACCTCGCCGAGTTTATCGACGACTGCGAGTTTTCGCAGATCACAAAGCGGGTGCTCATGCACCTTGGAGAGGAGGTGCCGAACTGCGCCAACCCGCGCCGCTTTGTCCGCTACGTCTACAACAACGCGACACTCGAGAAGCCAGACGTGCGCGCAGTGGCGGTGACCACACTGGCCAAGATCGCCGCCAGCGTGCCGACGCTGCGCCGCTCCATCGTGGCGCTGCTAAAGCGCTCCTGCAGCGACTTCGACGACGAGGTGCGAGACCGCGCCGTGCTGTACACGAAGCTCTTCTTGCACAACGACGAGGTGCTCGTCCGGACGTACGTGCACGATGTGGCCGAGGCCGTCTCACGTCACCGCCAGGTCGTGCGCAGCGCCCAGAAGGCGGAGCTGACGGTGGGCGGCGGCACGACGGAGGGGGATGTGATGGCAGCGGCTCTTGTCGCCTCGACAAACTCGGCCAGCGCTGGCGGGCTGCCGCTGGCTACCCCGGCCATCCTCCAGGGCCGCGATGCACTACGTCACGTGAAGCAGCTGCGCGAGCTGGGCGAGCCGGCAAAGAGCACGGAGCCGCTTCTCCTTACCGATGCGGACAACGAGTACGTTGTGTCCGTTACGAAACACGCGTACCCGGCGCACCTGGTACTGCAGTTCAAGGTGAAGAACATGATGGACGCTCTTCTCTTTCGGAACGTGCTGGTGGTGACCGACACCGAGGAGCTCGAGGCGGAGCCGCTCTACGCCGTCCCGATCGAGAGCATCAACCCCGGCGAGACGCAGTACGGCTACGTCGTGCTCCGCTACGAGCCCGGGGAGTTCCCAAGCGGCGAGGTGCGGACGACCTTCCGCTTCTCGATGGCCGAGGCGGGCGAGGAAGGGACACCGGAGGACCAGGACGAGTACCCCATGGAGAGCTTCGACGTGGACGTGAGCGACTTCATCTCCCCCATCAACCTCGGCAGCGAGATGGACGGCAAGTGGAAGGGGCAGGAGGCGAACGAGACGGCAGGCACTTTCGCGTTGCACTCAATGAAGAACTTGACCGAAGCGGCCCAGCAGCTCGCCAGCTTCTTTGGCATGTACATCGAGGGCGGTGTGCCGGAGAAGATCACGACAGCGTCGCACGTGCTGAGGATGGCGGGCGTGCTGGCGGACGAGGCGCACACGTTGGTGTTAGTGCAGGCGAAGGTGTTCATCGCGACCGATAATAGGGTGGCCCTTCAGCTGGCGCTGCGCGGTGGCTCTGCGGAGGTTCGGGAATACCTAGCCAACGCCTTGCTAGGGTAGTCAAGCGCTGCTGTGCGTGTGTGTTTGCGTGCGTGGAGGTATCTGTGCAGAAAGAAAGAAGTACACGGCGGGCCTTCGACCACCTCCTCACGGTCAAAGCCGATGGCGCTTATATCAATGTGTCTATTGTTTGTTTGTTTGTGTGTTGTGGGTGTTTGCTTCTCTGTTTCGTTGTTGGCGGTGTTTGTTGTCGTTTCATCGTCACTGCCTTGTTCACACGGCTGCTGTCACTCCGACTGGACTTTGAAAGGAAACCTCCGTTTTCTTTCTGTCTTCTCGGTTTTTGAGCAACTCCGCAGAGACGTGAAAAAATGCAAGCCCCACTGAGCAGATGCAAGTACGGTGGAACAGCGGTGGATTTGTTGTTTCTGTCATTTACGTCCATTGTTGTTGTATTGTTTTTTGTGTTTTCTCGTCCTCCCTTCCAGTGTCAGCCGCGCAATGCTGCGTTGCTTCGCGGTTACCTCTACCTTCTCTACGCACACTCTCCCAATTTGATTTCTCCCTCTTTGTTGGCGGACATCGTGGGGAAGAAGAACGGGAAGAAAGAAAAAGGGCAAAAATGCCAGCAACAACACTTAACGTCGTACGCGCTATTCGCTGTGTTTGCGTTTCACGGTCGCCGTAGGCGAGGCGCTCGTCGGGGTTTCCTCCCTTGTGTCTGTTTTCTTTTTGGAGTTTTGTCCTTTTAATGGGCTTAAGTACAGTTGCGTTTTACGTGCTCATCGTGTGCTTTGTGGTAAGTGAAGAAGGGATAATCGAACCATGCAAGAGAGAAACTCACGATGCAAGACAACGTGTCGAGGAACCGTCCTCGGTAGGCGAGTTAGTGAGATCGACGGCAAGCGAGGGAGGTGTGATGCGGAAGCAACGCAATTGGCGCAGCTGTCGCATCTTTGTGTCACTGTTGGCGTGAATGTCCGGTTTCTCCTCGTTGTGGGGAACAACAACGACGTTGACAGCGCTAACAGCATTGGTGCGTACGCAGTGGAATGACTGGCACGTTGAGACAGGCGCGGCTCTGCCAGTAAAACCCCTGCGTTGCTGAGAATGCCACGAACGGCGTCGTTGTGGTGAAGCACCACTGCTTTCGGGAAGGGGCAATTCTACTCTTCACACATCTCTGCCTCTCCCTTTCATGCCTCCCATCTTTCATTTTCCTTTAAAGAGAAAGGATGGAAGAAGCAGCGGACATCTTTTGTTTCATCCCTCCTTAAAAACCAGCCTCGTTGTCGGTGTCGAATTGTAGCGAGTGCAGTAACGCCAACCTTCTCTATATTCACTTCTGCTCTTTCTTTCTTTTTTGTTCTCACGCGAACTCACCAATCAACTTCTGCTGCAGGTGTTTCCGTGCGTTTCGTCACTACAACGCCTGTTTTTTTTTCCCCTCTCTCGAGCGTATACGCAACGTATTTCTTTTACTGAACACAGAAACATAGATTCACATTCAATGGACGTCCAACGTCACCGATAGTCATTACTGCTGCTCTTCGTTTTCTCTCTCTCTATATATATATGTGCATCCTACAATTTCGTAGTGCTTTCCTTGTTAAGGTTTCTCTCTTCTTCTTTTTTTAATCAAGGTGCAACCATGTCGTGGATGCGCAGCCGATCGCAGCAACAGAACCTGCCTGGCTCGCAGCGTGAGACCTCGCCGCTCCCCGCGCCGTGCAGTCTTTCCCAGACCTCACAAAGCTCGACCACGCGTGTGTTGGGGGCGGACATCACCAACCGTAGCCCCACACCGCCGCCACCATCCTTGTTGATTAGCAAGGCAGTTGCTCGCACTCGTTCTGCTGCTCTTACTACTAGTCCGCCCTCCTCGTCCAGCACGGTGAGGTGGCCAATCAGGCAAACCGAGACTTTCCCCTGCTCCTCTCCACATGATCATGGCGGCGACGCTAGCGACAGCGCGCGAACCGCAGTGCCCTTTGTCTTGCCGTCGTACGACACGTTTCTGGATGCGCTGGGAGGGGGAAGAAGCGAAGCGGAGGAATTACATCTGCCAGCAACGCGGCGCCGCTCTCGCCCTCCAGCGGCAACCGAGTTGCTCACCGCAGAGAAGGACAACAACGGTGACAGTCAAAGCGATCCACAAGAGCGGCGGGAAGAAGAGGAGAAGGCCAGTCTTGGGCAAAGTTCAACGCAATTCGCTGCGAAGACGGTTCAGGAGAACGGCACGCCCGACCAACAGCCTGTAAAGCGCGCACGATTGCACTCAAACACACATGGCCGTGCAAGCTCGCCAACGTGTCAACGCAACGAGACGTGCCGAGAATGTGCAAGCAACGCAACTGAAACGGGGAAATCTCTTCTTTCTGCCGAGGTCTCGTGGAAGACGCACACCCGCACGGAGACTTCCGGCGGCGACAACAGCGCAAACAACTGTTTCACCTCCGTGTCAACGAATATGCCGCTCTGCAGCTCTCTGTATTGCGAAAGGGTGTTCAGCCCCGCTCCGACGTCCAACGCAGAATGTGCGTCTTTCGACCCGTACAAGGAGCGGCAGAGCGGCGTACCCGTGGCGGTGCCGCCTTCGTCGACGTGGGCCACCTCTGCCTTATCTACGCTTCCAAGCTCACGCAGAGGACTTGCCCACTTGTGTATGCCGGCGCGCCTGCTCGACGTGGAAGTCCCATCCTGGCAAGTCATGACTGCTGCCGCGGTCAACACTGATGAACCAACTGCGGTGTCAGCGGTAACACCGCAGGGTCATCGCAGAATGCGAATTGTGAATTCTGTGGACAGCACCATCGTCTACTCCCCCGGGTCGCTAGAAGACATCAGTCCCATTCTGTGTCTCTCTGATGAGGGCGCCGTGCTGCAGGGTGACACAAGAGGATCGCTCAGTCGCGGCACCCCGGCGCATCTCCGAAATGAGGAGGCTTTCCCTATGAGAAAGGATAATCAGGAGAGTTGCGAGATGAGCGTTGGCACTCCCGTGGCCCATCCGTTGTTTTCCCAGGTGAACCGAGACTATGAAGAAGAGGGGGAAATGCGAGACACGCATCTGCGGGAGGACGTGTTGCATGTCGCCTCCGACGCGTTCGAAAACCTCCAACGATGTTTGCGTTGCTGGCAAAAATGAATCGACGGCGTTGAACGCGAGAGCGCTGTGTTAACCGAAAAGGAAACAGACCTTTTCATGAGAGGAGAGAGCGACTGAGTTTTCCTGTAGCGAAGATCTGAGCGGCAGCGCCTTATTTCCTTCCCCAAAGGTAACAATAGAGCTTTGAATGCCGGTGGTTCCAAACGGCGTAATTTGCCCTCGTCGTACTCTTCCATAAAACAGAAGTGGCCGAGCACGCTCACGTCTTGCGGCGTTCTTGTGGAGGCAAAGCTGTAAATTGCACCCGAGCGAAATACGTGCAAGATACGAAGCCTTCCATCGCCAGATTTGTGTGTTTGCAGGACTGAAGCGCCTTGGTATGTTCACCTCCTTTCTCCCAACCTTTTACTTCTGGTGCGTCTCTTGGTAAACCGTTTCTTTGGCATTTCCAATTTCTCATTCAATACCATCATCGTTGCTTTCCATTTCGTGCGAGTGTGACTGGCAGGCAGCGGTGGTACAGCAAGGAGGCGTCAGCACCCGTAGGGGAAAACAAAAGGAAACGGAACAGCTCCTCTGTCTGCCTCGGACCCAGTGACACCGACATTCTTCTTCTTTCGTTATTCCGCACAAACCAAGCGAGGTCTTATACGAAGGAGACGAGCACGGTTCAACTATCGAAAGGACTCCATTTCAGTGGGCATTTCTTGCATTTATCCACATCCCCCATACAATCACTTCAGTTCGCGATTCCTCATAGAAGTAAGCCCGATCTACGGTACATAGAACTCGCTGTTTGGGACGTTGAATCATAAATCTACAAAACAAAAGACGAACAAATACGGAGTGTTGACACCACCTCCTTCCCTCGCTCTTTCTTTTTTCTTCTTCGATCATGCTGCATCGCTGCCTCATTCAGTTGGCCAAAAAGAAAGGGCCACCGCAGCGGGGTCACGTGCTGCGGCGAAATCTGCGTCGATCGGGCAGCAGCGGAAGTGCCAGTGCGTCCGTTGCCCGTCGTGCAGGCAGCGCAGCCGCCAAACGCGACGGCAAAGGTCACCCGTCGTCCGCTGCTTCATCGAAAGCGAAGAGCGGCAAGGCAGAGGCTGGTAATAAAAACTTCCTTAACGGGACAGACGGAAACAGTTCCGCAGCGGCGCCGTTGGCGCTCGTGTCAGACGAGTCGGCTCACGCACCGCCCAACTCGGCCCGTCGTCCGCTGTATCGGCTGGCCACTGCAGTTGCCACGGTCGTCGTGCCGCCCACCACTAACGTCTACTTGCAGTCCATGAAGCACCTGCTAACGCCTGCGTCTTCTCCTGCGCTTGCCAGCGCCTCCATCGGCGAAGCCGTGGGGGCGGCCACCCCCGCCGTGCCCATTGTCGAGGAGTACTACACGAGCAAAAAAGGCCCGCTCTTCGCCACCGCCGTCGTGGCCGGCACCAACGCGGTGAAGCAGGTGAGCTCCCTCATCCCATTCTGCTACCCGACACCCATTCAGCGGTGCTCCTTCACCTTCCGGCGGCGGCAGGTGCTGCAGGCCCCACGCCCGTCCCAGATGCCCCACCGCGTCGTGCTGCGGCGCCGCACCTCGACCCCCAGCCAGTCGCCCACCCGCCCCGAGTACAGCGTGCTCTACTGCTTCTGCACGGTCGCGACGGAGAGCAAAGCCGGGGTGGAGATGGAGGCGTTGACGGGTGCCACCATGGCCACCGTGACGCTGTACGACATGCTGAAGGGGCTTCCAGGTGCACAGGAGGACGGACTGAGTCTTGGGGAGGCTTTTGTGCTGGCGAAGCGTGGCGGACGCAACGACTTCACTAAGTTGCTCATGTCCGAGCCGGATCGCCCGCTTGTAGACAGTGGCATCCGAAATGGAGGTGAAGTGCCAGCCATCGCGCCTCCTAAGGCGTTCACAGAGGCGACGACTAACGGCAATAACTCGTCTGGCACAGCAGCAGCAGCAGCTACGTCGAATTCAGCGGAGTCACTCGCAAATCAGCAGGATGGCAACGCCCAACAGCAATCTGCCACCAACGCGGCGCACGGCGTTGGAAATACGGAAGGTGATGAGCAGGGCGTCGTGCCGCAACGTGTCATACGCCGCACATCTTCGGTTGCCGGTGTTGACGATGCGGAGGACCCAAATGCTCCCGGCGACGCCGGTGCGTGGTGGCGCACGTCGAAGCACGAGAAGCGGCTTCAAGAGCTACACCCCCGGCGCAAGTACGTTGATGGCTCACGGGTTGTTCCTACTAGCCCCTCTGCTGCCGACGGGGCTGTGCCTTCGCAGGTTGCCGTCACAAACGCGGCACCAACCGCGCCGGCAACCACGCCCAGTAAGCTGAAGCACGTGTCGAAGGCGAGTATGATACGCGAAGGCCGTCCGGTCGTGTCCGCTATGAGCGCAAAGGCGGCGTTGAAGGCCGCACGTGACGCTGCGGCGCACCACGAGGAGGCAGAGGAGGAGGACGCAATGGAGCATCGGCGACCGAACAAGGGCCGTCTTGCCAGAAAATCGGGACGTGGCGCCATTTCAGCCGAAGCGGACACGGACGAAGTGCCGGACAAGGAGGCAGTCCTGGAAGACGACGAAGCCGCCGAGGAGGCGGAGGAAGCGGAGGTGACGCACGACGAGGACGAGGTCGAGCCCAGCAAAGGCGGCAAAAAGACCAAGCGGGGCTCCACGGCGAGCGCAGCAGCGCACAAGTCGGTCAAGGCAGCAGGGAGAAGGGCGACTGCGACGGCCACCAGCGCTGCCCAGCGACGTCAACAGGCGGCGGAGGAGGCGGAGGCAGAGGAGGATGAAGAAGACAGCGCAGAGGCGGCTGTGGAGGAGGAAGAGGAAGAAGAGGAGGTTGTGACGCCAACCCGCAAGCCTTCGCACGCGAGCTTGGCTGCGGCCGCGAAGAAGCACAACAAGGGCAAAATCAGCGCAGCCCGCAAGCAACGCGCCGCCACCACGACAGCATCGTCGCACAAAAAGGGTCGAGCGGCAGCGGTGGAAGAGGAGGACGAGAACGAGGCCGTGTCTGTTGAAGGAGGGGAAGACGACGAACCGGCTGCAGAAGAGGAGGAGGAAGACAGCGCAGAGGCAGATGTGGGAACGGTTGACGAAGAGGAAGAAGAGGAGGTGGCGGTGACGCGTCGCGGTAAGTCGACAAAACACAGCGCTGCGGCAACGACCCCATCCAAGAAAAAGGCGAGCGCGATGCGGCCGGTGCAGCACAGCTCGTGGGACGAAGGAACGCGTAAGGTCGACGACGATGAGGACGCTGAAGCAAACGAGGAGGAAGAGGCGGTGAACGAAGACGCTGAAGAAGAGGAAGAGGAAGAAGTGCCGCCTCCGCCGCCGAAGAAGCTGAAGAAGAGTATGAAGCGAACAATTCCAAGGAGGAGGTGATACTGATAACAGCTGTGTCGATTCGCGTCTTTCCTTTTCGTGGTCTTGGAAAAGGAAAAAATGAGATTGTTGATCCTTCCGAGACGTCTCAGTTGTCATGGCACGCCCCTCCGTTGAATCGAGACGGTTGGAATATGGTTGCGGTGCAACACACCTACAAAGCCGTGGACCGAAGATACAAGTATCCTGATAATGCGTTTATTACTGATTCCTTTTTTATATTCACGTGTTGCCTCATGAGGAAATGAATAGCCGTAAATATGCGACATTTGGGTGGAGATTGGAGAAATCGAGACGTTGCAGTGGCTTCACCGGGCAACGGAAGCGTTTTGAGCTCGCCTTGACGATGAGAACAGAAGACTACGCAGAGCAGTTTCCAACACCGCCAACATTCTGGATGCCTTCACTCTATGCTGGCATGCGGCCAACTCTTTAAGCTTCGCAAGCGGACCCCCATCCCCTCCCCACTCTCTTTTTTTTTCTATCTCTTTCCTGTGCTTTCTGCATTCACAAACGCAATACCGGCTCTGCGCGACCGCAACGCTGAAGAAAAAATCGCTCTCCCGCACCGTTTACTTTCAACGAAAGAATACCCGCAAACACCTTCGTTATTGTCGATCTCTCTCTCTCTTTAAAAAAAAAACCCGATAAAGCACAACAGCTTTCTTTCGTTCTAAGTTCTAAAGAATGACCCTCTTTTCCGCGGGCAGCGACGCTAACTGCAGCCATTCGAGGAATCACTCCATGCGTGCTGCGTTGCCGCGCCGTGTGCATCGGCTATGTGTGCTCGTCGCGACAGCGGCCCTGCTGGCCGTCACCTGCCTCCCTGCGCCGTCGAGCGCGGCGGTGGAGTGGGTGGTGCAGCAGGTGCAGGTGTTGCACCGCCACGGCTCCCGCTCCGCCGTGCCGAGCTACAACACCACAGCCATCTGCGGTGCCACGCCATGCGGCTACCTTAACCCGGAAGGTGAACAGATGATGGTGAACGTCGGCAGTTTTCTGCGCAAGCGCTACACCACCGACACCACCGTCGTGGACAAGGCTTTCCTGACGTCGGAGAGCTACGACCTGGACGTCGTCTCGACGTACTCGACGGACGTGCTGCGCACGTTGCAGAGTGCGAACCTGCTGCTGTCCGGCCTCTTCCCCAACTCCGGTCGCCTCATCCCGGCGATTCACATCTTGTCAGGGTCCGGTGGCTTCGTTCTGCAAACGTACTTGCAACCGTGGGTGTCGTTGTACGGGTTGCACGCGGCGGACGCGCAGGCGGCACGCATAAACCCCCTGGTGGACGCCCGCTTCCCCAAGTTCAGCAGCCTGACAGCGCTGGGCGCGTCGCTCCACAGTGAGAACTTCTTCAGCGACTACGCAAAGCGCTGGAAGTGCGTTTCCATGCTGTGGGACATCGCCGCGGCAAAGAGGTCCATTGGCCAACTGCCTGCGCTGGCGGAGAAGCACTACAAAGACCTGCAGGAGATTGTGGCGGCTGCGTACCGCTACATGTGGTACTACAACGCGAGCGACGAATTCGTGGTGCAGCAGGGTGGCCGCGGCCAGCCTTTCCTGGAGCAGGTGGTGAAGAACATCGACGGCTTCCTCGCCGGCACGAACACCTTCAAGGTGATGCAGTACAGCGCACACGACGTCACCCTCGGCCCTGTCTGGGGCACGCTCGGCGACAGCAGCGTGAATGCCGTGCTGCCACCGTACTCGCAGACCCTGGTGCTGGAGCTGGTGAAGCGCACCTCCGATGGCGCTCACGGCGTGCGCGTGCTGCGCGGGTGACCCGGCCAAACCCCCGAGACGAACTTCACATTTTCGTGGGACAGCGCGTGGCAGCTGCAGTGCCGTAATGCCGCCGGCGTGAACTACAACGCCACCGACAACATTTGCCCAGTCGCCGACTTCAAGCGTTACGTCAAGTTCACCGCCGGCACCAGCCCGCAGGGCATGTGCCTGCTGGACGCTGAGGCCAAGACTGTCCTGCGTTGCCCCACCGCCGCTGAGGAACTCGCCGGTAATGCGACGGTCTCCGGCACGTGCAACTTCTACCGCTCCCTCTGCCCCGCCCATTCCTGTCAGTCCGACTACGTCCTCGACGCCAACACAATGCGCTGTTCGTGCAATGCCGCGACCTGCCTCACGGCGATCGACAGTACCACCGCAGCCCCCACCAAGACTCCGGCCGGTGCCGGTGACTCCGCCACCAACAAGCCCGTCGACAACACGGTGCACACGCCCGGCGTTTCCAACGCCGCCGCCGCCGGCATCGCCACCGCCACCTTCGCGGTCGGCGCGCTCATCGCCGTCGCCGTGACGATGAACGTCGTTGCACTGCTGCGCCGCCGCCGCAGCCCCACCTCTGAAACGAAGTACTCTGCGGAAGGCAGGCCCGTCCGCGACTGCGACATGGGGTAAGCGGCCCTCTTTTGCTGCCTCTACTCTCTGCGCTTTAAACTGAACAGGCGCGTCTCTCTTTGCCATTCCTTTCTTTTCCCCCCTCTCCGTTTGATGTGGTGCGTTGCGCAGCGATGCGGTGGCGCTCGTGTGCGGTCAACGCACTCGCATGCACAACCAACACTCACCCACCGCTCTTCCTCTCTCCATTCCACCCCACCCCCATTTCTTTCTTTTCCTTGTAAATGCGCCACGTTGCGTGAGTAGCACAGGCAAAGGAGGCGTCGCGTGTTGGTTCATCTCGTCGGAACGTTGCTTGACCAACGAATGCTCCCATTTGTCCTCCCTGCTACCGTTCTAGAGCCTAAAGAAAAAAAAACCTTTTTCTCGTTTTTAGCGGTTCTTTCGTTTCTCCTTTTTTTTATGGGTCTCAGCAGCACCACTTCCCAATAAAAGTCTCATCACCGTGCAGTGCAGATATTTCCTTTTTTTTCCTTTTCAACGAAATATCTAACGTGTTTAGTTGGATGGTAGCTCGTATATATGTGTGTATCTTCCGTTTATCTGGAGATGCGCATCGACGAGCAAATGCACGTATTCGGGCACACAGAAACACAAACTCACACGTCCGGCCATCACTGTTGCGCGTGTTGTGTGAAGGAGCGAGAAGCGCTTCTAACGTCGTTCACATTTCCCAATTTTGTTTCACGGTGGGTTACTCTGCGCGCAGCATCAAGATGTCCCCGCACGTATCATCTGAAGAGTGCCTTCCGTATCCCTCTCTTCGTCTTTCTCTCGATTCATTGCTCCTAGCTTTCTAAGGTTTTCTCTTTATTTTTTGCTTAAAAAAAAATGTGTTTTAAGTTTGGGTTGTTATGCTTCGTGTTGAATGTGGCGCACCCATTAATTAGGCATGTGCGTCCCACCGTTGCTCTACTCCGTCATCTTTTTTTTTTTATTTTTGACCGAGAAGCACATACGCCTTCTAAGCATTAACACCTAAACATATTTAACAGGAAATCTCTTCTCTTCTTTCTCTTTGTTTCCCCCTCGGTTATTTTTCCTTTGTCGCAGTGGTTTTCTTCACTCCTCTTTCTTTTTCTGTTGTTGGTTGGACTGTTACTGTTTTCGTCGTACAAGTCGGTGAGGTCACGCCGCCTGGAACGTGCTACGCCGGGCACTCTCTCCTTCTCTCTGTTAGCTGTGTCGGACGCGTCGTGCATCCTTTCGTTTCCTCCACGAGCGCACACGGTCGGGCGACGTCAGAGCCGTCCACCCACCCAGCCGTTACGTGCACTCACTGCCCGATAACTCTTTTTTTTCTTTTCTGATTTCATGCTTAAACGAGAAGCACATAGGAAGCAGCAGATTGAGTTCCTGCGAGTTGAGGCAGCAACTCATTTTCCACTCTCCTCGAGGTCTGCGAAGTTTCGCGATGGAGCAAGTAGCCGGGCTTTTCCATTTAATTTTTTTTCTCGCACGTCTAAGTTGTCCTATAAAAATATATCTTCTTTTCTTCGATTTTACAGTTTCTAAAATGGTTCTTTTTCTTCGGCACAGTGACGAACAAATAGAGATCAAGAAGCACGTGAGATTTTTTTCCCAAAAAGACGCACATGACTCTTCTTCTTTCATCTGTTCGCTCGCTCATGCTGTATGAAGTTTTTTTTTTCATCTTTTCTGAAGTACTTAACGTCCTTTGGAATTCGAGTTGTTAGTTCTCTCTACGCCTTGGTGTTGTACCTGTGAAAATGTACACGTGATTCGTTGTTGCCGCTGCTCAGCTATGAATCTCGAGCGGATCCTTCTTTTTTTTGTTGTTCTGCCTGGATATGCCAGACATCAGACGCTGCTGGGTCATGGTGAACTAGCGTGTCACGTTGTACTCGTACTTCACAATTCGCTCCTGCGGACGATTTTTTCTCTTAAATGGGTCTCTTCTCTCTAAAACGGAAAAAAAAACAGTATATATTAATGGCGCGGTGTGTGCCACCACCGACTTGGGAAGGTCGATAATCATCGTAAGTCTTGCTGTTTTTTGTGTGTCGCAGATGCAAGCTGTCATCGCTGATGCATTCACGCTTCGTGGGAGCTCAAGTCCTCTGCTTCCCAAAATATAGATATATTTTATATCTCTAACTTTTTTCTCTTCTCTGCCCTCTCTCTTTTACTATTATTATTCCGTGCTTTCTCCGTCCCTTCTATCCTTTGAACCTCCCATCACTCGTTCGGCTGCAGTGCCGGTATCGTCGAATGTTGCGTCGCGCATCTCCGCGTTTAGCACGCATTCAGCCATTTTTTGCTCGTCGCCCTTTCCTTGGCACCGCCACCACCACCTCCCCTTCCTTCGCCTCGTATTCCAGCCAAGCTCGCTCCTTTCGTTTTCAGATGCCGTCCTCGGCAACGAACTGCGCGCAGCCAAACGAGGAGAATGGCACAAAGGACAAGCCAGAGTCGGAGTGGCGGGCTACGCTGAGCCCCGCGGAGTATCACATATTGCGGGAGAAAGGCACTGACCCGGTGGGCGGGAAGTACGATGACCTCTATGACGAAGGTGAGTACGTGTGCGCGGCGTGTAAGACGCCCTTGTACACCTCCGCGATGAAGTTCGCGTGCGGGTGTGGGTGGCCCGGCTTCTGGGACTCCATCCAGAAGGCGGTGCGGGAGCAGCCGGACAAGGACGGTCGACGCGTGGAGATTGTGTGCAACGCGTGCAACAGTCACCTGGGCCACATCTTTCGTCACGAGGGCTTTTCGAACCCCCCGCCAAACGAGCGCCACTGCGTCAACAGCACCTCCATCCTTTTCATCCCAGCACAGGGCAAGAACTAGTGCGGAAGAGAAGTAGGCGTGTCTCCTGTAGAGAGGCATCCACTTCTTCTCTGTGTGTTCAACTGTGTGAGCTGAGGTGATCGCCTTCATACGCCGTTTTATTTTTTCACACACATCCTCACCTTATACATCACTAACGAATGGAGAGAGTTGTGTAGCAAAGCTGTGAGCGCTTGGCCACGTAAAGCGGGTGTGCACTTGTCTCTATTTCTCTACGCTATTATTACTATTATTATCTTCGCGTTGCTCATCGTATTGTGCAGCGTCTCCCTCCGGTGAGTTACACCGAGAACTACGAAGATGAAACTCATATCTCTTCATGACGTGGATTTTTTTTTTACGTCATGACCTGCGTTTTCTCCTCCTTTGTTGAGTCTACTGCAGCTGGCGTCGGTGCAATTATGTGATGCCATCGCTGCGGATGCGCGACAGGCCTCCGGCTGTTCATGCCAGAGTCTTCTTTACAGTCTTGCGGCACCGGTCAACTCCATTGATGTGCTGCAACACTGTTGAATGAATGAATTTCCCTCACTTAGATGGCCATTGGGCTGCCTCTTGACCCTTCCCTGCATCTCCTTCGGACACTTCATATCGGCAGTAATTCATCTATTTCCGTCTGGGTCTTTGGCTACCTTGCCCTGACTGGAAATAAAAGTACTGAAGAAGACACTTGCTTCCAGTGCAGAAGCCGACAAGAGGGAGAACTGACGTGCTTTCTTTGTGTAGTCAACAACGAAACATCTATTCAGCTCCCCATTCGTCTGCATGTAAAACTACGTATTCACCGCCGTCGCCTTTCTCGTTTACTTTTACGGCGTAAAAGCACACACGATTTTAACGCGTTGATTGCCTTGTTCATAGTTTATTGGGTCTCCACCCCATCCCCCGCGTTATCATAGAATTGAACCCTTCATCGGAGTTTTTCTTCTTCTTTTGAGTATCCAAGGACCTATTTGGATTCGTGCTCATTGATTACTGAAAAGAAAGACCAAAAGCTAGCCATGTCAAGCGACCTCAATCAGCAGTTAGAGGCGATGTACGACGGCAAGCTCCTGACGGAGGAGCAGGTGGTGCAGCTGTGCAGTCGCTGCAAAGACCTAATGCTGGAGGAGGGCAACATCGAAACCGTCTACTCTCCTGTCACGCTTTGCGGCGACATTCACGGGCAGTTCTACGATTTACTGGAACTGTTCAGCAAGGGAGGGCGGATGCCCGACACGTCCTACGTCTTCATGGGCGACTACGTCGACCGCGGCTACCACAGCGTGGAGACGCTACTGCTGCTGCTGTTGCTCAAAGCCCGCTACCCCGACCGCATCACCCTGCTTCGCGGCAACCACGAGTCTCGCCAGATTACGCAGGTGTACGGGTTTTACGACGAGTGCTACCGCAAGTACGGTGGCGCCAACGTGTGGCGGTTGTGCACGGAACTGTTTGACTACATGCCGCTGGGCGCCGTGGTGGAGGAGGACATCTTCTGCGTGCACGGCGGCCTCAGCCCGCAAATCAACACGTTAGACGAGGTGCGCGTGCTCGACCGCAAGCAGGAGGTGCCGCATGAAGGGCCGATGAGCGATCTGCTGTGGTCAGACCCGGAGGATATTGAGGGCTGGAGCGTCAGCCAGCGCGGCGCCGGTTTTGTCTTTGGTGCCGACGTGGCGAAGAACTTCAATCAACGCAACGGTCTTAGCCTCATCGCACGCGCGCATCAGCTCGTGCTGGAAGGGTACAAGTCTATGTTTGACAACAATTGCTGTACGGTGTGGTCGGCCCCCAACTACTGCTACCGCTGCGGCAACGTCGCGTCGCTTCTAGAGATCGGTGAGCACTCGCAGGTGGACCGCAATGTGGTGTACTTCACCGCGGCGACGGCGGATGTGCGAGGGCATCTGGCGAAACAGCCGCCCCCTGAGTACTTCCTGTGATGCTCGTGCGTCGTCGCCGCAAAGCACAAGGGCACACGAAGGGGGGAGGGGGTGATGGATTGCAAGGCCAGGCGCAAAGGAACGCCGACCACTGCGCGGAAGCTTCCGCTTTTTAACTCTCTCTCTCCCCTTCTGTTTCCACGAGAAGATGGATGGTGGTGTTGCTCTTCAACAGTACGAGATGCTGAACTCCACACGTATGAAAGTACACGGTAGCGTTCCTCCTTACCATTCCGTCCTTCAGCCTTACTTTCATGAGAGAAAGAAGTAGGCGTATGCGAATTATCAGAAAAATTTCGCGCGGTTGTTGTTGGTGTTGTTGTTTGTTCTCAAAAAAAAATTGAAAGCGTTATATATATATATATATATATATATATATGTTCGCCCAGATTAGCGGTGTTATCCTCTTGATTTGACGTCGTGGAGTTGTGGTTGGCTTAGATTTACATGGCAGCTGCCTGTTTTGATCGCAAGACCTCTCACGTTGTTTTCTCCTCTAGCACGTACTCGCTGGCCTTTTCTTCTCTCACTCCCTCCTTTGTGCTCTTGCAGTGTTGAGTTTAGAAGAAAAAGACAAGGCCCAAATGCACCGCACCGTGCCCTCTCTCCTTTTCAAACAAAAATTCCCGTCCTTGCTTTGCCTCTTTCCAATTTCTCTCTCAAAAAGAAACGAAATCTTTCTATCCATTTCCTCACATACGTAAGCTTTAGTTCTCTTCACAGTATAGTACACACGTGGCGCTGGCCACCATACCTAGTTCTCCACACACACACAAAATAAAAAAATAACACCGTAGCGTTTTTACTCCGAATAGCGAAGAGCACCTCTTCGTTGTGCCCCGCATAAGTTGACACAGTTCTTCTGTTTCGCTTCTCTAGAACTTATTGCCTTATCACCATCTTAACCGCCGTTTTCCCTTACGAAATCTTTTTTTGCTGCTTTTTCGACCCACAGCAGAGGACTCTCAAAAAACAGGTTGCGATGCAGAGATTCACTGCTCGTTACGCCCTCGGCACGGCGCTGCCGCCTGCCTCGCGCAAATGGACCTCCAAGTTCAGCTCCTACTGGGCTCAGCAGTGCCCGCGACGCTTCGCCACCTCTGCCCACCTGTCGGCGGCGGATGAGGCGGCCGCGAGGGCAGCAGCGACGATGAAGCCGTGGATCGCACCCGCCCACAATCGGTCGGTGGCCAACTGGCTGTACATCAGCGCCGCCTGCGTCGGCGGCGTGGTCTGGTTTGGCGGCATTACCCGCCTCACGGAGAGCGGACTCTCGCTCGTGGAGTGGAAACCCATCAGCGGCGTGCGGCCCCCGTTGACGGACGAGGAGTGGGAGCAGGAGTTCAAGCACTACCAAAAGTTTCCCGAGTTTCAGCAGAAGCCAGATATGACGATGCGCGAGTTTAAGTTCATCTTTTTCTGGGAGTGGGCACACCGTGTGCTGGCGCGCAGTCTCGGTCTCGTCTTTGGTGGCCCGCTGATCTATTACGCGGCGCGAGGACGCTTCAAAGGAAACGGCAAGTTCCTCGCCGGACTCCTCGGGATCTTGGGCCTTGGCGCGGCACAGGGCGCCATGGGCTGGTACATGGTGAAGAGCGGCCTCGACAACAAGATTATCGAAGAGCGGCGCAAGGCCACTGTCTCCGCCTACCGCCTTGCCGCTCACCTGGTGCTGGCCTTCACCATCTACTCCTTCATGCTGCGCATGGGCTACGGGCTGAAGCTGCCGGTGATGGCGCCCTTCCCGCGCCTCGCCAAGGTGCAACTGTGGTCGCGCCTGTCTTTCTCCGTGATGTTCCTGACCGCCACCTCCGGCGCCTTCGTGGCGGGCCTCGATGCGGGTTTGCTGTACAACGACGACTTCCCGTGGATGGCCGGTGGCGTCTTTCCGCCGTCGGACCACCTCTTCGCGCTGCAGCCGATGTGGCGCAACATCTTCGAGAACCCGTCCATGTCGCAGACCATCCACCGTGTCACGGCGGGTATCACCTTCGCGACCATCATCGGCCTCAACGTGGCCACGTCGCGCCGTCGCGGCTTTATTCCGCGTCCCGTCTTCCGCAACCTCATGTACGTGAACACGGCGCTGCTGCTGCAGGTCGGCCTCGGCATCTGGACGGTGATGTCGACGGTGGACATCCCAGTTGCCGCGTCGCACCAGATGGGTGCCTTGATTCTGCTCTCGACGTTGATTCGCATGTGCGCTGTTGTCGGCAGCCGCGGCGTCATCTTGGCGTAGAGTGACGGCACACACATTACATTGAAATCGAAGGAGGCATGAGAAGTGGACTCATCGCGATGAAACACAGAGAGGGAGAGGGAGAGAGAGATGCACGCTCTCACACAAAGTGGGCAGCCGCTGTTTCATCTTCCCTTTTCACTGTCCGGGTTTTCCACACATGGTCTCTATTTAGCGGCCTGTGTGGGGATGTTGCGGTGGTGGTGTTCTACACACTACTGTACGCGCGATGAGCGTCAAAAGCGAAAGACAACTTGCAAAACCCGTTGATTCAGGTGTCTCGATCAGTCGTTGACCTTCAAAACAAAACAAAACAAAAACGTTAGTCTCATGTGCAGCTTGCGACGTCATTGCTGCTGCAAGGCCGTACACCGCAGGCGCAATAAACTGGTAATATACACACATACACAAGCACATACATAACAAACGGACGACTGTTACTAAACCAAATGCGGTGTTCCGTTGCCGTGGTATCAGTGAGAGAGAGAGAGCGAGAGAACGCGGTCGCGAAACTTTTTCTCCGTTTCAACTCTTTTCTTTTTACCGATGCCATGTGGATGCGGTTCCTCCGTCCCTACGCGAGGGTTCCTGTTGTGGGCAAGGCTGAGAAAGCTGAGCTTCGAACGCACGGAGGGCTCCGCAATTGATTCGAATGTCGCTCTCATAGCTCAAAGCAAGCACTCCTCTCTTCACCGCCTTCTTTGTCGATGCTCTACAGCGCACAGCCACCTAGAGTTTCTTCTCCTTTTTACCTTGGCAGCAGCTTTATCATACACACCTGCAGGGGAGCTTCCGCAGAGCTCGCTTTGCTGAAAAGTGAACTCCCTTCCTACCGCTTTCCTCATACATGCATACGTCAATGGCGCCGTGCTTCAATGGCGTGGCCGAGAGACACCGCAGGCGCCTCTCTCTTGTCCTCATTGCCATTGCTGCTCTTCTCCTCCTCGCACGCGCCTCGAACGCTGCAACGCCCTCTGGACAGGAAACGTGTCCCGTCTCCACAAACGCCGCAGTCATGACGACGTGGTGCACGGCGCGCTTTGGTGGCCACGGCGGCTCCCTCACGGCGAGTGCATGGGACCACAACCGCACGTCGTTCTCGTGCATCTGCAATGCCAACGCGGACGCAGCGATACGGATCATACTGCGGTCAACGTTGCCGCCTCACGCACACACTGGCCGAGGGTTGGGGGACGCACAAGGAATGTTTGCCTTGGCGGACTCTGCGGCCGGGAGCAGCACCAGTCGCAGTGCGTCGAGGTCCATGCCGGCGCCAGCCAGCAGCAGCAGCGGCAGCTTTAGCAAGTCGTCGATACCCTCAACTTCGAGGTCCTCCGCTTCGAGTTCCTCGGCCTCCGTCCCCTCGGCTTTGAGTTCGTCCTCCTCAGACGCCAACGTGACGGGGACGTGCGCCTGGAGCGGGGTGTTCACGCCGTACCCGGAGGGGGTGCAGTGCACGGCGATCACCGGCGTGTGTCCCAGCTCGTGCGGCGTCATTCCGCCGAACCTGTGCAACAACGCGTACACCAAAAGCGAAACTTGCGGCGAGGTCGGCGTCCACGAGGTGTCCTACACGTGCCTGACGTGCAACGGCCGCAACTACACCATCCACTCCTCCAACGGTACCAAATGCACACGCTACTACGCCGAGGGGGACAAGTGTGACGCGAAAAGCACGTGCAACGGGCACGGCTGCTGCGTGGGCAAGGAAAACACGTGCGTCTGCTACAGCGACGGCGTGAACGGGTACTACACAGGCAGCACGTGCAACAGCTGCCAGAACGGCTACGAGTGGAACTCCGCAAACCAGTGTCTCCAGGCGACCAACAAGGTGCAATTCATCCTCGCCTCCATCGCGAAGACGTGGACGATGGTGGCGCCGAACATGGCGGTGCTCTTCCTTTTCGTCATATTTGGTGTAACGCGGAAACTGAACGCGTCGGACCGCCCCTTTGACCTGACGGGGCTGCGTCGCGCAAACCTATCCACCGTGCAGGTGGCGCGGCGGCGTCAGCAGAGCCTCTTCCACTCCAAGTACATCCCCATGCGACCGGCGAAGAGCCGCTCCTTTGCGAACCCCCACCAGCCGCAAACCCGCGGGCCACCCGCTTTCTGACTAGCGCTGCTTGTGTTGTTGTGTTGATGGTGGTGTCTCTGTTTCGTTGTACAGTCTTGCATCCCTTGCCCCTTCAGAAAATAAAAAGAAAGAAAGTTGGCAAAGCTGCCGTTGTCGCGCGTTTCGTTGCGCCGCCGCTGCCCGTTCGCGTTTCCCCCTCCGCCTTTTCCCATTTGCCGTTTCCACCCCCCCCCTCCTCTCCTCCCCCAGGCCGAGGCCGCGCGCGACGGTGCCCCCCGCGCCGCCCAAACAAGGCCCCCTCGGCGCGGAGGCGGAGGGGGCCCGCGCCGGCGCCGGCCTGGCCCAAGGAGGAGGAAAAACACAGGACGCAGGGAGGAGGGGGTGGGGAAAGGCGGCGAGGGAGATCCAGGAGCGCTACGAGGCGCAGCGTCGCGCGGGCACAGGAAGCCGCCACGCGGCTGGGCCGCAAGCGGGGCGGCGCCTGGCGCTGTCTGGGGGCGGTTGTTTTGCTCGTGGGCATTTCAATGCGCGTGTTCAGTGGTACAGGGTGCGGCAAGGAAAAACGACAACAACAGATGTAGAAATGCGCTGACCTGCAGGCCAACAAAGGAAACCCGCACTTGACACCGGTGAATGATGACGCAAAGCAAAAAAAGCCACAACAAAATCAAGAGTACAGCTTCACTTCTATTTCGTCGCCCGACTACACAGCTCCCCTCTCGTTGCGGTCGTGGTAGTCGTCGATATACGCCGGCTCGGCTTCGGGGCTGATCATCGCCTCGGCGTAATTGTGCGTCATGACCGCGTCGGCGATGTCCCACAGCTCCTCGCGACGCGGCGAATAGCACGTGCGGTACGCCGAGTCGCCCCACTGCCGCCCGTCGCTCGGCACCACCAAATCGGCCTGCGGGGAGTCGTACACCACCAGGCCGTTGGGCTTCTGTTGCAGTGAGTTGTGGCGCGAGGACTGGATGGAGCGCTGCGATGCCGCGCCCTCAGGCGCGGCGCTCGTTTTGTGTGGCGGGCGCAGCCTCGCACGCTGCGACTGCGGCGCCTGCTGCTGAGAAGAAAGGGGGGCGTGCTGAGGCGGGACGGCGCTGCTGGACTCCGATGGCACGCTGCTGTTGTCGCTGCTGCTGTAATGGACTGCCGCCGGAGCTGTGTCGCGTGCTGGCGGAGGATTGGCAGCTTCCCTTTTGTTTGGCCGCTGTTGCTGCTTTTGTGGCGGAGGTTGCTGATTGATCGCCCCCATGGCCTTGGCGAGCATAGCAGCAGAATGCGCACATGGCGTCGTGCTAGTGTGACGAGTCTTCGTGGTAGACGACGGAGGGGCCGCGGACTCTTGAGACTGATGCGGCTTTCTCTGCGAAGAAGCGGTGGATGCCTGTGACACAGACGAGGTCTTTTTTTGTGGAGGCTTTGGGACGTCCCGTGACGCAGGCGCAGAAGGGGCAGCAGTTGCTGGTGCTGCAGTGCGGCAAGGAACGGGCTGCGCGACCAGCGACCAGCGCGCAACGCCTGCTTGGAAAGGGCCGACGTCTGACTGAAACGCCGTCGCCGACGTCCAGTTTTGCGGCTCGGGCGAAGCGGACGTCATGGCGAACACGGCGTGCTGCACGATGCACGTGTCCTCCAGCACGACGGTCAGCCAGCAAGGGACGCTGGTGCCGGCGGCGTAGCTCGCGACGCACGCACGCAGAATGCTGCGCAGGTAGGAGCCGCACTCTTCGCCAGACGCGATGCTGACTCGCTCGGGTGCGACGGTGGAGGCCTGATAAACGTACACCGCCCGCACGTATGGCTCAGCCGCCGCGTCCACGCTGCTGACCTGCGCGGCAGACCGCACATGAGAGGCAGCCTGAGAGCAGACCTCCTCCGAGGCGGTCCTGCACAGCCGCGTCCGTTCCCGCGGCGGGATGCCGATGGGAAGCACGTGAGAGCTCATGGAAAGCAAAAAAAGGTGTGTATAAGAGTGTATATTGGGTTGTATAGTGAAGGGAGTTGACGGTGTGTGACCACTCCGGAAAGGAGGAATAAAAGAAACAGCAATGCAGTGCTTTCTTTTACAACACTTGTTGAAGAGAATAGTTCTGCTTTCGGCACAGTGTGCAGTGCGCGACTTCACCGTCTCTGTTATGCACGTCATCAGCGCCACAGAAAAAATCCAACAGCGGTAGAAGAGGAAAGAAGATTTCAGCGGCCTCCAGCATAAAGAAACGCCCTGCTCATGCAACGCCAAGAATTAATCGTATAAGAGAGGCGGAAAACCAACAAAAAGCGGCACATTGTATCGTGCTTTCCTGCTGCTGCGAGATTAAACAGCGTCGCCATGAAGCGTTGGAGAGCAGTTGAGAATGAAGATGACAAGAATCATTGGTATCACCTTTGCTTTACCGTTTCCTTTTTTCTTCTTCGTCTTTTTGAAGGGCGGGTGACAGCAGGGCCAAATTTTTTTTTTTTGAATCAAACAGAGAGAAGGCAACGGAAAAATGGTTTGAGGGGGTGGGGCTTGCTCGCTTACTTCCTCTGCCGCATCCGCTGGGCCAGCAGCATCATGGGAGATACGCCACGGAAGATGATTGCCGTGCGGTCGAAGCGCTTCAACGGCGTCTCGGCCCCGTCAAACACGATCGGGGTGCCCTCGACAACGAGGCTCTTCTGAATGCGCCGGATGTGCTCGTCATCGTCGCGCACCCAATCCACGCCGTGCTCCCAGTCGTAGCGAGCGCGCCCAATGATGAGATAGACGCAGCGCGGCGCCAGCAGGAGCTCCACCTGCTCACCTGGGTACTTGGGATGGGTCAGCGTCATCACACGGCCCGCGTTGAGACACACGCCGGCGACGATACCGGTGGAGTTGCGGTTTTCATCGACGTGGGCTCGAATGAAGCCACTCCCGGCGAGCCGCAGGAAGTGGACGCGGTCGTCGATGGGAATGCGAGGCAAATAGCTCTGGGCCAAGTCGCGCACGCGAGTCAGCGCACCCGTCACGAGAGGAAGGTTCACGTCCAGGTTTGCGTGGGGCATGCGCAGCCCCTCCTCGCTGCCCGTCGTGGTCGCCTGCATCATTTGATTATACGAGCGATAGAACTCTTTGTAATGGTGGATGAGGCCGTCCACGTGGCCATCGTTGTAGCTCAGCCGCTCAAACCACGGCTCGGCGAAGCCGAGCAGAGCCTGCTCCTCGTCCTTCGAAATCACCTCAGGCAGCACGTACGCCGTCACCCAGTTCTCCGGTGTTGCCTTCACATCCTTGCCAATGACCTCTGCTGCGGGCGGCTGGCAAAACGACGGGGCACGGCGCATGGAGACAAGCGACTTGGGAACGGCGGCAATGGCGGGGCTCAGCAGACGCCGAGACGCAGCGCGCAAAACACGGGACGAAAACATCGTTCGGTGGCCAGCGGGGGTTTTCACAGTCAAAAGAAAGAATTCAGAAAAGATGTTTTTTTTGGGGGAAAAAAAGGTCGATAGTTTTGATGCAGCAGCGAGCAGCGCGTCTTGGCCAGCGCCTCGTGCACAGCGGGAGACACACTTACTCAGAAACAATTTGACGCGCTGATAATTAATGATGGGCTTCCCAGTAGTACTGAGGGTGCGTGGTCCAGTAGACACCGGCAAAATGGCACCGGAACAGCGAAGGTTACAAGAAAAGAGAGAGAAAGAAGATGAATATGCAGAGAGGTGCAAAGACCGAAGGTGAGATGTGTGGAGTGGACAGTTGGGCGTCCACGCGTGTAACTGTTGAAGGGTGAACGAGTAGGTTGCTCGAGAAGTCGAGAAAAGAAAGAGCTGTATGCGGTACAAGAAGCGGATTTCAAAGATGATACGAAACCCTGGCTGTTGAGTACGCGGCTCTGGATCACAGATGATGAGTGCGTCGAGGAAGCTTTTGACAGCAGCAAGTGCGACAGAGCGACACAACAAAACTAAAGACTCAATAAGGGAGCGGACGATATTTAAAAAGGGAAAAGCATTCATGGCTGACGAACATCATCAAAAATACGTAGCGACTGCAAAGCCTTTAAAGCTCGCGCTACACAGCCCGCACTTTCTTTGCCATCCATGAATACGTGCCGAGTACACACACACACACACACACACACACCCAGCAGTCAGCCACTGAACACCTCTGGGTCAATCGTCACGTACAGCTTCCGCTGCCCCGGTGCTGTCGCGTACAGATCCAACAGCGTTTGAAGCGTCTGTTCCGGTGCTGGAATAAAAGCCTCGGTGCCGTTGCGAACAAAAACGTACGTCGCAGCGCCGTTACCACCGCCACCACTGCCTCCCGATGCTGCTCCCCCTACCGTGGCCCCCTCGCTGTGGAGTAGAGGGGACGCAGGAGCAACTTTGGCCTTCATGAGCTTCTTCCGAAGCCGAGCGTGGACTTCGCCGATGGTGGTGGTAGGGTCGAAGCTGCCATCCGCAACCTTGATGCCAAACCTAGACGTGTTGAAGTTGATGGTGATCTTCTCCGTCGACGTGTTCATTCTCGGACAGGCTCGTTAGCCCTTCACTGAAGCCAATCGGTGAGGACAGAGTTGGGAACAACAACAAAAACCGCGTTTGTTGCGCTTCTCAGTGAAGGTGAAGCGACAGCACACAACAAGAAAAATCGTTTGGGCAACACCGAACAACAATAGGATGATACTACTGAAACGGCAGAACCTCTCGGCAACGAGAGGAAAGGCGAGGGAAAGGCGAGGGAAAGGAGGGACCGAAAGAAGAAAGATCACCCGTTGGATAGTCTCAAGGAACGCTTCGTGACAAGTGCCGTTGTTTGCTGAAAAGGGAAGCACGTGGGGTTGACGGGGTGGTAGAGATACATGGCACGCGGAAAGAAAGCCTACCTAGGTATTTGCCAGGAAGGAAGGATGCGGCTTCACTTTCGGAAGTCGCGCATGGTGTCGTCGCCCATTCGTCGCAGTGACGCGTCACGCCGCTTCTTCAACGCTTCTCTTCTTCTTGTGTTGTATTTTGTGTTAGAAAAATCTGTGCAATGCAAGCGCCACGCTCGCCGCACACCACATTTAATTGCCACAGGTGAGGGTGGCCCGCCTCACCACGTCAGCGTCCTCTCGTTTATTGTCCGTTCTTGTCTTCGGAATGCTCCGGCGGCGTTTTGCCTGAGGTCTGCGCATCGGTGCTCGTCTCCACAGCCGAACCGCTCTCCTGCTGCTGGTGCGGTGTTGCGCCTTCCGTCGAAGTGGCATCGCTGCTGCCCGCCACCTCGTCAGGTGTGCCGTCGTGCGTGCGATCCTCCTCCCCCGTCTTCGCCGCGTTGTGCTCCGGAATGCTGTCGGAAGGCGAGGGGAGCGGATTGTCTGCCTCGTCCTCTTCCCCAAGTGGAGTGACGGAGGACGAAACAAACTCAGCACCGCCCGCGGGGACCGCCGTGTCGATGTCCTCGTCCGCCGTCAGCGGCAGCGGTGCCAAGTAGGGAGCCAGAATCTGCACCGACGCCCCGCGCGGGCTGTCGGAGAAGGGATTCGAACAGCCGACCAGCGCGGCGTAGTCGCCGCCCATCGCGTACATGACCTCGTCCCACAGGCACTCGCGGCGGCGCAGAATTTGATCGGGCGGGAACACCTGCGGAGGGGTGATATTGGCACCGTAGCGTCTCTCCCGTAGCTGCTTCGCCTCCTCCAACTGGGCGGCGGTCGGGAAGTGCTCCGTCATGTCGTCGCCAGAGCCGGTCAGCGAATAGGAACGAAAGAAGCTCGGCGACGCCTTCACAGCCATCCAATGCCCGTTGGCCACCTCCGCCTCGAGCTGCGCGGTCGTCCACCGCATATTTCCCCAGTAGATGCGCAACGAGGACCGTGGCTGGCCGAACGCGAGCTCGCTAAGATAGGGCAGGGCTTCGGCCTTGGAGAGGTACAAGGTCGGCTCGCGCGTGCCGTCATCCTGCACGCCGCCTAAGATGAGGGGGTGGCAGAAGAGATTGTGCTTCTTGATGGCGGCTGCGGTGGCGGTGGACGATGACGCGGTGGCGGTACTCGCTGTCGGTGCTTTCGCCTGCGCGCTGGAGGTGTCTTTCCACTTCAACCAGCTGATCATGGAGGGCCCGCTGCCGCTCGCTGACGTCGTCCCTGCGCCGGCGCTGCCGGTCTGTGACATGTAGGGCTCCAGCGTGTGCAGCACCGCAATTTGTGCCGTTGGCGGCATCGTAAAGCCGATTTGACTAAAGCCGCCGTCGTAGACGTCGTGGCCCCAGAACACCTCGGGAAACATCGAGTTGCCACGCGACAGCGGGTAGGTGAACTGCAGGTCCAGAACCACCGCGCTCGTGATGACCGGGGTGCGCTCCGTAATGAGCATCACACGACGATCCACGTGCGCGGACGACAGGGGGTGCGCTAGCAATAGCGTGCCTTCCTGGAGGTCGATGTTGTGGTGGGCCTCGCGCAGCACCACCCGCGTGGGAACACCCGGTGCTGCCTGAACGTACTTCGGCCGCGCCTCTGGCGAAGCGACGATGGCGTTGGCACGAAAAAAACCCTTCCGTCGCGCCGCCACTACTGGGCTCTGCAGCGAGGCCAGCAATCGGGACCTGTCCCGTTCCATCTCCGGCAGCTTTGTCTTCACATTATCGTAGTGTGCGCGGAGGCGGTTGAGCGTGTCAAACGCTAAGTTGATCTTCGGCACGCGATTGGGGTCACGAAAGACCTCGCGCAGCACTGCCGTGTAGCTCTTGTCTCCCGGCACGCACAAGGCCCTTGAGGTGTTTAGAATCGCCTGCAGGTCTTTATTACAAGGAAACAGCACTTTGAGGACAGGCTTTCGGTCAAGCCGCGACACTTCGCGGTACAGGCTGCGGTAAAGCGAGCAAACCACCGCAGGAGAAACCGTCGGGACGGTCGGGTTCGAGGTGGGCCGCTTTGCTATATCTTTGGACGACGTTGCCGCGGCGCGCACGAGAATGCTTCGTGCGAACATCGCTTACCCGCTGTACTTCAACGAACGATGAAGAGAAAGAAGCTTTCGTTGTGTGAATAATAATAATAATAGAAAAGTATCACCTGCCACTAAAAACAGCGACTGTAAGTGTATTAAGTTTTGTGAATCGCTGCAAGGAGGGAGCTATAGAGTGAAGAAAGCGAAGAATTGCGTCAGTCCTGCAGCAGCAGGGCCACGAAAACTGAACTTCGACAACGCTGTCCACGTCAAAAGACAATAACAAGAGCAATACAAGGTAAGGCAACAGTTAGAATACGCAAAAACAAACAGAGAGATCACTCAATATTAATAATAATAATTATAATCATTAAAACTCCGCAGCGTCACCGCGTCTGTTGTGGAAAAAAAGGGTAGTGGGCGTAAAAGTCAAACAAAAGATGACAAATAAAATCTCATCAAACCAGGGGGGGGGGAGGGAGAGAACTCGAATTCGTGTGTTGTGGTGACGGAAACCTTGTGGGCACCGATGCCAAGAAGTTGAAAAACACGTGTGGAGCGCCGTGTACTCAAGAAAGCAACAGATAAGGGTTTGCTTTGTTTCGAGTTTTTCTTCTCTTTTTCCAACAGTACGCGTCGAAAGAAAGGGAGGAGAGGGCGGAGAGGGGAAGTGGAGCAATCGATAGAGCAGAACAGAAGCGGCCACATGGAAAGCGCTTGACAGGCAACAAAAAAAAACCGACTGAGTTACACTGGGGAAAAGGTACCAGAAAAAAAATCCCACCAGCGACTTCCTGTTTGATTACCGTAGAGCTAGATACAGTGCCCAGCAGCAGAAGAAGAAACATAAAGCACAAGCGACATCGCTTAACATCTATTCCCACCAATGAGGGAGAACCTGTACTTCGTTGTTTACTGTTCCTGTAGATCAATTGAGAAAGTGATAAATGAGAAATAAGAGTTCAAAGGCGTACAACCACACTGAACGCACACACAAGCAAACAATACGAGAAACCAAACACCCTATCGTCTGAATCGCGCACCAAAGGCTTGTTGAATGCTATGTGAACGACGCCACTCGTAGAATACTAATAAGCCTTTTTAAAACTGCGGTGCAAGTCGGCGGCGGCACTGCACAGCGTGAACGACTAGAAACAACAGGCAGCGCACAGACGCCCCAAGGTCAGCACACAGCGAGTGTACCCCGAGGAAGGCGGTGCGCCGCACTGCGCCTCTGCCACCGCTCAGCACCACGCACAGGCACACACTCTCCACCTTACTCGGCGTCAGAGATGGACCACACGCGGATCAGGTTGTCCTTGTGGCCGGAGTACAGGGTGTTGCCGTCGGCGGACCAGGCAACGGAGATGCACTCGGACGGCTTCGCGCTGTCCACGGACAGCTCGGCAATCACGGCCTTGCTCTCCAGGTCATACACGGACAGCGCCTTCTCCGTGGCCACGCACATCCAGAAGCGGTTGGGCGAGAAGGCGATCTGGTTGATCGGCGACTCCACCGGGATGGCGAACAGCTGCTCACCGTTGCTCAGGTCCCACAGGAGCGCGGAGCCATCCTTGCTGCCGGAGGCGCACAGCGAGCCATCGGGGGACACGGTCACGGTGGACACGGAGCTGGTGTGGCCGCGCAGCGTGTGCTCGCACTTGCCCTCGTTCACGTTCCACACCTTGATAGTGGAGTCCCAGCTGCCCGACACCACGATCGGGTGGTCCAGGGAGGGAGAGAAGCAGATGCTGCTCACCCAGTCCTCGTGGCCGTCGCGCAGGAACTCGTGCATGCACTCGCCAGCGACGTTCCACACGCGGATGACGTTGTCGCGGCCGGCGGACACGATCAGGCGGTCGTCGGGCGAGAAGGCCACGGCGAGCACGTCCTTCGTGTGCTTCAGGAACTTGCGCTGGCTTTGGCCGGTGCGGAGGTCCCACATGCGGATGGCGCGGTCCCAGGAGGCCGTCAGCGCGTAGTCGGTGGCGTGGGCCAGGGACACGCAGGACACAAAGCCGGTGTGGCCCTCCATGCGGTGGTCCGGAAGGCCGTAGCTGTCCTCCACGCTGTGGCGGTCGGGGTTGGACTTCCAGGAGATGGCCGTACCGTCGCGAGACGTGGACACCACCTTGATGTAGGAGCCGGCCTGCTGCGGGCACGCCAGGGACGTGACCCACCCGCGGTGACCCTTCAGAGAGCCCTCGAAGTTCATGGTGAAGTGAGTGAGTGGGTGCGGAGGAAAAAGCTTATCTGTTGTTGTGGAGAGGAGAGGGCGAGCAAGAAATGAACGACAGCGGTACGCACGGCATCGATACAACCACGGATGAGAAGAGCGAGAGGGGGAGTTGAGCGAAACAAAGGAAGATACAACACAAACAGCGGCTACAAGATGCTCAGCTGCAGCACAAGGAAAGCAGCTGCTTGGATGCCGAAGTGGGAAGCTCACCGGTCGCTGTATCACCTAGCCCAGAGACGGCATACGCGCTGCACTCGACCACATCGACTGACCACGCTGGGCACGGCGAACAGAAAAAAATAAATGAGGCACGAGAGAAGGCGCCACCGTTTCGTGCTACAAGATCATAAAACCCACGTCACAAGAGAAGAGGAAAAACTCCTGATCACTTTTGAGGAGGTCCCGTCGTTGTACGTGCGTGGACATGATTCGTCCACTCGTGGAGCAGCGCAACCTGCGCGGCCGTCTTCTGCACCTCCATGGCAGAGTACCCACCTGACGCGTTCAGCTAGTACCTCAGCCTTTCCGTTATCTGTCGACGGAAAAAGACAAAGGAAGCTAAACGGAAGGATTACTATTTTGGGATTTGTTTGATAACAGAAAAGGGGTTGAAATGAAAAATCAAGACAAACGCTCGGACACGTGGAGCCGTAGTGAGAAGAGAGAAACTGCTTCTCCTACGTAAACACCGTAACCGAGAGAAAATCAACAAGCTTTTTTAAAACTGCGGTGCAAGTCGGCGGCGGCACTGCACAGCGTGAACGACTAGAAACAACAGGCAGCGCACAGACGCCCCAAGGTCAGCACACAGCGAGTGTACCCCGAGGAAGGCGGTGCGCCGCACTGCGCCTCTGCCACCGCTCAGCACCACGCACAGGCACACACTCTCCACCTTACTCGGCGTCAGAGATGGACCACACGCGGATCAGGTTGTCCTTGTGGCCGGAGTACAGGGTGTTGCCGTCGGCGGACCAGGCAACGGAGATGCACTCGGACGGCTTCGCGCTGTCCACGGACAGCTCGGCAATCACGGCCTTGCTCTCCAGGTCATACACGGACAGCGCCTTCTCCGTGGCCACGCACATCCAGAAGCGGTTGGGCGAGAAGGCGATCTGGTTGATCGGCGACTCCACCGGGATGGCGAACAGCTGCTCACCGTTGCTCAGGTCCCACAGGAGCGCGGAGCCATCCTTGCTGCCGGAGGCGCACAGCGAGCCATCGGGGGACACGGTCACGGTGGACACGGAGCTGGTGTGGCCGCGCAGCGTGTGCTCGCACTTGCCCTCGTTCACGTTCCACACCTTGATAGTGGAGTCCCAGCTGCCCGACACCACGATCGGGTGGTCCAGGGAGGGAGAGAAGCAGATGCTGCTCACCCAGTCCTCGTGGCCGTCGCGCAGGAACTCGTGCATGCACTCGCCAGCGACGTTCCACACGCGGATGACGTTGTCGCGGCCGGCGGACACGATCAGGCGGTCGTCGGGCGAGAAGGCCACGGCGAGCACGTCCTTCGTGTGCTTCAGGAACTTGCGCTGGCTTTGGCCGGTGCGGAGGTCCCACATGCGGATGGCGCGGTCCCAGGAGGCCGTCAGCGCGTAGTCGGTGGCGTGGGCCAGGGACACGCAGGACACAAAGCCGGTGTGGCCCTCCATGCGGTGGTCCGGAAGGCCGTAGCTGTCCTCCACGCTGTGGCGGTCGGGGTTGGACTTCCAGGAGATGGCCGTACCGTCGCGAGACGTGGACACCACCTTGATGTAGGAGCCGGCCTGCTGCGGGCACGCCAGGGACGTGACCCACCCGCGGTGACCCTTCAGAGAGCCCTCGAAGTTCATGGTGAAGTGAGTGAGTGGGTGCGGAGGAAAAAGCTTATCTGTTGTTGTGGAGAGGAGAGGGCGAGCAAGCCGAAAAAAGAAGACAAGCAACGAAGAAATGAAACAGAAGGTGCATGGAGAGGATCGCCTTTCTCATCGCCTTTCAGGGTTGTGTGCTGCTTTCCGTGGTGCACTGACATAATCGTGAACGAAAGAAAAAAAAATCGAGTCAATGGGTCAATAGATGTCTTCGTACGGTACGCACTTCCCACGAATAATAGCCCAGAAAAGAACGCACTTCCCCCCTCTATGCCGCTGTTGGGAAGACCGATTCGCTGCATTAAAACAAAAAATGTGTTTGAACTCAACGACAGACTCGTCATTCAGCGGCTGGCCACACACAGAAAGGAGTGCTTTCAAAAAAAAAAGTATCGATCGTTCGTTTTGCAAACCGCAGTATGGAGGATCGGAATAAAACTACGAACAGAAGGAAAACAACACGCGTTGGTTCGCTCTTCTATGCGTTTCTGGGCCAGTTGCAGAATCTAATCTATGCGTCTTCCACAGCACTCAGCGTCGCCATCACATTGTTCCTCCTACACAACGCGCCTCAAAACTCGGTGTTGTAGGCCGCATCAGAGGTGTCGTGGTAGAAGCGGTTGAAGTTCAGCCGCAGCAACAGAAAGTTGAGGAAATCAAAGTGAACGTGCTGCTCCTCCAACGTGGTGAGCAGCGACGACATCTCGCGGTGGAAATCGTCCGTCAGGCCTTGGTACTGCCGCTTCACGGTGGACAAATCACCTGAACCGCGCTGCAGCAGCGACGTCAGCAGCGCCTGCGAGCCGCAGTACTCGCGCACGATGGTCACGATGTTCTCCACGTTCATGCGAATCGTTGCGCAGTCCGAGTGGAGAAGGGAGCGCTGTGTCAGGTAGGCGAGGTAGGCGTTGTGAGCGGTGCGGATGTCGTCCATTGAGGCGCACCGCTCAATCGCCTTGAGAAGCAAGTCCTGCGCCACGGTGCACACCTCGGCGACGAGGTACGACCACAAGTTGTTCACAAAGTGATTCAGTTGCAGGCCCAACAGATGCGCATCCGCCGCCACCTCGCGCCATGCCGACACCTCCTGCGAGCTGCGCTGCACGCTGCTGATGAGGCGGTCCAGCATTACGTTTTGCCGCCACGCCTTCTTCAACGCCACCTCCGCCACCTTCACGCGAAACATCAGGCGGAACAGGCGTCGATACACCTTCATGGCGGTCTGGTCGAAGAGGTTGTTGAGAGGGGAGGGAAGGGGCATCGTCATGACGAAGCTGTCCCAGCCCAGCTTGCCATCGTCCTTAACCATTTCACACTGCAGCAGCGCAAGGCGGTCGGTGTCGAGGTGCTTCGCGTAGGGCGTGATCTCTGCCAAGGCGCTCTGCACCTGATCGCGCACCACCGACACGTGCACCGCGCTGCTCATCTTCGACAAGATGGGCTCGAGTTTCGTGATCAGCAGCTCGTAGAAGTCGCCGTAGCCGACCAGCAAGAACGCGTTGACGAGACGAAGCACCTTCACGAGCTCGAACTCTTCGCGGATCAGCCGGAGCACCGCCGTGTTCGTAAACGCCAGCGCTCGATGCACAACGATCGGTAGCGTGTCAAAGGTGGCGCGTTCCGCCTCCGCGAGAAGCACGGGATCCATCCGCCACTGCTTCGCGCGACAGCAGCGGCAGATAAAGCGGATGTTCTTGGTGACCAGGAGGATGTCGTGCGCCACACTCTCGGGCACCGTGCTCGGCAGCATCTCCGTGTTGAGCGAGTACTTCGACACCCAAAAGTCTTCCGCCGTGTCCTCGACGGCGTCGTTCGGCACGATGTAGAACTCGCGCAGGGGATCGCACACCTCACCTTTCGTGATGCTCTCCACCGTCATCAGCAGCAGCGGACTCACCGTTTCAATGTAGATGTCGTACAGGAGAGAAGAGAGTCGATGGGAGCCCTGCTGGACCAGCTGCTGCATCTTGGAGGCGAGCTCGCCACCCTTGACATGCTGCGTCTCGCGCAAGACGCACTCCATCACCCACAGCTTCGGCTGCACGCGCTTGTAGGCGACCATAAGATCGCCCATGTGCAGTGGTGGGTCGCGACGTTCGCGGATCATGGAGACGAGGTAGTGGTACTGCGTCAGCTGCCGGCGCAGGGCACTTCGCAAGCTCTGCTGCAGAAAGGAATCACCGGTGGAACTGGGCTGGCGCAGTGCCACGTCAATGTGACGCGCCAGCGTGCCGCACTCTTGAAACACCTCCGCCGCCTGCTGCTGCACCGCTGTTCCCACGCCCGGAGTCATGCAGTACGCGTTCTCACTCGCATCGTACGTGAAGTACTGCGTCTGCGTCACCCCCATCCACATAAAGAGGACATCCGCGTAAAAGAGGGCCTCCTCGATGGGCCGGCCAGAGGCGCCGACGTTGGCGGCAGATGGGGAGGGGCGAGTGGGAGTGCTTCGTCGCTCAACGAACGGGCTGCTGCTGCTCGCCACACCACCACCACTTGGTTGTTCGATGCTGCCAGAGGGGTCGCGACGGCCTGCACCGAGGCTCGGCAGCGATCCCCTGCGAGAAATGTCACTCCGTGGCGCTTCTGCAGACGCATCACCGCTGCCGCTGACGCGCTGTCGCTGTGTGCCGTGCGTGCCAAACAGCTTCCCCGGCAAGTCGTGACGTTCAGTCGTGAATGAGCGGGCGAGTGCCGGCGTGCTGCTGTTCGTCGCTACACCGGTGGAGCTCAGACGTGG